AAGTTCTAACAAAAACGACTCCACGAGGATGTCAACCAGTAAATCAAACCCGCACGCACGCGCATGCGCGCACGCGCACGCGCACACACACAGACACACACACACACACACACACACACACACACACACACACACACACAAGCTTTGTGTGACAGGTACAATAATGGCCTGGAGGCGTGTGTGTGTGTATGTATATATTCAAAAACCACCCCGAGGCGAGAGAAGAGGTGAATCTCCAGAAGCAGGCGGCGGACGAGCTTCCAACCCCCCCGCCCCCCCCCTTCCATCTCCTCGGCTTCAGGCGCTCTCTCTACTTAATCCACTCTCAGAGACAGACGCCTCACTCCATTACAGAGCTTTGAGAGGAAGGCGCGGGCATGAATACTAGAACCTTCCATCCTGCGATTGACTCATATTCTATGTCTCGGTTTGGCTGTAAGCTTGAAAAATCCCTCCGTACTTGTGATCCTTTTTGAAGATGATTTCATAGTTGAAACAAGTCAGAGATCTTCGCTTTAGTTGGACCCACCTGTTTGGTATGTAAGCAGGGAACATTCAAGAGGGCTTTGAACAGTAAATGCATCTTTTACAGCAAAATAAACTCCAATATTCGTCTGAGAGAGGAGGAGATGCCCCCTGGAATGTTCATTAACACGGATCCGTCCAGGTGTTGAAATCTGTCACACACACCTGCCGAGCACGCAGGGGCACGGCTGGCGAGGTACCGGCATGAATTCCCCCCACGCTAAACCACCTGAGCGCGGGGGGGGGGTGTCTCGTCGCTGGACGAGCTGCGTCTCTCCTGCGCCGGGGTCAACGAGCAGCGCAAACGGACCGCCCTCCGCCGAACAAAGTCCCCTCGCACCTTCTGGTAAACACCTGGTAAACACGCCCGACGTGATGGACTGAGACCCCGGAGGCCAAACAACGCCAGCGTGTTGCGATCGGCGGCTGCAAGCGTGGGCACAATTAAGTTCAGTTCACACGGGGAATGACTCATGGTTTGCACTTTCCGCGCGGCCCACCGGGACGTAAATAACCTCATAACATAAACCACTTACAGCGGTTTCGTACCCACCTACCTGCACTAATGCACAGTTTAATTTAGGCCTCGCACACACACACACACACACACACACACACACACACACACACACACACACACACACACACACACACACACACACACACACACACACACACAATGCGACTCGTCTGCAAAATGACAATTAACACTGTGCAGTATTTGAAGGTGCACCCATATGCCCCGACGAAACACACACCTAAACACATTAGCGTAATAATGACCCCCCCCCCCCACCCCCCCTCCACCGTGACCTGCTTTTCTCGCTCTAAACCCTGAACACACTCAGCAACTCATTAGTTAACAAGTAATGAAAATCCACCTCCACAATAACACACACACACACACACACACACACACACACACACACACACACACACACCATATTGTTAACAGCCGCTGGAGACTCCGTCTACACACAGTCAAAGTTTTTATGAACACGTTAACCGATCTTGAAACTTTGTAGTCCGGAGTGGGCACATAAACAAGGACCAGGAGGCCCGACCCCCCCTGAGGCGTCTGCAAGGGGGACAATAAGCGCAGATCTGTGTGTGTAATGAATAAGACACACACTCCTATTAGGACGGGCAGCGATGACAAATGCCTCTCATTCGGTCAATAGGCCGCTGGCTGGCGTGGGGGGGGCAAACAACGGAAGCTTATTGGGTTATTGGGTTTTGAGCGGCCATGTAATCCGTTTCCTTAGTGTGGATGAGTAAGCTCCCGTCCGCGGCGGCTTCACCTACGGACAAATTAAACACGCACACAGAGACGGGACGAAAACGTCACGTCAGTGCAGCAGCGACACCGTTCCGATTAATCGTGGTGGGGAAACATAAGGAGCAATCGGCCACGTGGGAGGGACGAGGGGAAACGTTCCCAGGTCCCCCAGGTGACTATTCCCTCGGGGAAGGGAAGGGAGCCCCCCCCCCCCAGTCAGTCGGTAAAGCAGTCAGTCAAACGGCAGCCATTCAAGCAGCCAGCCATTAACCCCCCCCCCCCCCCCCGGGGGGGGGCGAAACGTCCTGAAAATTTATGTCCCCAGAGACGAAGAGGTTTCCCTGAGGACAAAACGGCGCGGGCTTCTCTGAAGGAACTGCGGGTTTTTTAAAATAGTCGATAGCCTCGTTTCGAGCCTCGGGCCCCTTTTAAGAGGCGCCGGGAGGTTCAGGGCGGGTGCTTTAAGTCACGCCTTCCCTGGTAGCTTAAGGACAGGAAAAAGCTTCCTCGGGAACATTTTCCTCCTTCTTCTTCTGCTTCATTGGGCGCCAAAAAACCCAGTGTGCCCAGGACCCTTCTCAAGATAAGAGATACCCGCATTAGCTCACTCCTGGGGACATAGGGGACGAAGGTCCCTTATTGAACTCCTCCTACACACATGCGGGCATACTTAGCAACATGAAACAAAGTGCGGCTATTGGGAGTACTGCCCGCAGGCGAGCTTGAGCAGAGAGCACAGGCAGACCACACAGGTGGATTTTATGAGCATTTGATTCATTGATGGACGGCCGCCAATGGAACCAATCGACACCGCGATGACCTCGAGAGATGTGGACGTGGCCCCAGACGGTGAGTGTCACAGCAAAATGATGAAACTAGCTGCAAAAGAAAAGAATCTTTATCTGGTAGATGAATGCATCTTGGGGGACGTTGCACAGCAAAGGCTTTCAAACCAAGATGCAAACTAACTTGAACTTTTGATGTCAGATTGAATTATGGTAAATGGCCTGTACTTGTATAGCGCTTTTCTAGCCTTCTGACCACTCAAAGCGCTTTAACACCACATGACATCATTCACCCATTCACACACTAATGACAGGAGAACATACACAGTGACACCTGCCATCAGTAACTACCATTCACACACTGTAGTCGCAGCTACAGGAGCAATGTTGGGTTAAGTGTCTTGCCCAAGGACACAACGACATGCGGGTTAGCCGGGCCTGGGATCGAACCGACAACCCTCTGATTGGAGGACGGCCGTGCTCCCCACTCACCCACAGTCCAAAAGGTACCCAAAGTGCATCGCAAAGGCCCTGAAATTATACCAGCATCTAGAATACATGCTGTATGTGCATTTTGGAAAAAATCTAATTTGTTTAATGTGATTTATGTAAAAAAAAAAACTGTATTCTGTAAGAACCACAGGAGGTGTGAAAGTGGGTCAGCGCTGGTGTGATTATTCTACACGTGCTGCTCACGGTCTCTCCCCAGAGACTCTTCCGCTTTACAGTAAACACGACTGTCACTGTCACACTACAACACCTCCGGGGTCCAATGGTCTCTTTTACTGACGTAACACACAAACAAACGCACATCGTGCGCCGACCCAGAGCTCCCGGAAACGCTCTACGCGTGCGTTGGCGCATTCTGCCCAAAGAACACACAGCGACACAAACGCGCCGCTTCTCAGTCACCGTCCGGCGTGAGGAGAGACGTCTCTTGTGGGACGTCAGCGGCGCCCCAGAGATCAGAACGGCCGCGCCCCGACCACGGGGAAGCGCGCTGACCGCACATGAAAGAAGGAGCGCTGGTGTATGAATTCATCCCCCCCCCCGACCCCCGACCCCACCCTCTTTGCTCCTCCTAAACTGCTCACACATTATTCCTCACACACACACACACACACACACACACACACACACACACACACACACACACACACACACACACACACACACAGTGTGGTAGTCGACATCAAAGTGTGATGGAACGAGGCAGATCATTAGCAGGAGAAGACAGAGGCGGGGGGGTGAAATCATTTAGACGCCGCTGCGGCGAAGATGGAATTATGGATGCGGCTGTCAGGATGAGGGCGGCGGCGTGCGTTTCAGCGGAGAGGGAGAGACGAGGCGGATGAGGACGGAGACGGGAGTACAAATGGAAAAATTCAAGACAGCGGCCGGCGGTCCAAAAAGACAAACAAGAGCGGCGCCGGAACGGCGGCGGTTGAGCCGGGTGATGGCGAATTCCTGATAATGTGTGTGTCTTCTCACGCAGCGGTCATCTCCCAACGGCCGCCTCTGACACGGGAGGAAACGCCCTTTGACACTAAGCAGCGTTATTACTTTCTCAATAAAGTGAGCAATTCGTTTTTTTATTTCATATTTTTTACCCGGTTGACATAATGCCAACTACCACAGCTTTTGCCATGTGACCATGCTATCGGGTTGTGAATGTCCATATGGCGTGAAAAGGCCCATCACATTTGCCGTAGCGGTTTCTTTGTTTGTGCGTTTGTTGGCCTGCGCCGTCTGAGGAGTCAGCGTTTTCATCACGAACTGATATTCTGACAAACTTTCTGTCGTAGTGAACCATTTGTTACCTCCGGCTGGATAAATAAATGAGAAGACATGCAGCGTTCTTAATAGGATTTATATCAGAAACCAGTTTGTTATTATGACCTCGACTTGGTAAACCTGATATTAAGAAGCTCTACGTGTCCCTTCTGCCTTTTAACAAAAACATACAACCACATAAACCCTGCAGGGTGTCACACATCACCGCACTCCCTTCTATCCCCCAAAATGCAATTAGCCATTATGTGGCCCCCTATAATCTGCCTTGTTCGGTTTATTTGCCTTTGATACAGCAGGAGCTTATCTCCTCAGTCTTTACACAGAGCGCCGCTTGCGTCCCCCGGCGACACAAAAAACAAAGTTATCGAATCTACCCCGAAAAAAGGAAGAAAAAAAAGAAAGAGGCCGAGTCAGACTATGAGCGGGGCTTTGTGCCGTGAAAAGCAAGCTTGGTCATCTGAACCCCGGAGACGAAAACTGAGCGGGGATCCGGATGAAACTGATGACCTCAATTTTCATCTACAAGCTCTTCTGTTTCAGAGCAGAATAGATGGAAGGCGGTCGGTCAGGATGATGCAGCGTGTGTGTGTGTGTGTGTGTGTGTGTGTGTGGTTTACCATCATTGCCATGGCCTCCCTCCCTCTTCAGCATCTGCACCGCCGCCACGTACTTCTTCAACTGGACCTTCAGGACCTCGTTCTCCCTGCAAAACACACACACACACACACACACACACACACACACACACACACACACACACACACACACACACACACACACACACACACACACACACACACACACACACACACTTAACCAGAGGGAACAGTAGAACTGCATTACATCGTAGGCAAGCGTTTTGTTGAAGGCGTGACTTTATAACTTCAAATGTCCTTAATATTCAGACTATTTTCAGACTGGTGCATTTAGAAGAAGAAAAAAAAAGTCATCACTGACAGCTCGTCACAGGAGAGACGCTATCGCGCGCAAAGTGACAAAGCGTATTTTTCGGTCCAACAGCCCTGAGAGCTGCATGGAGCCGACGGCGGGAAGTCCTTCTCTCCGTTCTGCCACAGCGCGCGCCAGAGGGGACACAGTGTGAACTCGCCGTGACGTCTCGTCACCTGTGGAGCGGTGGAAATAAGGTCCAGCTGGTCAGACCGGGCTTCCCCCACTGACGGCGTTCAACTGGAATTATGCGTCTCTCTTTGCACGTACAGAGCGGCGTTACGCGGCGACCGTGGCTCTCTGAGCAAACACATCTCCCGAATGTCAACCACACGCCGGGCGAGTAGATCTGAGAAAAATGAAAACTATAGAACAGTTGTTTGACATTAAAATAGTTTTAATTTATTCATATTCAACATCTGCCGGCTCCAGAGAGTATGCAGGAGAGTTCACTGCAATAACTCCTCTCCGGAGTCTGCCTCCGTGTAAATATTAAAAAAGGGGCAACGCCTCGTGCTCTGAAGCGAGAGCAGAACTGACTTCCAGCGTTCGGTGTCTGAGAAATGCATTTCAGGGGAGCTTACAAATGCGATGCAGCCACCGGTTATACCGGAGAAAAAAATAAAAGCCACGGTTTGGGTGGAAGACGGCCGCGTAGCACTCACAGTCCAACAGTAGCACTGCTCGGAGCAGTGGTGTGTGTGTGTGTATGTGTGCAGATGAGGAGGCAAAGAGAGCGAGACACACAGTCTCTTTACAAGCTGCAACCAGTTGCACATCATCGACTTTGGGGAGGAAATCAATCAGAGCTAGAAAGCGCCTTTATGCCCTTTGCAGTTAAATTTAACAGCCTTTGTGCCACTCCGGCGCCCCCCCCCCCCACCCCTCCGTGGGTGATTTTTTTTGGGGTCCTGCTTATCAGCCCCTAATTTCCTCAAACCACAAGCACCTGCCAGGCACCTGGAGAGCCGTCCGCGGCCCAGACGGCGCTCCAGCCTGATTAAATGACGGCTAATGCGCGCCGCTTTTTTCGGAAGAGGGGGGGGGAAGCATCGACACCTCAGTTCCTTCAGCGCCTTTGTGTTCAGCCTCCACGGAGATGACACGTAGACACCCAAAAAGCACTGCTTCCAATGTTGTGTTCGGCGGAGATGTGCTCATAAATGTTTTGGAAATAAGTTAACGACAAAACCCGAGGAGGGTGTTCAATACTGAGAAGAGGCCTTAGTCTGTTTTATTAGCAAACCTAAATCCTTACGAAACAGTCTTTTCATACTTGTATTAAATTAAATTAAACACATTTAAAAGACAGTCCAATAAGTTACATTTTAGTTCATGAAGTTGTCAAGTGTATAAAAAGATCACAGACGGTACTGAATAGTCATTTGTCACGTCAGCAGCTGCATGCGAGTCCTGAGTAGGAACAGACGCAGTGAAATGCAGCTCAATGATTCGGGGTAAATGCCCAATTGTTACAAAAATGTGCCCCGACGAGCCACAGAATGCCATCTCGACTGTCCAAGTCCAATAACCAGCAGCCCAGCTGGGTGGAGACACCGACGGCCGCCCCAAAGAGCGGATTCACGCGTTCACTTGGCGATGCAATCTGCCGACCAAGAGCCAAACATCCACCTGGGGATCCGGTGTCATTTACCATGTAATTACTTTTACCGCTGCCTTTAATATCACCTTTATTAGAGTGACCCTATATGTACAACAGCGTGTTCCTTAAGCTAAAATCAAAGCAGCTAACGGACACGGCGTTTATTAAAGAGGCCTCCGATCACAAAGTCCACAGCGCGAATGGCTCACGGATAGAAAAGAATTCCCCAAAGTTCTCCAGCCGAGGCAAAATAATTCTGTTTGCTCAGTCATCTTTGTTCAGACGATCGTTTCATTTCCGTTATTCACGTCAACCCTCATTGCTCCGAATAAATGATTCTCTCAACAAACAACACTTCAATTCCTTCTTGGGGTTTCAGCCGCCTGATAATGAGCAGTTTGCTGAATTATTGATCAGTCCGACGCCATCGAGGTTTCAATGCGCTCGCTCGTTGCAGAACAGAAAACTGGTAAAAAAAAAAGTAGTTTGTCCATTAAAAAGGCAATTATCGGTAATCTAATCAGCCCATCTAGATATCGAAAGCTTTTATTATTGAGGGCGACTGCGGATTCATTGAGCAGCCTTTGACAAACGACGGAGGCGGAGCCTAAATCCCGACGCCGGCGTGGATCAACCCTACGGGCCGCCACACCACCAGGGGTCTTCGGGGAAATCTGGGGGAAAAGCGCGCAGGCTGCAGGCTGCAGTCTGCGGATGTTGCTTGCGAGTGGGATTATGTAAATGAGCAGGTGAGGCGGGAACGCCGCGGCCGCCGCACCTGCTCGGCGCGGACAGACCCGTGTGGGAGGGGCTTCCCACGGCGGCTCACGCGGTCCCGTGGCAGATCGAACACACGTTTCATTCCTCAATGAATCTGCTCGTGGAGAGAAAACGCTGCATCACGAGTTCAGGCTCACGCGGTCTCTTAAGCCTGTTAACCTGACGATCCCCTTTAGGGCTGCAAATGACAATTCAATCCATTTTTGAGTATACTGTTAATTATTTTTGACAACATATAATTTGTCAGGAAATAGTGCGAAATGGCCCTCAAAGTGAGATCGTTTGTCCATGCCACAGATTTAGGCTTAATAGAGGTTTAATTGAGTTGTAACAACAGTACAATAGCAACCCTGACTTTTCAGAGGCCGGGAAAGCAAATGTTTGCTTTTCTCTAGATGTTGAAAAGAAGGAGACAAAAGCATCGATTCCAAAGCGTTTAGGTAAACCACCACATTAGTCCTTATTTATTTACTGTTATAACCCTAGATATACAATAGACTAAATCATGGGAAGTATCCCTGTTACACAACGTTTGACCATGAATGGCTGCAAATCCACAGAACCACTCTGAGAATGAAGGAAACCGGAAACTATTAACGAAGTAAACTACGAGTTCATGGATCTGACCGGCGCTGTGCTCGTCTTCCCTCCTCAGACTGCTCCCTCATTTAAAATAGGTTTTTAGATAAAGTCTGCATCCAAATGTCTGGAGACGCATGGCAGGAGACCAATCTACGGCGTAGATCTCACACACTTCACCGGATGAAGTCAAACCATTAACAGCCAGAGGCTCATCAAAGGATCCATGAATATCTGTTGTCACATTTCATTCCATAGGACCGAATAAAGGGGATTTCGACCAACCCGATAGGACGGTTGAAACATAACTTTGCGGAGATGAAAGCTTTTATTTGTCGTGTTTAACACCACTTATGTTTTCTCTCAGCGCTGACCCTCAGGAGGAGAACCACCAATCGACCAGATGTTTCTGTGCTGTGGAGGGACTGAATTTATCCACTGCAAAGACAAACATTACCGGTAAATGTCGGAAATCGTAGCTTCATATATCTGAGCCAGCGAGTGCACCACCAGTGTTTAAATTGCATCCGGACAGTTGGAAAGCCGAAATGCTATTAAAGACCCACTCGGGCCGCCGCTTCCTCGACGCCCCTTGGCGACTTCATCATTTCAAACTCACTTTAGTGGGCGACCATTACTTGGACCCACGGGACAGAAGGTAAATGATGGTCTACCAAACTGATCTAAAGTACAAAGCCCCCTGGGAGCGACAACATCGCACAACCTTTTCTCGCAGTGCAGCTTTGGCGCCGTTTCCCATCGAGGGCCGTCCATTAACGCCGCTTGGCGCTTTGCCCCTCGCGAGTGTTCAGAAGTCATCTTGAAACTTGAAGTGTCTTCCCTGCCTCGGGGGACCGTGGAAGTTTTTAAATGAGCGCGTCCGGAGTCGAGCACTTGCTCAGCATCTCCGCTGCTTAAAACTGCATCCTGCGTCCAGCTGATGTGGGACCAGACGCCAGGGCCCCTCTTCTCATTAAGGGCGACGGTCTGACCCAGAAAAGTTAATTGTGCGAATGCTGTGAGGAGAAGCATTAAAACCACGCGGGCGTCTTCTTCCGTGAGAGAGACGAGAGAGAGAGTGTTTTTGTGCAAAAAACAGAAAGAGCAAGCGAAAGAAAGACTGTGTGCCTTGGAGACATATTTAACAAAATTGCAAGATCGGGAAGCGGCGTGCGTCGGCGAGATGAAGACATTGTAAATATTTTCGAGCGAACGAACGAAAGTCGGTAAAGTCGGTGCAGTTTGTAGGAGTGTTTTGAGCAGAGCAAATACTGCAAGAGGCTATTACAAAGAGAGGAAGCATGTAGGAAAGAGCATCTCAGGAGGGAAGCGAACAGTTTAACTACACCCACTGACCCCCCTCGCCCCCCCCACCCCATCCCCACTAAAGCTAAAGTTCTTCAGGTATGATCTGACTTGGTTGGGAGGCAGTAAATGTGAGGGACAAAGAGACGGCTCAGTCGCACTAAAGCTCCTCAGTGCTATTTCTGGCTCATCCTCTTTAGAGAAAGAGAAGAGAAGAAATCACGATTTCCAAGGGTTCACTCTCTTTTCATGTGTTCCCCCTGCTGAGAGCCGTAAGCCACCAGACCCCCCCCGAGCCCCCCGGGAGGTGCAGGGCGAGGCTGCACCTTTGAGAAAAGAACCATAATGGATCTCAGACGAAAAGAACCATCCCCTCAACGGGAATGGGGGGGGGGGGGGGGGGGGGTGGCGTGACCATCTGATTGTCCCAGACGTCCCGGGGAGTAAACGTGTAGTTTGGAACGATCCATCACAGCTAAAGTAGGGATGAACAATTTGTATCAAATCAATCAGTGTGTGTGATTATTTCCTATGAGCCAGGACTGTATTGGTGTTCTACATGACATTAAACACATTAGGATTGTGTCGAGCATAAATCAGCATTAGTAGTTTTCCCCTAAATATACAAAGGTAGTGTTTTGTAGGTGATACTGAAAATCTTTCAGACATTTTTTTTGTAGGAAGCTGAATTTTTTCTCAATGAATTGCTTTGCTTTTGACTTTTCCTCCCTCATCTCGGAGTCGACCTGCCGCGTTCTCGTTGTCATATTACCAATCGCCACAAACGTTTCGATATTCACCTCCGACATCTAAGGAGTTCTTCCGGGCGCGCGTGGGCCCTCGGTGACGGCCGTCTGGCGGCAGTCGAGGACGTGGGCTGCCGTGCGTTGCCGTTATATATCGGGAGGCCCGTGTGAGCGAGGGTCCCGCTGCACGTCCCAGTTTGTTTTGTGCGTGAGTAACTCGGCGAGCGAGCAGCGGGGCTCATCTTTAGCCCACTCCCCTCTGTCCGCCGCCACGTCAGCCAGAATCTATCTGTGGCGGCTCGCTCATCCTCCGCCACCCCCGCGTACAGCCGGGCTCAGGACACACACACACACACACACCCCTCGGGTTTGAGAGATGTGTTAGGACGCCACGGTTCGGTGTCAGATTTTAAGGCCGGGTTACTTGCTTCCGATTAGGACTCGTTGGGGATTGTGGGAGTCATGGCAACCCTCGCCAGCGGCCTCTTCCGGCGATCGCCGCCGACAGCTCCCGGCGCTCACGCAGTGGCTAGCGGCTCCTTCAGTGGTATTTATAGCCGCCATTGATCGAGGCAGATTTGGCAGGGGAAGGGGAAAGCAGCACTTGCACAGATTTAGCGGCGGCCGATAGAACGGGCGCTCGCGTGTCTCAGCGCGTGCGTTTGGCCGCGTTGGGACGAGCACGATGTGCGTCACGGCGAGGATAGAGAGGCCACCACTTTGCCTCTGTTATGTCGCCTCTCTCTCGCTATCTCTCTTGCAACCTCTCGCGCTGTTGGAAAACTTGCGATCTCCTGCACGTCGCCGCGGCTGAACAGAAGCTTAACCAGTCGCTGCACGCCGCACGCCAGTCACTGGATCGGTCCCAGCTGGTCTCTCGCCTTCATCGGAGGCCACAATCTGGACGCCGAGTTGCAGGGTCGTCCAGTTTAGAGTGCTGAGGGATAATTAATCCTCCGCTCAAAAAGGGGCTCAGGACTCGACGGGTGAATTCTGGCACAGAGGCGGCCGATTGTGAACCCTGAAGTGACTCAAATCATTTTCCGGGGAACGACAGGAGGTCCGACATTTGAAACGCTGCCACTTTTCTTCATGAATAGAGTTGCTCCGAAACAGTTTTAGCTTCCGGATATAGATTGATTCTGACCTAGTGTGTTAAAAACATGTATAAATCATTTCTATCCTTACCAGCCGTGCACCATTAGACCTGCATTGACGGGCAGGGATCTGGAAACGCGAGGAAAGCGCCTTGAATCCAAAGCCTCGCCAAAGCCGGTGCGATATCTCAAGTGTAGAATATGGCCGACTCGCTGTCAGCTCGCTGCCTCTTGCTAACGTGACGCTGTCCGTCACCGCCTCCCCGGTCCCTGCTTCACACGAGCATCTCAGAGGAGGAGCGAGATGGCTCCTAGTGAGCTACTTCCAACCAACAAATCGGCCGCAATTCTGTTACGAGCGTCACGTGTTGATTCTGTGCAGCAAAAATGAGCAGATAAATAACTTGATACCGCATGGATTCGCTTACTATCCTTTTAAGCGCATCGCCAATACCAGGATGGTTGCACAAATATAGTTCCTTTCTCTGTCTGGTTGGGGCTTCTGCTGTAGTGGTAATTACGGCAATTATGTGCAAAACACTGCAGCTGAAGGTCCTCGTGGATATTGCAGCTTTTGCACCGTGTTCACAGGCTGAAAACAATTTGGTTTCCATTTGGAAGATACGGAGGACAGAAGCTGAGGAACTGCTACCAAGCAGGTTTATAACGGCGGCAACCTGTCGCGACGGGTCAAACCGCCTGCTGTGGGGGACTCTCACGCACGGCACCAATGAAACAAGCATTATAGCTGACGGCTGAACTAAGTCACAATGACGTTGCATCGGGTAGCAGGCAGCTAACAGCTAACAGCTTGTTAGACGTCGAAGAGCCAAAGGTGACAGTTTATAATGCATTTGAAAAATACAAGCACGGCTTTATTCTTCCACTCTGCCAGCTGAAATGACATCATCGCTGCGCGTCCTGGTTCTCACCTGGCCAGAGCCTGGACCTTGGCTGTGTGTCTCTCCTCCAGCTCCGCCAGCTTCCTCTTCAGCCAATCGGTTTCCTGCCTCAGGCTCGCCGAGTGCTCCATTTCCCCGTCCAGCAGGCTGCGAAGAGACCTGTCCAACACACCAAGTGGATCACAAGTCGGGTGCCACGTTATTTTCATAAACAGTGGATGGGATAAACATTATAAAGCTCCTTTAATTGCAGTCACACTCTGCTCGGATACAAAAACACTTAATCAACAGCCATCTGTGAAGTGTCGCTGTTATCTAATTTCCCAAATACAAATCAGTGTATCATGAAGATCTAAATACGGCTTGGCACAAAATTCACATTTATTAATCTCAAAAGGTGTTTTTTTTCAGTGTCATTACGACAGACTTTAATTGAACTGCGTGCCGGGCGACGCTTTTCTTTTAGTGGCTGTTGATTTGCATAAATCACAGCAGTCTCTAGTGACTTGATGCTTAAAAAAATAATAATAATAATAATAAATCAGTCTTCTGGCATCGAAGTCGGCAAAAAAGAAAAAACAGCTGACAATTTATACAGAAAGGTCATTTGCAGTCTCCCTCCAGTCGGAATGTGTGTGTGTGTGTGTGAGCTGCAGATAAGGAGAATATATCCAAACGTACGTGTTTTGCTCTTCCAGCTCGTCCTTCCTGTTCATCATGGCCACGATGGCCTGACGCAACTCCACTGCCGATGAAAGAAAACAGAGTGAGATTGTTGATACATAACACACACACACACACACACACACACACACACACTCCACCAACGGCGATTTGCGATATCAACTGAGACTGCACGCTCTTTCAAATGTGGAAGCAGCAGAATCTGCATGCTGCACTTTTTGGTCCCTTCCTGCAGATGAACGGCTTTGATTAAAATCGGTTTTGTTTACTTTCTCCAGCCGTCGGAGGCTCTGCACAGTGACATTAGTCTCTTACTGCTAAAGTTGAGCGTGCTTTTGTGGAGATACCAGCCAATACGAGATAAATGCCAGTCAAGAAACGCTGCGATGGCGTTGAAACTACGCATCCTCAAAAGATGAATCTAACATCACAACAACAACAACAACAATGAACTAATGGATCGGACGGAGGAGGCCGAGGGAAACGGCGTCCCCTCCGTCCGCGTGGCTCGTACATCTCAGAAGCCGGCGGTTCCATCGCGTTTAACAGCCAAAGCAGCCGAAGCCCTCGTCTGAATTCACTGATGTATTCAGCTGACGTTTGCCCATAACAACATATTATGGGCTGTCGCCGACATCCACCTCTGATTTAAAGGAGGTTGCTCTGACTTATTCAAAAATTAAATATTAAACAATATCTCAGAAGCGTGCAACAGAGCTGTCACCCACAACTATTGCCCGGGTAATGCGCTCTGATATTTCACCGAAGCGGTTATGATCACTGAGATCTTGCGAGGCGCTCAGACTCCACGCCGGGGAGCGGAAGCCGGCGCCGTAGATCAGCTGTTTTTGAAAACCCCAGAATAAAGAATAAATCCAAACGTCGTCGCCTGACTGAATTATGTTTTGGGGACAATGCACATTATGTGCAGCACTGGTGTTTTCAGAGTTGTTGCATGAAATGATGCTATTAAATGATGAGGGGGAGGTAATACAATGCTGATTAATTAGCAAAGTATGCAGCAGTAGCTACGTCTTCCTGACGTAGAGGAAGATCACCAAAGTTGTTACAACATGTTCTAAAGGACACATGGTGAAGTCAAGTGATTACGACGGGTCATCTGGGATGACGGACAGACATCGCCGGAATGGGCAACATTTGGCCTGCTGGTGCCGATGGTCTGACTCTTTTTAAGCCAATCTGCATGCCGAGACGACGAAGAGTCCACGCACGGATACACCATCATGCCATCAGCTCCAAAGGAAAGCTTGTTAGCAGCTAGTTAGTTGTTAGTTTTGGTTATTGAGCTAACATTAATGGAGTTTAAATCAGTACGAGATCACTTCAGGAAAACAGTATTGTATAAAGTTAAATAATGACATTTCTTTCAAATATAATCTTGTAAAATAATGCTGAGTGCGAGTAACTTGGATAAATCCAGCTGTTTGAAGGAGATGTTGTCATAGCAATGTAAATAAACATAACAGAAGGAGTTATTGTATTGGTGCGGATACTGGATCACTGCTCGCTGTCGGCCGATACGCAAGTGCAGGTATTGGGAAGGAAAATATGGAAAAGCAACTTCCGCTCAGCGCGGCTTAAAAGGGGCAGAGTGCAAACATCGATGATTCCGGCATCACTGCGGGAAAACCACATTATATCTGGCAGGTGAACCCAGAATGATTTATTTGAATTAAGTAGCTGCATCGCTACTCGGCATTTTCTTTGCTTTGGAACCGGGTCAAAATAAACAAAACATCAATGAGCGCCAACTCTCCTCTGCCGTTTTCCGCGCGTCGGCCGACATCTGGTGTTAATCTCCGCGCTGATGTAAAGCGCGGATTTGGGGCGGGCTCAGCGGCGGCAACGTAACTCATCTCCATAGTTACGCTTGGCGGTGCACATGAAGGTTTCGAAGCCCCTAAATAGGCTGCTATCAGGACTTCCAAAAATAACAACCACGAGACACCGAGTTAATCTACCCTGCACTTTGTGTTCCACCATTACACACACACACACACACACACACACACACACAAGTAGGTCTCCTCCAGCCCCGAGCTAAGAGCCTGGTTGGGGGAGAAAAAGGGAGTGGGGGGGTGATGAAGAGGAGGGGAGAAAGGAGGAAGTCTCGTATGGTGACAGTCTATTCTCCACACCAGCAGGACCACGGACCACACGTCCACTGCGGGGGGCTACAGGCAAACCATTAGCACCAACACAGCAAAAGGGCACGTTAGAGTGGGGCCAACTTGTGTGTGTGTGTGTGTGTGTGTGTGTGTGTGTGCGTGTGTGCGTGTGCGCGCTCCCCAACACAATGGTTCCAATAATAGACGCATTAGCAGAGAGCGAGGCCATGTAATCGATTCGTCTTGTGAATTATAGACTGCGTACTCGCCAATCAATGCTCGGCCTCGCACGCTGTCAGGCCGAAAGGAACTCACGGAGGGAGGGCTTTCTCCCAGACACACACACACACCTCAGAAATCCACCAAGTATAAACCCTATTAGAAACCTTGCCATTAAAAGTCAGCGGTTACAGCAGCTTAGAACAGTTATGATGTATTAAAAGTTGAAGTCTTATTACTCTCTGCCAGATGCACAAACTGCTCGTTGTGATTCATGACTTAATCAACATGCTCATCGTGATTTCTAGTCCCCGAAACTGACCAGCTGCCAAAAAAATATTGGATGCTCTAATACCCATGATGCATCTCAGAAGTCTTTCAGTTTGACCTCTAGCGACCTCCTGACCACCAACTCCTTTCAAACCTCTCGACCTTCAAACTGAGGGTTTCTAGCACAAGTGGACTTTGAAAATCTTCATCCATAAACCACAGAAAACACTTTTGGTACTACCGACGGTTCACTAAGCTTCATGGGCGAAACTGGTTGAAGGCCCCTTTAACTTGAAAACTGCTTAAAATACATGTTCTTTTGAGTGACTATCCCTCAACCTAAACTCTTCTTTCACATGACACAAAGACTTCAAGCAGAAAGATTCATTTCCCTCAAGGAGTCTTGTTCCTCCAACCGCCAAGTCAATTCCCCTATATGTCTAACATATTATGGCAATAAATGTTTCCTGATTCTTCTTACTGCGCCTCAGGGAAGGCGCTCCTAACGTGTTACTATGACTTACTCGAGTAGGCAGAGAGAGCAAAAGCAACGAACCCAGAGCTAATTTTTTTTTACCCAATCACAGCCATTTTCTCAAATTGCAAAATTAGTTTGGGCCACGTTGCGTTCTGGTCCATTGAGTTGACCGCAGGCTTTAAAATGTGCATCTCCGCCTCCATCAGAATGGATTTCTGCCCATGAGAGGTTTGGGTGCAAGTCTGGAGAGCCGCAGCAGCAGCAGGAACTGACACCAAAAGCCGACCTTTACAGTATTTCAGCGTGCACCCCCCTTCAAACCCATCTGCAGTTTTACTTCTTAAAATGGCCTTTGTGGATCTCTGGATCTCCAAGACCGGTGTCTCTGCGAGCATAACAGAGATGTTCAGCTGCTTTTTATAGCATCCAGTAGCTCTTTCCACGACCCCGTGACCTCCTCCCAGAGAGGGCTAATCGTTCTCCCGCCCTGCTTTAGGAACATGTGCGTACGCTGGACCAACAGTGGCACCTGGTGGATCATTTTCTGCTCAGAAAATGTGGTGGAAGTGAATGGCGCCGGGCATCAATTAGATCCCTTTCGCCGCGCAGAAAAACAACCGGGTTCGAAAATAACAATCAGACGGTCTGATTGAATTTGCTACAGATGACAGCTGCTGGTGAAATTTCCAGACGACGACGTGCCAGGACTTCCACGGGATTCATTATGATGACAGACTTCTTGGGAAACACGCTGCAAGATGATATTTCCGTCTGGCGAAAGCTCAGGAGGAACCAAACCCAATAAAGATCATTTGTCCCGTTTGATTTTATTCACGCGGCAGCTCACTTTCGCCATTGAAGCAATGATTCGCTACACAAAACCGGTTTGGGAACAAACACGACAGGAAGAGGCAGAGAGCGCGGGGGGGGTGAAGGTGAGGCGCACGGGTGAGGGCAGAAGGAGAACAACTCACCCACTGTCATGGACTCGGGCAGCCCCGATGTCGGCAGCACCCTGGAGAGCGCAGCAGCCTGCGCCGGTGGACTGGACTCCATGCTGCGACAGAACACTTTCGTGAGGAGAGCAGAGCCCCCGAACGTCCCGTGTCCCGCGACTAAATCTGATGAACGGTTTGCCTTTAAAACTAAAGATTAAGATTCGACGTCTCACCTGAATGAGAGGAGCGATCGGCCGCCCTCGCCGTTTCCCACCGGTCCCGCCAACTCCCTCGGAGCAGGAAACGCAGCCGCGTCCTCCACGGAGCACACTGGGATCAAATTAAAGTGAAAGTGAAGGTGTGCAGTAACAGAGAAAGTCCCGTCATTTCCATCTCATAGGTATTTGATCCCTGACTGCAGGCCAGAAGAAGCCGCTGCATTACAGAATCATAAAATACGCTGGTGGACCTGCAAAAGTTCAACTTGTAATAAAAAACTCTTGGTTCATACACACAATAAAATAAATAAATGGATGCAATGTAAATCAGGTACTGTGCAAACGGAGTGTGGTTGGAGGCTAAAAGCACTCAGGAGATAGAAGACTGATCTGGGAACAGAGTGCATCAGGAGGTGAAGGTGCGGGATTGTGGGTAAGGCCTGCAGCTCTTGGGCTCGGCGGTTCGGAGGAGCACGGCACCTGGCTGGGAGTCCGCGGGGTTCAGAGGAATGAGGATGTCTGAGCTCCTGCACTGGGTCATGGCCTGCAGGGGGCTCCACGTGGACACAGTGGGCAGACTTCCCACCACCGCCGCCCTGGAAACGAGAGACGGACAGCTTGAGGATTCTCCCGTGATGCTTAGGGGGGGGGTGGGGGGTCTAATCATCGCCATGGTTTTGGTGAGATGGATAGAGATAGATAGACTTGAGTCTTGTTCTAAATTTGGGTTTGTTTTTATAGCAGCAGTTTCATGGACCGGACTCTGTTTACCTGCATTGTATATTGGAAAATAAACGTTTTTGGTTTATCTCCTCTTTTTATAATGGTGGTTGATTTGTTCACGCTTAATGTGCCCAGAGGAAACTGACTGTTGTGTCCTACTAATCACCTCCAGCAGCCATTTATCAGAGAACCCAGCCCATAAAACTGTGTGAAACAAAAATATGAGCATTTTTTAAATTAAGAACGGATTCCTTTATGATCTCACGTGCTTGTAATGAACAAGCGCCAAGGTTATTTGTCCCAATGCTCATTTCTCTGGCAAGTTTTCCCTTTATACTTTTTATAACCATCAACTATAGTCATTAAACTCACTGATCAGAGCTGCTTCTCTCCTCCTCCTCCTCCTCCTCCTCCTCCTCCTGGGTTTGTGCTCTGGGTTTGTACATCATCTCCTCTTCCTCCTCCTCCTCCTCCTCCTCCTCATTGTCTATACTCTTCCTGTCGGGCAGAGGAGAAGGAGGAGTAGTAGGAGGTGGAGTACGAGTAGGGTGGGGTGACCCCACCCAGCTGATGATGCCCGGCTCAGCCAAGCCGTTCTGAGCGGGCGACTCGGAGAAGTCCACCGCTTCCTCCCCGCTGCTCTGAGCGGGGGCCGCGTGGCTCTTCCTCATCGCCGCATTCTTCTGGGCGTCCTCCTCCTCTCCCTCCTCCTCCTCCTCATCCTCAGCGCCTCCGTCCAGGTCGTCGTCAAAGGAGATGATGTTGGTGATTTTCTTTTTCCTCCTGCGCTCCTTCCTCAGCCCGGAGTCTGGGTGGGGAAAGAAATAGAAAATCCTCAATTTCTACCTTGAAATTGAACTGGTTGGACTAGTGGCCTCAACGTGTTACCGCGGCAAGTTTGAGAAATGTCGCCGTCAGCGTCTTCAGTTTACTGCGATTAAGACTTTAAAAAGAGGCGCTTTCCCGTGGCTCTCTCCTTCCTTTTCAGAACAAAAAAGGCCCGGCGGGGAATTAGCGCGTCTCCCACCGGCGAACAATCTGAACGGGTTTCTGAATGCGCATCTCAGAATCTACAATCAGCCCACCGGACAAGCTTTACGGTTCAAAGTGAAAAGCTTGTTCATCCCACTGAGCGGAAACAGAAAGAGAGAAAAGGCTCCGCAGGCTAAACGAGGTCAAACAAGGAAGCCACACAGAAGCGTATTCATCTCATGAGGGACTTCCATCACTGCCGCAGCGCTCTGCTGCAGACGCCTTGCGCTGCATCCACTTTGTTCTGCCAGCGCATTTGTTATCCACGCTCCGAGGGAACCAAGTGTTGTTCCACTGCGGGTTGCTGGTTCCGTGACGCTTTTGGCTACACAAACATTCCTCCAGCGAATATACGGCAAGCCGAAGTGCTGGAACGCAGCACGTGTCCCTCCTTGTGACGGAAATAACTTAAAAAGACAAAGGAGATAGTTCACCCGAAAAGCGTCACGTACGCAAAGTTTGGAGGAAAATGTTTGCAGCTTGTGTATCAATTACAAAAAAAGCTCCCGACTGAAGCGAAAGAAAAAGCGCCCCACAAAGAAATGCTGCAGCTGAGTATTTCTTGCACCGCTACGGTCTTGTATTATGGATGACTCCCCTCCCCCCCCTCCCCCCCGCGTGTGTTGCAGCAAAACGAACCCAGCCTGCGTCAAACACTGCGGTTTCCTACCAGCGGAGCTGCTGCGAGGAAGCACGGGCAGCGGGTCCGAGGCTCCGCCCCCCCGGGGGGTGAAGCCGGGCACCACGGAGGTGGCGGTGCCGATCTCGCGCAGCAGGCTGCTGACCCCCTGGGTGGACTCCTTCCACAGGCTGCCGATGCCCTGCGTGGACTCCTTGAGGAGGTGGGACACCGATGAGCCGCCGCCGCCGCCCCCCCGCGTCGCCCCGCCGTTCAGGTCCGTGTTGTCGATGTTGATGGCGAACAAGATGGAGTTCAGACCTGCGGGGCCGCACCAGAAAGAGAAAGATGAGCCTTGTTAAAAATCATACGAAGCTTTTCAACTTCTGCAAAGTGCCGTGTAAGCTGTTTCCGGCCCCCCCAGAGGAGATCGCTGCCTATCTGCCCGCGCACCAACAGGGAAGAAGAGCGCTGGCGTGAGATCAGTGGTTTATACTCTCAATATTTCACAGTTTGTGCTCAACAGAGTTTGGCTCATCTATTGTTCAGCAGCGAGAGCCTCGGTCATTAACACCAACAGGGTTCAATCCAGCCGCAGTAAACAAGTGCAACGGCAGTCCGTGTGTTCCCACGGCGCCTCGGACCTCAGCCAGAGCGAGGCCGTGATGCTCATTAGACAGCGGAGGGTGTGGATGATGTGGATGGATGAAACGTATGGACACCGATGACGTGAGGATGGCCCAAGAGGGACGGCTTTCATTCCAAGGGAGTTTCCCCCGGGTCTGTTTCGAGCTTTAAGGTTATCGTTAGCACGCTAACGTGCTAATATTCTCAGCGTACAAACTTCTACGTTCATGCTAATGTCACATTACATGGAACTAATTAGTAAAATACTTACTGTTCACATTTTAAAACCCCTACATTAGAGCACAGGCCTCCCGTGAACACATTAACCTTATAAGTTGGCATAACATGCAACACAGTACTTTTAGTCAGAAAACACATCCTCACCTGCAGCCATGGTGGGGAGCATGCTGGCCCTCTCCTCATCCAGAATAAAAGCCCAGTCTTCGTAGTAAGTTCTAGAAAACAAGGGAGGAGGTGAAGCAACTTCATCCGGAACAAGAGAGGAGACACATTTCAATGCAAAGAACTTGTGAAAGGGATTTGATTTTGAAAGTGAAAGAACATGTGAAAATGGACTCAAAAGGAAGTCACACACACACACCCACACACACACACACACACACACAGCGTGTGTGTACTAACCCCAGGCGCAGGCGGTCAGCCAGCAGCGTGTGCAGGTACCGCTCCAGCGAGTGCTCGTTGAGGGCGCAGCGCAGCCAGGCGCGGCCGCGGCCCAGCTCGGACGAGATGTGGCGCAGGGAGTAGAAGCGCTGCAGCTCGTGGCGATTCAGATGCTCCTTCACGTGGAACCAGAAAGTCAACTCTGGGCGAGGGGACAGACAGATGGAGGAAGAGGGGAAACAAAGAGAGGGAATTAGTGTTGTCCCGTTTGTGGACGAGGTTTGAAAAAGGTGGACAAAGCGGAGAGAACAGCCATGAGCTCAATCGTCACACGAGCGATCAGCTTTTCCATATTTTGCACTTACAGATCGCACAAATGTGTCATCTTCTATAAAACTAGGGGGAAACAAACAGACTTGTGTGGTTCCAAAGGTTCTCTGAGGTGATTCCCAGGAAGAGAGGAGTGTTATGCATAGAATTAGCATATTACACCACCACAATATCACCACCATGCGTTCAAATTACGGCCGCCATTTCTGGCCGGGCTTCATTAGGAAGTTCCAAATCCACAATCCTTTCTTCTAATGACTGTGAACTACAAACGTCAGATATGCTAATGGATCCAACGCGGTGGTCATTGCATAAGTCGCGCGTTAAGTCCTCCGTCTGAAATAAATAGTCACATGGTTGTTAAATTAGACACAGTGGAAAGCATTTAGTATAATGTAAAACTAATGTCTCCACGGTCTTTAGGAGCTTTGACGAAGTCAAACTGAATATTTGACTGTTCGTTTCTTCATGGCGATTCTGTAGAGCAGCGGCTGCCAGTTAGTCAGTAAGTGTCAAGTTGGGGAAACTGGAGAAGCGCAACTGATTTGACCAAAATCTAAAGAACAACAAATGGGAATAGAAAGTGCACATATTGAGAGACGGTAATAAGAATTTGTGAAAGGTGGTTGCTAATCCCGCAGAGAACCAAAGGACAAGCAGTAAAAGTGAAGTTGGTGCGAGAATGGGGGGAAAAAAAAGTATTGGATAACTGGTTAACAGAAATGTCCTAAAGTAAGAAAAGAAACATTAGTAAGCTGACAGTAAGAACAGTCAACAGCTATAATGAACTGCTAAACAGTAACGTAAGTACATTTAACGAATTAGCTAGTTAGAAAAGGTAAACCTTAATAGATTTAGAGTTAAAATAGCTTCAAGTAATGTCTAAATGGTTAAAACACCGGTGCAATGTAACAAAGCCTCTGACTGGTAAAGCTATGGGGCCAAATCATAAGTGGAATCCGTTGTGTTTGGACAAAGACGTCTGCGTTACGTTAAGTAGTAAAAGTAATGGATGCTAAATGCTTTAACACCTACAGCCTCAGCCATCCCATTGAGTAGTGACGCACGTCCATAGGAATACCATTGTAACATCCACTCTTATGCCAACTTCTACATTAGTAGTAGTTCAATATTATGCAGTTTAAAATCAATTCAAATGCACAGATTTGTAACAGGATGGGGAGGTTTACTTCAACAAAAAGGGGCTGGGAACAAATAGAGACAACATGGGAATTCTGTGAAATAAAGACAGCTGGAAGCTACTTCCTTGCAACAATTAAGTGTCAGCTAGATGGGTGGCTGCAATAAAAGGAAAATACAATTATCTTCCCCGGGATGCACTAAAACGTGAAAGGAGAACCCGGAGAACAAGGCGAGAGTTGCAAAAAGGGTGTTTTCCACACTGCAAGACCGTATCACATACATCTTCTATCCAAGTGTACACTGAATCCAATATTCTAATCGCGCCGATTCTTACGGCTGCGATGTCACAGATGTGGGGAAAGCACGGGTTCGAAGACGTTCTCCACTGTGGGCTAATTATCGTCTCTCGCAGCCGGGGCCGTACCTGCTTCGGCTTTGGTGTTGAAGCCCGCCGCGTGCTTGAGAGCGGCGGCGGTGAGGGCCAGGCCCCGGCTCTTCCTCAGGCCGTGCTGCAGCACCGCCTCGAACTGGGCGCACAGGCAGATCACCCTGCAAGGAGACGGAGGCCAGTCACCGGACTATGGACCGCCGGGTGGTTTTCATGCTTGAATTCACGGCTGCACTTTAAACTCGACGCGTGCAACGTGATCTGCGGTTTCCCCGTGGAAAGATGAGTTGTTTATATTTCAAAAAAACGCAGCTACAACCTGGAAATTAGATCTGTGGCGCACAGGATATGAGACTTTGATCAAATATTTCTCTTTGAGAGTATTAAGCTCTGAGGAAGCACGGTCAGTACCATCATTTCTCATAAATATTTTCCTCTTTTCCATCGTAGTAGAAACTTATTGCTTAGATGTGGTGGAAACTTTAAAGTATAATAAATCTCTCAAACAATCAAAAATTAGGTTATTTAGTTCATTGCAGTCAATAGAATAGAGCTTCTCCTTTTTTTTTTTTATGCCAGGTTCCGGAGACGGACGGGCCACAGCATCAGGCGACCCGGAACCCACACACGCACACCTAACAGCACCCTGGGGTGCTGCGTAAAACGCCGATGCAGCAAAAGAAACACCTTCTTCTCCCACCTGCTGTCTGAGTCCGTGGCAATCTCCTTCCTTCCTCCGAAGCGGATTTGACACTGGAAAGACAAGAAGCGAATGAGAACAGCTTCTCTTCAGCGGTGCACTGCCGGGTTTGGTGTTTGGAGCGATCGATGCTTTGACAAATCAGGAAACGTGTGACTGAAACAATATTTCATCTTTCAACATTTAACTCCGATTTGTCTAATGTCCGGTCAGAGCATTAATTACAACATAGTAGTCCATACATTTTATATATATATATATATATATATATATATATATATATAGACAACATTCTACTAAGTTGTACACAGAGTTTTACTTCCTCCAGCGTGTTTTGGTAGTCGGTAGATAGAAGGCTCTGAAAAGAACGCTGCCACAAACCAAATGGTGAATTACTTCCTCTTGTTCTGGTCCAAGGCATCGATCCAAACACCACCCGACACTATTAGTGTGCAGCAGTGTTTTAAAAATAAAGCTTGGCAACAAAATGTCCACTTCCGCCTGAAGAGAGGGAGAGACGAGGCCGGACTCACCTGTTTGACGGCATCCAGCAGCCTCTCCAGGAGGTGCTGCCTCTTGGTGTCGCTCTGCTGGGTGCCTGCAGACACACAAACAAACCAGGGATTAGAGGACCTATCACCATTGATTATTCACTGCTTGTTCCTGTATAGATCGTGCACGTCCAAGAGGAGGCGAAGGAAACAAAATGATGGAGACAATCATGCACGTGGCAGTCTGTAGAAAACACTGTTTTGTTTGAATTGTTTGATAGTCTAACATTCAAGCGTAAGTTTGCTCTGAGGAGACAATACTTTTTGTAAATGTACGCATGCGGACTAGAATGGAGCCGGAAGGGACAAATCAGACATGGATAAAGACATCTGAAGACACCACTTAACCTGAGGACACAATGGATATTATTTAATTAAATATGTTTTCATTTGGATTACACCGTTTGTTATTTGTATTTCTCAGTTTCACATTTGCATTGTTATATACATCTTATACATCACGAATATTAACTCCAGATTGACCCCAACATTGTAGCGTCGTGCTTTGCTAAAGGGCACCTCGGTAGTCGGCGACGGAACCTGGTGCAGTCGCTTTCGGACTCGTGACGGACACACTTGTACAACCCGGGAGGCTACACGCACTGACAACACAACACGACCCGACTCACCGTTCATCCTGACGGGACACACTCCGGCGGCGGGGACAACCGAGCCTAGCAGCTCACCGACCGGCCCGGTGGCATCGACTCACAGCGGAGCTCGGCCCACATGCTTCCCCCGTGGCCGGGCCCCGGGGAACGGAGCGGCCTGGCCGGGGAGCCGCTGGCCCTGTGGCCGTGTGGCTCTACCCCAGGTCCGGCATGGAGGAGTTGAAGGAAGCGGGTGGGAGGGGGAGCAGCGCGTGCCGGCGGGCCGCAGGACGCCACCGGCGTTATTTTAAAAAATGTGTCGGTTTGGCTTAGAAGAGGAAAGAGGGTGTTTATTTCGGTTTGGGGACCTGACCCGCGGCAAAGAAACGGGAAGCGGAGGAGCGACTGAGCGGTGTCGAGGTCACGTGGGCAAACACACGCCTGTCATATGACAGGAAGTGGCTGATGGGAGTTGTAGTCTTTTTCTCCAAGTGTCGAACTGCGCGGGTTCAACAGAATAAAGTCTGTGAAGCGACACACGTCCTCATCGTATTGTATGTGAATCTGGAGCAGGAACTGGTAGGTGGAGTGATTTAGTTTTTTAGATATCCAGACCGTGAAACATCCAGTCATAGTGTGTGGGTTTAATCCTGTGAGAACATCTATTGACAACTACGGAAAGACTGTCTATGAATATTTCACTGATTTCATACATGGAATTGCTGATTGAAAAACATCTATATGTCGTAAAAAAAAGTTCTTAAGAAAATGCGGTTGAATGCAAATCCGATAATGAAACTCCCAAAACTCTTGATGGTTTAGCCCTTTGATTAGTCAACTACTTGGATCGCCATAGACAAATGAATACCTGCATTCGTAAATTGCCTAATTGATAATGACATGAAGAAATGATTGATTCTAATAATTCTTCAAATATATAAATATCAAGATAAAACATGAAATGCCACCACTGTATATAAAATAGATCTACTGAATCTACTGAAATAAAATCCAATGTTCATAATTACATGTATTACTATTTGATTGTTTTATTTCATGTAAGCAGCCCAATACTTTATAAAATGTACATCCATAATTCAGTTTCATAATATCACATGACTCAATGACCTGAGAATCATCCCGGTCTGCTTCAATCTGTACTTTGATTATTTTGGTAAGACTTTAGTGTGAGTAGAGAGCAAATACTTTTATTAGAGCTCTATTACTTTTTTTTTTTTACATAAAAATATTATACTCCAGTAAAGTGAGTAGATATAAAAGGGGGTAAAAATTAAATAATCAGAACATTTAGACATTTTTATGGTGGGAGGTCATAATTCTGAGGAACACTTATCAATGATAAATGCATTCTATGAGCATATCCAATATTCAACTGCATTGAAAATAAGCAATCAGCTTGTTAGACTGAAAACCCTCCAGACAGATGGCATTGAAACATGTACTCCCATTGTTACGCAAGTTAGATTATAGCTTCAATTATAAAAGGTATTAAAATGAATAAGTAAGAAATGCGTGACTTCTCTTGGCTGCAAAAAAGCAGCTATAAATATCCCAGTCACACAATCAGCCTCATCATAAAAGTCCCTTATTACAGCCTTTATTTTTCTATTAACACTCATATCCCTACTGTGCAATATCTGTGAATCAACACAACATGACTGATGTGGCCATGTGGTTTCTAAATAAAACAATTTGCTGCACTTGTAATAGTGTGCAAGGTTTACTTCTTATCGGCTGGATAAGAACATGTGGACGTTATCTAGACAAGACTCCACGCTGTCAAATCAACTACAGACTGATGGCATGAATAAAGAACACATCTGGATTTTGCTTTCTATGTGCAGAATGTAGGCAACATCAGTTTGAGGTCATACTTTTGCCATAATTCTGTAAACATACAGGGATCCAAACATGGTGTTTATTTACACACATCAAAACAAACAAGTTTTTTTCCAAGTAAAAACACAAAATGGTAATTTCACTGAAGAAAAATAAAAAAAATCAGTCTTCATTGTGTCATCTCTCTGGGTCCGGCCACAAAAGTTTGTCTACCTCTATATCACATGCAATGTGGCACCGGTTCAAGGCACCGTATCCAGCCCGGACATGATGCCTGGTCCATTTCCTCACATGCCTCCTCCATTGCCTGTAAAAGGACAATGGACGGTCGTAGACCTTCCAGCGCCAGGCAGAGAAGAACTCTTCAATTGGATTACAGAATGGAGAGTCTGCAGGGAGGTTGAGTACAATGAAGAGCGGGTGATCTGTAAACCAGTTGCGGACCAAAGTCGCCCTACGGAAACTAACATTGTCCCATATGACGAAGTATCTGCTCTGGTCTCTGAACATTAGAGAGAACGTCATGGAAGGTCTCCAGGAACGTGATGATTTGTGCTGTGTTGTATGGGCCCAGGGTTGCATGATGGTGAACAAAACTATTTTTACTATGTTACCACCACGTTGTACTGCAAAATTATTGCACGGTGTCCGATGATGTTCCTGCCACGTCTCCTTGTTTTAGTGAGGTTAAAACCTGCCAGATCCACAAAAAGCAGCTCATGATCCGTGACATCTGCCTCCAGCTCCATCACTTCCAATGCAGCACGGCCGGCCCATTCACAGCACTACAGGACACGCTTCCTGTTTCAGGACCAAGGATACTATAGATTACCTGCACATAGTCATATCGCAGTTGTTTCACACGTTCACCGTTTCTTTCCAAAGGAACTTTGTTTCATTCGGATTCTGTTCTGTTGACCCTTTACCGGGCAGTTGTACGCGTAATGTCCCGCTGCTCCGCAGAACAAGCAAAGGCCTTGGGACCGCCGCCTCTCCTTCTCCTCCTGGGAAAGCCGGGCTCTCCCGACCTGCATAGGCTCGTGATCGTAGCCGGAACTGACCGTGTCCCCGCCGTGGAACCGCCGATACTCTCCGCCAGGAATCCGGCTGGGCCCAGAACGCTGCACGTCGGCCGTGCATCCACCCGAAGTGCCAGTCGAATTAGGTCGTTCAGGGTTGTGGGAAGGTCCAGGGCGTAGATCTCCTTCTGGACCCGGTCAGCCAGCCCATGCAGGAACATGTCCCACTGCACCTCCTCGTTCCACCGACACTCGGCCGCCAATGTCCTGAACTCAATAGTAGAGTAATCAGATACTGATCTCTCACCTTGTCTTAGGTCCGCGAGCGTCCTGGCCGCCTCCCTTCCTGTGACCGCACGGTCAAATACTCTCCTCATCTCCTCGCCAAGTGTCTGGAAAGAGGCACAGCATGGGTCTTGGTTCCCCATAGCGCTGCTTTCCCGGTCAGTAAGGTCAGCACAAAGGAGACCTTGGCTCGCGCAGTGAAAAATATTCTGGGCTGGAGGGAAAAATGCATTGAACATCGTGTCAGAAATGCTCTGCAAAAGGATGGCTCACCGGCATAAGACTCAGGAACTAATAGGCGGGGTTCGGACTGGGAGAGGCCGTCTGGTGGTGTGGGGGGAGCGGCTGGCGCGGGGGGCGAAGAGGGTCCTTGCAAAAGTTGGACTTGCTGGGTGAGTTCAGACACCTGCACCACCAACGCCTGTACAGCTCGCCCTGTGTCGTTCAGGTGTCTCTCTTGAGCCTCCATGCGGTTGAGGCTGCTATTCAGGAATGCCTCCATAGAGAACGAGGGCTCACTCGCTGCTTCTCTTGCTTGGAGTGAAAACCAAGTTTATTAGGTCAGAGTCAATGATTGCAGTCCCCAAGCTACCGAGGTCCTCCTGGTGGTGGATGGCGCATGGGCGGGGAGGTCAGCCCGTAGCCCGGGGAGAGGGATGATGATGAGCCCAGGATTAGATGGATCCAGCGACAACGAACACGGGAACACCATACAAAGCACGAGACTGGGACCGCCAACAGGAACACACACACACACACACACACACACACACACACACACACACACACACACACACACACACACACACACACACACACACACACACACACACACACACACACACACACACACACACACACACACACACACACACACACACACACACACACACACACACACAGGAGACATCAAACAACGATCTGACAATGAGAGGAGGGACACTGAGAGTCTTATTGGGTGGCGAAACGAGCTACAGCTGGCACGCAAAGTGTGATCAGCTGTTCTGTTGATTACGCTGCTGACTCCGCCCACTTCACACAGCCCCACATAACACACGATACCAGGAGAGGGCGCTGGATTCATGATCCGTGACACCAAATCAACAAACAAAACAATCTGTGCAGGTCAGTGTTGTGTTCAAAAATGAAGAAGCGCCAGACGGACAAGGAGGTCATCGCAGATCACAAGGTTAAAATCAAATGTATTTAATAAAAGAGATGGTGTGACTTTGCGTTCCATTTATGTTCACAACACTCTACCTTGCATGATCAAACACCCACACTGACATGACTGGAACCACTGACGTACACACCTCATAGTTGCTTTACTTTTGTTTTTGCTACTTTACTTAAATAAAAATCCTTTTATGTCAGCTTTGCACTGTGTCTCTCCCGTTTTTGTCATCTCCGTTGAGCCGGGTCATGACATGGTGTTGTGGTAAAAACATCTCAGCTGAGGAGCCGCTGGTCTCAGCAGCCAACAGGCCCCAGGTCAGTTCTTTTGACCATCCCTAGTGCTCGTCTGTCGCCTCCATCAGCGAACTCCAGAACAATGGTTCCTACAGGTATTTATACCAATGCTTAAAGGTGTGAAAGTTGTCTTACATCAAATACAATCATAACTGTACATTGGTATTATTCTATTACAGTCGCAGAATTACAGTGGTTTTACAATATTGTCATTACTTTATTGATTACACAGTTTCAGAATCATGGCTGGTGTACATTATATGTAGTTTATTTTATGAACCGGCTCGTCAGTTTATTTCTAATATCCTACATCACCAAACTTCCCTAGACCACACAAAGGAACAAACAAAGTACAGGTATCTCCCTACCCAAAAACAGGTGAAAACATGGTCCAACAGAAGGGCTTCTCGCCGCTACCACTGCCGACCCCCTTGCTAAACCCACCACCCACAGATCTGTGAGGCGCAGCATGAGCCGGTTGGAAGCTGGAGAGAGAGGCAAAACAGGGGCCGGCTGGCTCCCACAGGATCCCTCTTCTACACCAACGTCCAATCACCTGCAAAGAAAAGAGGCACAGAGCGAAACATAACAGCAACCCCCCCAGGCAGGGAGGTGAACCGCAACTTTAACATGACCGCTCTGAGTCATAACACTACGGTAGCTCCGATGTCGTCTGATTTCTTATTCTTCTCACCCTTCCTCTTCCCCCTCCTCGTCCTCCTCTTGCCCCTCCTTGTCCTCTTCCTCTGTCCCTGTCGTCCTCTCCCTCTCCTTTCTTCACTTTCCGCGTCTTCTCCCTCCTGCTCTTCCTCCTACTTCGTCACCTCCACGTCCTCTTCTTTTAATTCTCACTCTTCCTGCTCCCTCCATTGTACTCCTCACAGAGAGCTCATCTGTGGCTTATTCATAGTGCTTAGGCCGATTAAACCCTTAATAGTTATTTGTCCTTAAAAGGTCATACAACAACATTAACAATTTTGCATATCATGCTATCGTCTCAACAGGTAAAATAGTTTTTGTCCTTGTGCGGGTGAGTGTGTGTGAAGGAAATGACGACTACTTGATATAAAGAGAGCTTCCATTGATAATTTGCTGATTTAGCACCAATGGCCAAATTGTTTCGTGCACAAGTAATGTGCATGGGTCATACAGATTAGGTGACACCATAGACTGTACTGTAGTCTGTGTTTCAGTGTCCATGTGTGTGGCATGAATCATTGTCTCGTTCAGTACATCTTACTTTCCCAGGGAGTGAACCTTCACACCACTTCATGGATCGTCTCTCGCAAGCGCCGCAGGGGCTGAGCGTCTTTCTATTGTTTTTTCCCCACTTTTTAATCCTTTGTAATATGGACAAGCAATGTCAAGCAAGTGGTTGATTTTTAATTATTAATTTGGTTTTGCTATCTTAACAAACCGTCTTGCAATGTTTGCTTTGTAAGTACTGTAAGTACGGTTGGGCATCCCAACATGCAGATCTCCATCTGATTTGCTCACAAGACAAAAAGGTTAAAGGTCAAGATCAGCAGTTTAGTTGATAATAAATGCAGCGGTAGAGTCAATATGAAAAGATGATACCAGGTGAGAACAAATAGAAACGGTCTGTTCTGGAAAAGAATAAAAAATATAAAAAAATATAGAGTTGCTTCCCTAAATGAAAGTGTGAAATTTTCAGAAATATACTAATTGGTTTTCAGTGGCGGCCGGTGGAAATATTCTAGGCAGGACTATCCAATCAAATTCAACGAACATCCCTAGAATGATTGAAACTGTGAAGTTATTTTTGTTCAATAACATTTATTGCAATATACGGAATAGTTGTCAATACAAGGTTAACAATCGCATTGGTGTCACTCTCACAAGGAATTCAGTATAGTCCATTTAACTATCCATCTATCTAGATAGAGCCAATGGCATCCCCTCGTGGCTGAAAACGATACTACATCTGATCGATGTTGAACGTGCGTGCTTAATTACTGTTCAACTTAAACTTAAATCCCTCACCAGACTGGATTGTTAAACAAATGGAGCATGAGACTCCAACACAGCTCGCTCTCAGACACCACTTTTCCAAACCACCAGATAAACCAGTACGGGGATGAGGCTCACGGGGACGAGGGTCAGGGCGACCACCAGTCCGTGAGGGGCGTCCACGAACTGAGGATCCTCCTCAGAGCAGTTGTGGAAGTAGAGAGAGTGAATGGAGAGGAAGAAGGCATGGGTGATGGGGTTAGGGCTGTAACAGCCAACGTGATGTGACAGTGCCTCCAAGCAGAGCGACATATCGTTGTATGGCCTGGAATAGATTGAGAAAACCAGGGAATTAACCAGGCGGCAACCTCCAGTTCTGTAGAGTGAAGTGCTGAAGATGCATTTGGTCCTTTGTTTCCCCTCAGTGTGAATTGTAAACATGAGTTTATGGTCTCAATCTCTAGTTTCAAGTATTTTTCAATACAGCATTATGTTCATTTAGCAAATTCTGGTGCATTTTGAGTCATACAGACCATGAAGCAGGGGATGCTTCTTGGTCGGATTGACAGGTCTCTACAAGATACAGCGTTTCTGCGTGCTCCTCTTTCCAAATATGCTCACTTTCTGTTCAGTTGTTGCAAAATTCTTTTAACAGTTAAGAAAGTTTACAGAAGGCTCTGATTCCGGATGGCATTTGTCACTTTTTCTTCAGTTGGACCGAGAAGCACTTGAAAAGCGTGGCACGTCTATCTGTGACTCAAAGCGAAACTCTTGTGGTACAAAATACTTCCGGTTTGAACATAAACAGAGCATGAGGCAGTGGAAGGGTGGGTTGGAGAAAGATACCATCAGCATAATTTACTACGTCAAACCAGCACTTAATCGTGATTGTGATGATGGATATATTCCCCAATGCCACATAACTATTTGCTGTGTAGTGTTGATTAAAAGATACAGTTGGTATTGTTCAATGTTTCTCCCGATCTCATGAAAGTGCTAAAAGGTTTTTTTCATATCTCAAAACTTCTGTGTTTTTTCTTTGGCTCTCAGTCTGTAGCCCATTGCTTCTTACTAAGGTAATCCTTAAAAAACATCACACATATATATTTTTATTCCATTACTTTCAGTAATATCCTTAATTATGTGGCACCAGCAAACATCAGTCAACAGGAATAAAAAGGTAATTTGTTTGAGGCTGTTCATTCATCATTCATGTTGTATGCATTGTAATGTCCTCATTTAACATATGCACCTGTTAAACAAATAAAGGTCTTATTAAACATTTCAGTTCGAACATATTTTGAGACATTTTTGGGTTTTTTTGGATCATATGCAGCGGCCACCAAGGTCGTGTGATCCAAACGCACGTCAGTCTGGTCACAGCAGGTGAAGTTAATTAATAATTAAAGTCCATAATCAGTCAGATTCTACCACAATGAAACCCGAAGCGGGGAAATCTCTGGAAGAAGAAACCAGGAACCAGACGTAATTCCGTGGCACAGTGGGAGAAGAAAGTAAACCTTCGATGAAACAATCGCAGTTAACTGTAGCGAAGCTAGCCATCTTTAGCTAACTTAGCTAAACGCTAGCAAAGCTAGCCATCTTTAGCTAACTTAGCTAAACAGTAGCTAAGCTTGCCATCTTTAGCTAACTTAGCTAAACGCTAGCAAAGCTAGCCATCTTTAGCTAACTTAGCTAAACATTAGCTAAGCTTGCCATCTTTAGCTAGCGGGATTTTATGCAATATGGAAAACGACTACTTCATCTTTATTGGAGAAAATGGGATTCGGCGTCAAGTAACGTGAGTAAATAACTTAAAAAGTAAGTTTATGTGGTTTCTGTCTTGCTACTGATTGTTGGTTATGCTCACGGTGTTCTTTGTGAATTGCATGTTGTTTACTTGAAGTTGTTGTTTGAGCTGCTGTTTTTATTAGTAAATCAGGAGTAGGACAGGTGTGTAGACCTTTTCAAAGACGCATTCCAATTTGGATAATATTTGATAAGCATTATTCGTAATTTCACTTTTAGTATTAAAAGGGAGTTATTTGTGATTAAGTTGACAAATGTGTGAGTGAGTTGTGAAATGTATCAAGTACATTTACAAAAGTACTGTGCTACGGTACAATTTTTACGTACTTCATTTTAAAGAATTATTTCAATTTTATTATACTTGTACTACATTTGAGGGAAATACAATGTATTTAGCTTCACCACATTTATTTTAGTTAACAGTACAGATTAAGTTAATGCAAAATAAAAACATTCAAAAGTCCGCTATATATGTATAGATATATCTATAAGGATTATACCTGACATTAACCGAATGCAATATTCAAATTGACTCATCAATAATAGTATACATTATTCTGCAAAATCTGCAATAAAAAGTTAATTAGTAGTCAATACCTATTTGTACCGTATTAGATACAATTTATTGTACTGTGTGTATTCTTGTATAATAACATGACTTACACTCTTCTAAGCTCATCTATCGATGGTGTGTGCACCAGTTTTTTAGGATGTGAACATAAAAGGCCTGCGGCTAAGAATTATTTACATTATTGATTTATAATTTGATTGTTTTTTTGATTTATTGACTAATCAACCATCCATGAAATTTCAGAAAATTGTAAACTTTGTTGTAATTTGATTGTCTTTTATTTTTTTATATAATAAAATATTTATTAGATATATTTAAAAATAAAGTCCTTGAACTTGAAAAGCTGCTACTAATATTGTTTAATAACAAAATAATGAACGGATTGTTAAAATAGTAAACGCATGTTTAAAATGTGTCGAGTGCTTTCTAGTTTACTTACGACTGTTGTGTGGTTTGTTGAACTCCACCACAGCAGTGAAATGACCCACCAATCTACTCTACTACTGTTCCAGGAAAACCAACGCATACACAGATTATGTTCTACCTCGCCCTGCATGAAACTTTGCACTTCAAAACTACCAAGATAGATTTTTGTTTCAGGGCCATCTGTGGAGAAGTAGTTTCCAGACACACGCAAAAACACTTTTAGTGTTTTTAGAAACAACCTGATATCTTACCTGATGATATTTTCCATCTCACACCATTTTCTCGGGCCGACTATCGCCATTTCTTTGTGAAAATCTGCGCCACATATGCTGGGACTAAACTCCTCCAGATCTTTCTCTTGGCAATCTCTGCCGGTAATTGCATTTTCCTGCTCCTGAAAACTCTCTGCGGGTAACAGAAAAGAAACGGGATATTAACGACGCCCACCACTAATAAAGTACTTAATTTAGATTTTGTATTTCGTAGTTTTTGTATTTCAAAGAATTTGTATTTCATGTTTCTTTATTCAATGTGCAGCTACATTTTACTCAGCAGTGCATGTTTCTGTATCTTTGCTTTTGCTGAAAAATGAAACCAGGGGTCCGTTTCAAGAAGCGGGTTTAGTGAAAACTAGTTAAGCCTGAAATGAGGGAAACTCTGGCTTGTCTGTTTCACAAAGGGAGGTAACTAAAGCTCAGGGTCAGTCACCATGGTAACGGAGCCTGTGAACATAACCTGGTTGGGAGAAGGTTTTCTTCAATACACCTTGAGTTTCTTTCACAGTCTCCTCCCTCTGACAGCATCCCAGCCAATCACACAGCGCGCTTTCAGACATGCTCTCACATACGAGCACATTCTTTGTGTAGTATTACTTCTCTTTGCAAACAGCATTTTCCTTTACAACATTAGAATATTAGTAAAGCTGCTGTATGCAGAGCCGTGAGAAACGTGTGCCTCACTCTGAAACGTCTTTTAAACGCTTTTGTTCCCTGGACACAAACCAGTGAAGCCATTAGAGAGGAGTTCCACAGAAGCCCTGAATAAAATGCATTATAGGTTCAACACTATTGTACCAGTTTTTACCAGCGATATTGTTCTTGTGATTGAGTATGAGCGTCGGTGTGTATTTCAAGCCTGTGTGTATTCCAACAGAATGTAACATTTTTTATTTTCCCACTGGAAGTTAATAAAACGTATGGATTGTCTGCATATTGAATATTAACTGACAACACTATATTACAGCAATGTTCTCCCACGCAGTTTCTCTGTCTTTTGCTGCTGTACCGGTGTTACTTTTTCTTTTTTTCTAATTACGGGTTCATACTGTGCGCTTACATTAATATTTCCAGCTCAATAGGGGTAAATATATTGTTTGTGGTGGTTGCCATGGTAAATCTTAGTATAATGGCTCCATTCATGCTGCCTTCATACTGTGATGGTGCACACGCTCGACTCTGAGTCAACCTACTCCGAGTTGATTTAAACCAAGTCTAAACAACTGTTCTGAAACCCAAAACTCAGAGTTCCCCATCTCAGGGTGAATCAACTCAGAGTTTAGGGTTTGAGTTTGTTAAACCTCTTACTTGAAACGGACCCCAGATGCTTGAAATCTTATTAAGTAAGCGGCTCTATAAGTACATGAGATTGAAGGCCGCTGATAAAGGACGCTTGGTTTCCTGCTGAATAAGTGGAATCACTCACCGTCCTCCTCCGTAACAAGGGCGGATGTTTGGTTGCCGTGCAGTTCGCCCTCGATCACACTAGTCTTGTTTTCGTACCAACTCGATGTCATGTTGCCTGGTGTCATCGTACCTGCGGGCCAGAAGATGATTAATCTGAGCAATTATCTGCATTTGGTGAATGATTTGTGAAATCCACACAACGACTTAATGATTGTGGGGAATTTCCATCATCGTGAATATCGTCAGGAGTGATTGGAAGAAAAAAAAAAGTGAACAATAGACATTTTAAAATGAATACAACAATTGTAAAAAGAACAGACTCCCATGTTATTTTGTGCTCCCTTTTTGATGCAGAAAGATTTCACAATTTATCCTTAACTTATTTAGTTAATTGTTTGTCCAAGATAATCCAGACCTGAGTAATTCACATGTGTGAAGATAAAACTACAGCCTCCTAATTATCAGGATTCAGTGCTTTCCCTCTTTCATATTTGATAAAGTAAACGAATGGTCTGACAAACAACTAGTTGATTTGATTGACTGAATATTATAACTACCGGCAAGTCTATTAAATTACAAATCACTGGTTGCGGCTAATATTGTGATTTTAAACATTGTTTGATGTTTTTTTTTTTGTTTTTTTTATTGAGTTCTTCAATAATAACTGATGACAAATTTGGACTATGAAAATGTGACAATCAGGGGAACCAATGATCAATCCAAATGAAATATTGGATAAAATACTTACTGTTTTTGGGGGCAGACTGCGAGGACGTTTGGTTCCTCTTAACTTGGCTGCACTCTTCCTCGGTCATGTTGGCTGTCTGTGATTCCACGCCAGCTGTCAACATCACAATTGCATTTAAAAGACTACCGCGTCGGCCTTTTCTCAACTGCTACTAAAACACTCCCCATAAAATCAATCCCACACATGAGGAAAATAAAAGAGCAACAAAGCGGTAAATGCTACGAAGCTATAAACAAATGAAGCTAAAACCCAGACGTACCGAGGAGGACCAGGAGGACCAGGAGGACGGGTACAAGCAGGTTCAGGATCATGGTGGGGAGCGTCGCCGTTAGCTGGTGAGCCGAGGGGCCGTTAGTGGTGCCGGAGGTCTGAGAACCCAGCGGTCTTGGAGGAACAAGTCCCGCCCTCTTTGTCCCGGCTCTGCTGCCTAATGTTTATTGTGTTTGAGCCAGTATTCTCTTGTGACTGATAAACAGGGAAGGGGAAGAAGCCCCCCCCAACCGTGGAGAGAAAAGAGGATTATTAAATTAAATGCAAACACTGTCAGAAATAATTACACATATTATTATCCAACTCTACTTTTATGCTTCTTTAAATCAGGACTCGTTTGTCTGTGTTGCTGTACCGCAGAAACGACTGTTCATTTTTAAATGTTATCACAAATTTATTACAGTTTAATGGATACTAATTATCGTCATGGTGCTTTCTCAATTGGCCAATGGAGTCAGACCTTCATGTGTTGAGCTGCATTCTCTCTAGTGACCCCCAGGGGGGCAACTCTTCTGGTCCTATAGAAGTCTCTTGATTGACTTCTCTTCATGACTTCAATACAGCATGATGTTCATTTGGTAGATGATGGTCCATTTAGAGTGGAAATTAAACTTTTATATTTGTGATCAAATTGTTTGTGGGCTCTCGTTAGCATAACGCTTAATATACTAGTTAAATAACAATAACAACCTACGTTTGTCAGTTACAGATTCCGCTGTCATAAAATGAATGCGTTAGTCCACGCGATTAATGTGCCTGATATTAACGTTTAACAGCGTTAAAGCAATTTAGCTAAATTAAGCTAAGCTAGCGACTACGCTACTTCGAATAGGACCACTACTGTGTCCCTGAAAGACCGTGGTTTAAAAGTGTTTTGTCTAAATGTGGGGAGATTGTTGGCTCTTCAAACACAGCTGGTCAATTATGGAGAGTTGAGCGCAAAGTGCACGAGGACAACAGCAAGAGTCGCTTGTTCAACTTGTTCCACCTGGTGGAATTCTGCCTCTAAGGTGATCAAATGTGTGTAGTTTTGTTTCAAAATAACAATTAAACAGTGTCTAAAATACCCGCTTTCTGAAGTGATTACTCAATTAGCTGTAACATTTAGTGATGAAAAAAACCCCAAATCATGAATTTTAAAATGTGGATTAGTTCATTTTTTTTAATTGGTTGACAGCCCTAGTTAGTAGTTTACTGCCATAAACTTATAATAGTTTGTCGTTTCTATTTCTTAAAGAAATTATCTTTTCTTTATTCTTGTCGTTCTGGATTTCCACCCTCTTTGTTGAATTGCACTTATGGTAAGTCACTTTGAATAAAAGTTAGCTAAATGGATTGTGATCATTTACAATTTATTTTAGTGATTTAACTCTTAATTGGAATGGGAGCCTGCTGACGTTCGGTGGTGGGTGAAGGGGTTTTTCTGCTCCCCCTCGGATAGTCACTGAAAAGGCTCTGAAGGAATTTCCTGTCTCACTTAGCAGCAGGAACTACAGGAACAGGAACGTTTCCTGTGATTTGGGCAAAGAAAAACACGTTGATTTTGTATTTATTCATTCAATGAACTTCCTGTTCTTTTGTGCAGTTTTGAATGTGCCGGATGTCAGAGCTTTTAGTGACACAGCTCATGGAGGCAGGAAGATGTTTTTAGGGGTTGTTGTTGCATGTTAAAAGTCTAGGGATTTTTTTTAAAATTCGGAAAAGCAAATAAAGATGTGTAGTAGCCATACAATTTTGTGGTCCTCATGCCCTGTGCCAGGCTGACTGAATTTTAGGAAATAGTGTGACAATGAGGTCATCAACTTGATATTCCATCATTGTTAATTGTTGATTAGTTTTGATTGCACATTTTGCCTGTCAGTTGGAGCTTAGATGAGTCAATCAAGTGATTGATAGATAAAGCCACAGAGGTTTTTCCATAATTTATCAACTCTTTTGACTTTGATAAGGGTAGAATCCAGCATTAATATTACTACATCATAGATATAGAAAATATTCTTAATAGCTTGTGTTGAACCTTCAGTGTGGAAAGTTTAGTAAAATAACAAAACACCCTTCAATGAGATAAAATGGCAAAATGTGAAGAATAAAAGCAACTTCATAATTGCAATTAAGCCATCTCATTGAAGACTGGAATGGGACACTAAATACACAATATAAAAATTATGTATGTATGCTCTAAAGCAGGGGTGTTTAACTTCAATGTAACGAGGTTTAGTTAGAGAAGATTTGTAGAATCGACCAATACACAATCAACACACAGCTGACAAATCAAATGACTCCAGTAGGATTCAAAAACTTTGACAATATTTATTGTCACGTAACAAAGGACATAAAGTATAGCTGCAAAAAGAAATGATGTCTCAATAACGAAATATATATATATATATATATAATATACACAATAAATGACTGTCTCATTACCAAATACATGTATATACAATAAATGAATAAATTGTGAAAATTATGCATGTTCAAATAAAGTGCTTCAAATCAGAAAAAAGGGATAAAAACATGAAACTTGAATTTCCCCTTATGTTTCACATTTGAACTCCACAGTCTTGACCAATTATAAATAATACATGTAAACACTGTAGCTTGTTTAGAAGTGCTCCCAGTGAAATCGGTATAAGCATATAAGCAGGAATGGAGAGCGGCATTTGTTCCTCATCTTTCCCACCCGTCCCTTTCTCGCACTTTCTCTGTCTCCTTTTTCTCATTTGGCTAACTTTCTTTCTCCTCCTACCGGCTTTTTATTTGTAATTTGCCGCTATCTATTCAATGCAATTGTTCTGTGCAACCGTAAGGACCAAAGCTGCGCCGGATCCGGACTGCGGTCCGCCAGTTTGCAACATCTGCTCTAAAGTATTTCCACCTGAGCTAGAGATCGCTGGCTCTATGAATCAAGAAAGCGAGTGAAAAGCGTCTTAATCTTCTTGAATTCAAATGTCAGTAACAAACTTGAGAGACAAAGTCCATCCGGGCTCAAAATGAACTGAACTGAGAAACTTGTGTTCTCAGTTTGAACAACAGGCTGCCAGTTTCACATCACTTTAAAACAACCGCACAAACAAACACGTGGGTTTGACGTTTGACTCAGCCACCCGGGTGGATGAAGAGTCGTCAACATCTGAGGCGTAAACAACCCTCCTGTGTTCGCGGGACGTTGGTTTCTCACGGTGCCGACCTGGTTAACGTCTCTGAAAAACATTTTATCAAACAATATTTTGTTTTGAATGGCGGATAAAGGAATTTGACAAATTACAATGACCACTTTATTATTAGAGGTCCTCACACTGATACTGTGGACCGCATGTTCTTTCCAATCCTCCTAGCAGCTGCTCTCGTTCATAGAAAGTTCATCACTGCCTTGACACTGTTTCCATCTATAAGGACTTCCTAGAAATATTTAGCATCCTTGTTGGTGGAGCCGATTAAGAAACGTTTGCTTCTGCAAGATTTTTAATGTTCGACTGAGTCAGCGTGAAAAGCTGGATTCAAACATTTCTCTTGCATTGATCTGTTCGACCTATTTCTCAACTCAGGCTCAGCTGCGGGTCGTGACCTTGCCTCGGTGCCCGCCAGTGTTCACGGCCTCAAATGTAAATGTTTGTGAGCCTGATCTGTGAAAAGCACTGAATTCTATTTTTGCGACGTCGGGGAAAGGGAAAACTTGTCTAAAAAAATTGTCTAATGTGCAATACGTCCCAGATGTTTTTGTCGCTCTTAAAAACGTATTACCGATTTATAATTACTGTGCAAAAATCCACATGCAGTTGCAGTGACGATATAAACACAGCAATGATGAACAATAAACCGAGTAGAATAAGCAGAAATGATTAAACAAACATCAGTCTTCGAGATGTGCAAGCACCTGAAAACACCTGGTGGTAAACAAGTCTCTCCAGAGGGCAAGTCGAGGTCAGAACACAGAGCTGCTCTCATTGGCTGGAGGCGGTCATGGTTTTGCCCACAAGCCTTTTTTTAAGACTGGCAGATCCTCAAATCTCTACTGCAGAGACTGTGGGGAAGCTTTTGAGATGCTGAACGTTACAGGTAACAGAAACTAAGATTATAAAGCAGACGGCTTAACTGTGTTGAATATTTAGCTCAACCATTTCTATCGCGTGTGTGTATAAATGCAAATCTATATCAATGTAATTTTTCTGTAAATATATTTTTAAACATGACGGCGTTTACACGTAAAAAAAAAATCTGCATTTGCGTGTATTTGTTTAATTGCGACATTGTCTTTATATCTGGAGATCCATCAACTAGCCAAATTTGTTTTAAATCTCAAATAATATATATATAATTTCCTGGATGTCCTCCCTGAGAACGCCCATGTGTCTAATATAATGTCACATTGTGGGTACAGTAAAAAGAATAAATGAAATTGACCTGGCATGTGATGCTCCTCGTGGTTTCCAGTGTCACTCAAAGTTGTAAAAAATGATATATGATGATATAATTATACATAAAACTGCTGAAACAACCGACACAAGCTTGCTCGTCAGATCGCAGAGGAATCAGTAATTTCCTGATATTGTTGGTTTATTACTGTTCATAATGTGACTCATACAAATGATCAGACGTCATGTGGATCTAAATGAATTTGACAAGCAAGGAAAACACTATATACAGTCATAACTGGCTTAAAATTATTTATAAAGACATGCTGCCGAGGCCGCTGCCGATAGATTAAACATCTGATAATTAAACTATATGTAAACACCTGGACTGCACCTTATCAGCACCCAGAGGGCGTTTCCTTCCTGTAATTCTTTGTAATAATAATTAGATGGTTAGCCAATATTGTGTTAAAGCATGTAATTTGTGAATTTCGGCATTGAAAAATATGTGTGACAACGGATGTGGTTTTACAGTTCTGGTGTGAAAGGACACAATGTCTCCATGGTACACATGTCTCACATGTACAGAATTATGAATTTATGCTATAGCGCTTATTTATATCTACTAAAGTGAGTCTTATTAATCCGAAGACTTAACCATTATACTTTGTCATACAGTACATATTGACACAGGAAGATGTATCTCCTCAAATAAGAGTAAAAAAATGATACATTTTTTTACTTTTAAAAAAATGTAAATTTGTCATACAGTACATACAGTATTTTGTACAAAGTATAATGGTTAAGTCTTCGGATTAATAAGACTAATTCTTGATTTGATTCTTTTAAGTTCTTGTTATATTAAAACATGAAGTTGAAACTATTGCCTTGTAAACCCGCATGGAGCGAAGAGGCCTCTCACTGTAACAAGAACTTAAATTCATATCCTTTTTATGTCAACACTTTCAAAAAATATAGAGTATTTTATCATTTCCAATTGGTCCGTTCTCTTCAGAGGTTACAAAGATTAATGTGTATTCTAACGCAACTTTTAAAATCCACCCTATTTTACTGAGTCTTCCTCTTAACGGCAGTAATACAAAATCAACTCGACACCAATTGCAATGTCTAAGATCTAGTTGAACTTTACCTGACAAGTGAATAAATAACAGATAAATGCCAGCGCTGCTCGCTAAATGTTTTCCTCTTTACTTTTTTTCCTCTTACCTTCTTTTAAAAATGAATTTCCTTAATGCATCTATCCACCACCATAGAAGTCACAGGGATAAGATCTCACAAGAAAGGGGAACCTTTTCTAAATACGAGTTGCCTCATAAGTGCCCGAGTGGCGCAGTGACAGATGAGATGATTAGAAGGTGGTTGTGGTAACTGCTCTATAAAGGCCGTTAGCACGCGACGCTGACTGATCTGGAGAGCCGTCCCGTGCCAACGACCGGGTGCCAGTGTCACGCATGCCGCGACCAAATGACTCAAATGTGTCCGAAGGTAGGCTGCACGAATTATCACTTTCAACATGAGTGTACTTCCTGATATCGTGGCATGAAGCTTTCTGCTCAAAATCAACCCGGCTGCTTTTGTTTTGAACAATGAAGTTAAAACTCCTCACGCAAGTCTACTGTTGTGAGAAGGTGACTCACAATGATCGTGACAGAAGGATTTCTTTCTTCAGGTCGTGGGATGTCATTTGGCCCAAATTATTTAAAAACAAGGAAGAATATGAACTTTAGTCTCAGGCGTAATATATTTCAGTGGATTCTACGGATATTGTCCAATCTTTATATGTAATCCTACTGCTGACCCCCAGGTCAGATCAGAAGTGGCAGATCAGAAGTAAGTAAGTAAAATGTATTTGTACAGCGCTTTTCACAGACAAGTTCAAAAAGTGCTTTACAATGTGCATAGACAGTAAAACAGTCAATATAAAAGACAGATTATCAGGAGAGTAAAAGACGTAGGCTACCAAACGCTAGCCTGAACAAATGAGTCTTCACTTCACAGGCCCAATGTTCCGCTTGATCAGAAGCAGCTATCTGCTCATTATTAAAGAAATTTTACATTTCATCAGCTACGAAAACATATAGATCTGTACTGAAAGTTTGTTTTCACCGGTGGTTCGTGGTTGCAAGGACTTAAGCCTTCCAGACTCCTGTTCCCCTTTAGTCACTATTGCAACATTTCCTACACACTCACAATTTTGTAGGTCAGAAACTGAAAAAGCTCAGACTCGTTGTCTTTACCTTGCAGAAAGCTTCTCCAATTGGGGATATAATACACATATATGTAATATTTATGCAATGGCATAAAATGTGAATTTAAATAGATGATGTTAATCATAAAAAACATTTTAATTAGGATAAAAAAGAATACTTCATCCTTTAGAAACTTTATCTTTGATCAAAGAAAGACGCATCATGTCTAACAAAGGGCCATTATCTTGAAAAATAGCAGCCATATTGCATTTCTATTACCACCATTAAATTCTTTGTTAAAATACATCCAATTGGATGTCTAGATTAACAAAATATGTCAAGCCATTCAAGTTCTACACTGAAAAACCTTTATTCCACTTTTTGAAAAATGGCCGCCATCTCTTTCCGGTGGATTTTCTAAAGTAGTTCGTAGGCCTTCATGCCAAATTTGGTGCTGGTATCACCAAGTCATGAGTGATTCTCAATCTGCCGGACTACAACAACTCATTCCAGAATAATTGACTTCAAAAGCTTTAAAAATGTAAGAAACAACAAAAACCTATTTTTTGAGCTTGTTCAGATATCATAACCAATCAACAAATTATGATAAATAAGTGTCCAAACTCACAGCCCACTCTCTTAACTCAAGCTGCTAACCAACATCTATACATTTTGCGTTTTATATAATGGTCATTACACATAGTAGACAAAGACTTTAAATGTTTTTGATGTCCTCCCCAACCAGCCATGGACCTCAGTATCGACTACGACAACGATTTCGACAGCTATGACTTTAACAACTCGTTGGGGAACACAAGCAACGTCTCATACTCCGACGACTGGTCTTCCGACTTCTGCGAGGCCAAGGCCGATCAGGAGGTCGCCATTAAGACGTTCCAGGTCTGCGTCTTCGTCCTGATCTTCCTGCTGGGCGTGACTGGGAACGGCCTGGTGATCGCCACCTTCGCCCTCTACCGCCGGCTGCGCCTGCGCTCCGTCACCGACGTCTTCCTCTTCCACCTGGCGCTGGCCGACCTCCTGCTGCTCCTCACGCTGCCGCTGCAGGCCGCCGACACGCTGGGCTGGAGCCCCTCGATGGCCCTCGACTTTGTCGTCCGCACCTGCTACGCCATCAACACCTACAGCGGCCTCTTGCTGCTGGCCTGCATCAGCGTGGACCGCTACCTGCTGGTGGCCTGGGCCCAGGAGATGCTTCGTCTGCGCAGGCGGATGCTGACGGGCGGGAGGGCGGCGGCCGCGGGAGTGTGGCTGGTGGCGGCGCTCCTCAGCCTCCCCCAGGTCCTCTACTCCGGGCTGGCGGGGCGCGACAGTGAGGCCTACTGCGGCCTGGTGAAATGCGAGCAGGTCAAAGTGGCCACCAACGGAGCCGTCATCGCTGTGTTTTGCCTGTCCCTCGCCGTCATGGCGACGTGCTACTCCCGCATAGCCTGTGTGCTGTGGGACGGGAGGGCGTCGCGCCGGGGGAAGCAATGGCACCGGCAGCGCACCCTGAAGCTCATGGTGGCTCTGGTGCTGGTGTTCCTGGCGTTCCAGCTGCCGTACACGGTGTTGCTGTCGCGCAAGATGGCGGGGCCCTTCTGCGGCCTGCTGCTTGAGTACGTCACCTGCACGCTGGCGTACGCCCGCTGCGGCCTCAACCCTGTCCTGTACGCGCTGGTGGGCGAGCGCTTCCGCAACGACGTGACGAGGCTCGTCCACAACTCGGGCTGCCGGCGGGGCCTCCGGCGGGCCCCGCAGAGCCTCGCCACTAACTCCATCTCCGTCTCCTCTCCCGCCTCGGCGCTGCTGGCTCGCTCGCTAACGTCCCCTGGACGCGGGGAGTGTTCCGACAACAAGGCGCCGCTTCCCGTCATATTTCAGTTTCCGGAAATCGAATAATCCTTCACGCAGGCAATTCGTGGCTTTTGAATTGTTAATTTACGGCACTAAGTGCAGCTTTTTCTTCATTTAAAAGAAAAATGAATCTGTTTAATATTTTTTTTACATAGGCTACTTCCATATTGTGTTGAAATGCAAGCTGCATTGGTTCTTGCATTTTTGATAAAAAATCATATTTGTGACAGATTTTTTTTTTCTCTTATAAAAAATTAGAGATGGTAATTTATCAGTTGATTTTCTTTAATTATCAAATAAAGTAAGAAGTGATTAGCAACCTCTAAGTAGCAAACTCAGATTTGAGAAAATTTAGAAAATCGAGATGCATCGATAATCGTTTTATCAGTTTAGAATTGATAATCTGTTTAGAATCTAATCGTTGACCTCTGAATCGAATCGTGAGGTGCCAAGAGACTCCCACCCCTATTGAATTGGATGAGAAAATGTGTCCACTTTACATATTTCGTCTAATGTGACTGTGATAGAAAATGATTTTTTCCTGATCTGTGGATTTTTTTTCTTTTTACTTGGACTAACCTTGAAAAAGTTGACTGTACTTTCATCTCATAACTTTTTGTTTCCTCTAGTTTGTCTATTACACACTTTTTTTGATTTTCTATGGTAAAACAGAGTCAAAATAGAACGTTCTATCTGTATCACTTCAACTGTGATATACTAGTGTTTATTATTTATGTTGCAAAATTAACTTAAATTAATTCCTGCATTTTTGGCATTACAGGGCAGTATTTTTTTTAAATTAAAATTCGAACATCTAGGTTAAAAATATCTGATTAAAAGGTCTTGTTGTAATTAATGCTTTTTAAATACTCGCAGCCAACAATACATTACGAACTAAAACACGCTTTAGTTCCTGTTTTTCAGTCATCAGCTGACAAGGGGATGTTGTATATCTCTGCGAACACATCATCTGCTATATTCATACTTAATCAATATGATCAAATTTTCACACTTTTTTTAGAGGAGAACTTCATTTTTGTTTGTTTGTTACCTTTTTTATAAACTGACCTTCTTCTCTCCAAATTTAAGTTTTCTCAATACTTTACCAGAGAATCAGACCTGTTTTTAGTCTCCTCTGAGCGGATCAAACATAATTGTTATAATACATACAAACATAATTAATATTGTTGTTTATATAGCAAGACCTGTATTGTCAAGGTGTTTTATAACTTTGTGTGGTATTCTCCACTCGCCTTTGATTAAATTGTAATGCATTTGATAACTTAAAGACTTGTCTTTCCACATTTGTAGCAGCAATATTATTAATCCTGTCTTGTGTAAGGCCAGGCCATTTTTTTGTATAGAACATGTCGACTCAAAGTGCTTCACAAAACAATTAATATCCAAACATAAAGCAAGAGATTGACTGAAACATTTTTAAAAGGAATACAATTTGCAGTGTAGTATTTTGAAATCCAAAAATGGTCCTTTAAAGGCAGCAGCGAACAGAAAGGATTCATCTGGATTGAAAAGCAGCTGAGGGACTCTGCAGACCTGCAGCTTTCTGGGACTTTGTTCCAGATATGTGGAGCAGAAAAAGTGAACGCTGCTTCTCCATGTTTTAGTTTTACTGGGAACAGAAAGTAGACCCGTCCCAAACGACCTGAGGGTTCATAAGGTGTCAGCAGATCAGACATGTTCTTTCGCAACTATTCAGTTGTTATGCCCCACCTGTGCGCAGCTTTCTGACACTGACTTTTCTCTTTTCTGGCCAGCGTGGCTTTTCTGCTAAAAAAGATCTTTGCTGCAGGAGAGGGCTGGTGTGGAGGAAAACCGGTGCTTTCAGTGATGTAACGTGTCTTCAAGACCTCTGTGTGGACATTTGTGTGCAAGGAGATCACTCACTCACTCACACACACCAGAGATTTTTATTTTAATGTTGTCATTTGCGTCCTGGTTCAATGTGACAGTCTTACCACTAGATGTCAGTGTGACGCTGTTACTGAGGATAACATGGCCTCTAATGTAACGTTACAAACACTCCCACTCCCACCTACGCACTTAATTACACAACTGTCCTGAAGATCCACTAAAAGCAGAGCATCGTAAAGTGACGCCTTGGGAGTGAATTGTATTGTGTGTTATGATGTTTCCACCTGTTTCTCCACGTTACCTTCTCCTGTAGCCGGTGTCCCGGGTTCCGCTTCGTTGGGTCCTGTGTGCTGCTGACCAGGTGAGGTCAGACTCGCAGGTATCAGCGTAACGCTCATGACTTATTAACACCGCCCCTTCTCTCAGTGACACGCCGGTTGCTCCGCCCCTTCTCTCAGTGACACGCCGGTTGCTCCGCACTACCGACGTCATCATATCACCAGGTTCTGATGACGCAACGCGCTGGTACGAACGGGGCTCGGGTCTGAAGGCAAGGCAATTTTATTTGTATAGTACATTCCAACAATTGCTTCACATAAAACCACAAACAAGCAAGGAGAAAAGAAAAACGGTCATTAGGATAAAAAATACGTTAAAAGATTTGAAATAGAATAAAATTCTATGTAGACCCGTCTCAGAGGATGAGTCTCAGTTTAGTCCTCATCCTCTACGTGAAACATTATAAGTTTAGTCCTGATCGTAGACCAGTAAAAGAAACCATCAGAGAGATCTATTTCTATATAGTTCTTCTTAATGCTCATCATTGGTGCCACCGAGTCTGATTCTGTTGAAATCCGATAATACAGAATAAACGCGTGTCCCCGTGTGTTCACACAGTGTAAAAGTGCATTTAATGGAGCTCTTTGGACAGGAAGAGATATCAGGCGTTAAATAAAGAAAATACATACAATATACAGCTTTGATGTTTTATGTGGTTTATTTCATTTATTATAAATGAATCTTTAGAGTTGTTTGTATCCTGACTCCGTTGATGTCAGACACATGTGTCTCCATATACATGGATGCACTAGGACCCAGAGAGCTGCTCGCTGACAGGACCAATGTTCCCGTCTCTCTCTCCCTGTCTCTCTCACTCTCTCTCCCCCCTCCCTCCCTGTCAGACACACAAGGTGTCTGCTGGACCGCTGCCTTTCCCGCACTCCCCTCTGGACATAGATCAAAGAGACTCCCAGCGTCCCGCAGCAGATGGGGCGTGGGGGGGCTTTCAAAGACCACCTAACCCTCATCAGCAGAGACCGCTGCAGCTTTCTGGATTAGTTTGCTGCCAGAGTTTGCTTGACCACCTGTGAGGAGGAGAAGAGTGACCTTTTCCTGATTCATCTTGTCTGTTTGTGCTTCTCTTTGCAGCCTTGTCTCTGGACTCTACCACCTCCCTTTTGGCCAGCTGTCACCCGGCCTGTCACTCTCAGGATATCCCCTTGCCCTCTCTCTAGGGTTTCATAATGCCTCGGGATCTCGTTCAGAGGCACGGGTGGATTTCACCCCTTTCTTTTCCCCTGTTCGAGAACATGGACGTGTAATGAGCGGTGCTGGAGTTGATAGGCCGGGGGTCATGGAAGGAGCCAAAGGTCACGGGGCCAGAACCTCAAATATACATATTTTTTGCGCTTTTAGCTGAGGCAGGTTTGTGGGGAGTTTTTTTTCTTGTATCTGTTGTATTTACGACCATGGGAAACGCAGCAGGGAACATGGAGGTGCCTCTGGGGAAGGAGGGCAAGGCGTCGTCCCTCCCGGGCTCCACAGGCCACCCGAGACAAATGGGGATCAAACTACCGATGCCAGCGGAGGAGGAACTGGAGCAACGCTTCAGCGCAGTGCTGGTGAGTCGCAGAAAGAGCAGCAGGCAAACGCGGTGCAAAGAAAACAAAGAATTCTGAATATGTTAGAAATGTGCACGTCCTCAGGACGAGCTTAGCACAGTGCCAGGTACACGAGGCCTCTGTGGAAAGACACATAAGAGCTCCTTTATGCTGGAGCTTACTGCAGCATTAGGCTCACTGCAGAGGAATGACGGGAGAGGGGGGGTTGTTTACAATTTAACAACTTTTGCTAAAATCACAGATACAAATTCAGCTGTACTTTCTTATATACATAGCGATATTACGTTTTAGAGAAGGTTAAATATTACAAAGTGATGGACTTTGGGTCTACTGGGTGTAAGGTCCCACAGACTGTCGTTGTCATGGTGACGCCACTCACTGCTTTGTTGACTGATGATTGAAACCTCGAGTTCGGCGCCGGATTAAGGTTGTCACATTGTTGTTTTGTTTGGGAACCAGTGAACAGGAAGTGACCATATTTGTACTAAGGAGGATGTATAGAATCCTATAATGAGGGGCTTGAACAATAAAAGGCAAACAAAATGTTTGTTCCTTCTGGTCAACAGTTAGTGTATAAGGCTGGGGCTGTTTATTGTAAGGAGAGGATCCCCCGCATGCACACACACACACACGCACACACGCACACACACAGGCCCTTAAATGTGACTCTTTTTTAAAATTTCAAAACTAGTCTATTCATGACTACTTCTGCTTCAATATACTTTATTACTCTTTTCTTAATGAACCCTCCTCCATCTACGCCGAGCACTTTCCTGGTGACAGTCAGAGCAGAAAGGGGCGGAGTCAAAGCAGCTATGTTCAATATGCGGTCGGACGACTCGCTGCAGGACGAGCCGCATTCCTCCCGTCTCGGCCGCGGAGTCCCTCAGGTGCATGATGGGATGTGGCATTGACGTGATGTTGACCTGGTTTGTCAGAGACGATCAATCAAAGCCCTGATAAACCGTTCAATCACAGAGCGAAGGCATGAAGCTTATTTCAACAGGAAATCTGGATCATACTGAGCAAAAGCTTTCCGACAGTCGTCCCATCCGGAGTATGCAGCTATACCTACAAAAAACAATACCTTGTACATCTACAATATCCCACGAAAGTAATTCGTATTGACTTTGTCACTTTGGTTATTCTGACCCACACGGCAACCTTTTCCCCAACCAGTTCCTCATTGAAAAACAAGTCATTGTGCTGTATTTCTCTGGGATGTAAAGATGCAAATCTTTAGAATATAGTCACAATGTTGACACAACTACTGTGCAGTATGCAACTTTCATATCATGATGATTAATTGTGTAGCATCAAGAAAGATACAGTTATCTATGATTTCCCCCCCAAGGGATCCAAACCAAGAAGGACAAAATGTTGAATCCGTTCTGTGTCCTATAGTACAAAACCGCATATTAATGACTGGATGTAGTATTTATACCTGATGGAGCCTGCTAGCTAACACATCTCCTCGACTGAAGCACACAGAGCTTCTCTTCCTGTCTGCATGTGAGGGGGTCGATCTGTGTGTGTGTCGGGGGGCTTAAGCGCCATCCTATCACACACAATACTGTGTGTCAGTGTTTTTACTCATATTGTTTATGAGCATCACTCATTGTGATGGATTTATCTGATGCAGTGGCAGAGAATCAATACTAGAGCGTCAGAATCCTCTGTGTGGGACGGGGACGAGGCCGGCCACATCCAACCCCCCCCCCCCCCCCCCCACCTTGTGTTTTACATAACCCTTTGCATATTTACCAACAGGGGATGGAAATGTAAATACCTGTGGATTTGTTTACTGTGTTTACAGAGAAGATGAAACTCATTTTACTCGCTCGTGAGTACTAGACAAGAAGTTTGTTGTTGAACCAATCTAAAGATAAGGGATGTTCTGGCTTCAAAAAGTCTTTTTCAGTAGAACTTCACCTAGACGTCTGCACCGTGCATTGATGCACGTTTGGTTAGTGACGGACTGAGCCTCGTGACCTTGGATCACAGCTCATTCCAATGTTGTTTTTAAGGTTCAAGCTTTTAAAGCCACTTAAATCTGCATGATGAAGCAGAGTTGGAGGGATTTGTAAACCTGGAGCACACTGACGCATTGTGCAGGTTTAAGTCGAGAGTGTTGATCGTAGTTATTCTCACAGCCAGCGAGAGATTAGTTTCTGCATCTTTTGTGACTACACGCCGATGACGTTACCCGACCGCGTGGCGACGTTCCCTCTTCTACTTCATTTTTGTGAAAAATATTTTTAGAATAGCATTCAGTGCAAGAGGTGATAGTTTAACATCATGGAGGAATAATTGGGATCTGGTCTCTGCCATCCAGCAGCCCGTATTGATCCTGAACCCCATTGATCTGCTGCACTGTGTGGAGTGTACCGAGCACGCTAATGTGCTCCAGACCGATTGGACTGATTCTGCCTCTCTCTGTTGTCAGAACACGATGAATCTTCCTCCGGACAAAGTGGAGATCCTCAGTCACTACGACAACGAGAAGAAGTGGGATCTGATCTGTGACCAGGTGGGAGTCAGCGTGACGTCTCTGATTATAAAACAAAACCACTAACAAATGGGACAATCAACGGCAGTGTGGGCCGATCGATTCGGTGACTAACGGCTCTTTAGTCACCGTGGTAACGACAGAGAGTGAAAGCCGGCCTCTGTACAGCAGGACGACTGCGGCAAGCTGCTTGTGACCAAAGCCATTTGCATAAAAGACGCTGTGTAGTCAACCTCCGTCTGGTCTCTCCCCCCCCCCATGCAGCAATCAGATGTAATTATGTGTGTGTGTGTGTGTGTGTGTGTGTGTGTGTGTGTGTGTGTGTGAGTGTGTGTGTGTGTGTGTGTGTGTGTGTGTGTGTGTGTGTGTGTGTGTGTGTGTGCGCGCGCGCGCTTCTTCAGGAGCGGTTTCAAGTGAAGAATCCCCCCGTCGGCGTATCTGGAGAAGCTGAAGAGCCACCTGGATCACGGGGGGGTCGGTCGGAAGGTATGACAATGATACACAACGCACACACATGCGCACACAGAATAATTGTTTCCTCCAGTCTTTTGCCAGTAAATAAAATCAGAAACTAAGTATGTGACACATACAAGGAACATGGTGACAGTAATATTATGAAAGTATATTATTAGAACATGTAACAAGGCATTAGTTGATACATTCCTAAAAGCATCAATCTGATCTGTAGCCTACGATTTCTCATTTCTACACTCGTTTCCTCTGATAATTATAGCCTTTTCTCATAAGCTGTGTTTATTGCTTGTTTCACTGGCAGGAGGTTTCTCTTTTTCATGTGATTGCTAAATTTGGAGATACGGATCAATAAACATAAATGAGGCGATTACTGACTTTACAACTTTCCTTCTGTCAGTTTAAGAGACGCGTCCAGGAATCCACTCAGGTCCTCAGAGAGCTGGAGATCTCCCTGAGGACCAATTACATCGGGTGAGTCTCCCTCCAATCCTCAAGGGCCTTGTCTGGTTATACGAGAGATATTCAAGCTTCTGAAGCACATTTGATTTAAAGAAATGTTTGTCTGGGTTTCAACACAATAAATGAATAAATAATAATAATAAAACAAAATGTATATATTTTTATATTTGTATATAAATAGTTTTGGGGCTTTGGTTTGTACTTTTACGGTCTCAAAATGTCTTATTTCTCATATATGAGGGAATAATAGGATCATCTAAAAGGAAATACGTGGAAAAGTATATGGCAGAAAATAGGAAACAAGGAATATGTAGAAGTCTAGAAAATATTTAGATGAATGTGATGACATTTTAAATGATTCCGAACACTCGATAACGCAGGTTTGTTGTTCGTTATCTCACATTAAAGTTGGGCTCAGGAGTTCCTGAACGAGGAGAACCACGGCTTGGACGTCCTGGTGGACTATCTGTCCTTCGCCCACAGTGCCATCACGTAGGTATCACCGCCATCACATTACCACCATCTGAGGGAAGCGGTCCAGGCTTCGTCCGCCTCTCGTCCGGCTCGCTACACAAATGTGTGACCTCTGATCACGTGACCCGCAGGTACGAGGCGGACGCTTTGGACAACGGCACGCCGCCCACCGACAAGAAGTCCCTGGATGATCTGAGCAGAAGTGCCAGTAACTCACCAACTCACAGCGCCTCCAAGGCCGGCAAGGCCTTCACAGTGAGGTGAGTACGGGGGGGGGGTCCTCTGGTCCTATGGTCCTATAGACGTCTATGAGAAAGTAACTTTTCTAACTGATGTTAGAAAAACTTCACAGATTGACCCCTGACCCCATCTCATCGCCATCAAGATTTTAGATGAGCTCGATGAAGACGTATTTTATAGTAGACATCTTGGAGATGTTGTTTTTAAGGATGACGTAGACGTAGGGACAACAGAGGCGTGAGCGCAGCCTCCATCACCTGCTGATTCAACTCTCCTCCTAACAGGAAGGGGCGGGGCTCCCGGGTCGTGAGTCAGAGCGACGATGTTCACCTCTGCATCATGTGTCTACGTGCCATAATGAACTATCAGGTGATTAAATGTTGAATCACCTAATCAGGATGGTGTGAAGTTATTCTGCACAAAAACAGACGTTAAGTAGAAAAAAAAGCTAAATCCATGTTAGGATAATGAGTCTACAAGTCCACAAGTGTTAAATTACATTCCAATCAACTGTTATTTACCACTAAGTTGTATTTAAGAGAATTATGAGATAGAATGTCAACCAATTTAGTTTGAGAAAAATCCAATTTACTGGAGAAAATTACTGTAATGCTTAATTAAGAAATACTAATTTATAATTAGTTACTAAGTTAAAAAATTACTTCATCAAAATATATTAAAATGTTTCAGCTTTAGTAGTAAGTCAATTCTACAACATTGTTTCATAGTTTGTTTTACTTTAATTAAATTAGCTGCAGCAAAAACAGTCAAACAAAGAATCATTGTCTAAATGTTGATCACTTTAAATTTCATTTACCGTAATGAAGTTGAATGATGTTCTAAATGACTGCAAAGTCAAATAAACAGAAGCAGAATATAAGTTAGGAACTCTCTGTTAACACTTTAAGGTTAAATATCAAACATTCTCTTGTAGATGATCCATGTTATGACTTGTGTGTCTGTGTGTGTGTGTGTGTGTTGTCAGTCTGGGTTCAACCAGGTGATGAAGCATCCCCACTGTGTCAACGAGATCACGCTCAGCCTCAACAACAGAAACCCCCGGTACCTCCATTACACCCCTTCACATAAAGCATCTACTTGATTTGATTGTATATATAATATATATATATATATATATATATATATATATATATTATATACACCTACAACTATGGAGGGTAAGTGTACGCCGTGTTCCTCAGGACGAAGGCGTTGGTGCTGGAGCTGCTGGCGGCCGTGTGTCTGGTGCGAGGAGGCCATTACATCATCCTCTCCGCCTTCGACAGCTTCAAAGAGGTCTTTAAACTTTACACCATAAGGCTTTTTATTATGGTACCTCACTTCGCATCAATGGCATATTTTGCTTTTAGTTGCGGGTCGTGTTGCACACAATCGACTCCGCCCACATTTGCACTTTAATCTAAACTGGTTTGAAGCTTAACATAGAGGTGGTGTTGCTGTCAGAGCACCCGCATACCAGTCCTCCTCTCGTGCACCGAGAAGCCGGATAAAGGGGATCCCACCCCCACCCCCCTCCTGTCCGTCAGCTGCTCGGCCCAGTTGTTCCGCTTGTTGAGTGACCTCTGACCTCTCCTGCGCCCTCTGTCGTCTGAGGAAGGAGCAACTGTCGCGCGGGATCAGAGGAGACCTGAACCAGGAGGGTCTATTATTAGTGGATGTCAAGGGAGCTGGAAAGCTGCCCTGCAACCACGCAGAGCGAGTCTGTCCGACCCGCAACGTTTAGCTCATTGAGTAGCGTTGTTGTATTTCTGCATTAATTAAATTGTTTGTTAAATTAGAGGTTTGAGTCAGAAAATGTTTATTGTCTAGCTGTTTTTAATTCTAGGCTTCTAGGGTGGAGGCAGATATGGGGTGTCTCTAGGGTGGGGGTAGAGATGGGGTGGCTCTAGGTGGAGGCAGAGATGGGGTGGCTCTAGGTGGAGGCAGAGATGGAGTGGGCGTAAGGTCCCATTGGGGAGATGGAGTGGGCGTAGGGTGGAGGCAAAGATGGACCGTTGCGTAGGGTGGAGGCAGAGATGGTGTGGCTCCAGGTGGAGGCAGAGATGGAGTGGGCGTACGGTGGAGGCAGAGATGGAGTGGCTCTAGGTGGAGGCAGAGATGGAGTGGGCGTAGGGTGGAGGCAGAGATGGAGTGACTCTAGGTGGAGGCAGAGATGGAGTGGGCGTAGGGTGGAGGCAGAGTGTCTCTAGGTGGAGGCAGAGATGGAGTGGGCGTAGGGTGGAGGCAGAGATGGAGTGGGCGTAGGGTGGAGGCAGAGATGGAGTGGGCGTAGGGTGGAGGCAGAGATGGAGTGGCTCTAGGTGGAGGCAGAGATGGAGTGGGCGTAGGGTGGAGGCAGAGATGGAGTGGCTCTAGGTGGAGGCAGAGATGGAGTGGGCGTAGGGTGGAGGCAGAGTGTCTCTAGGTGGAGGCAGAGATGGAGTGGGCGTAGGGTGGAGGCAGAGATGGAGTGGGCGTAGGGTGGAGGCAGAGATGGAGTGGCTCTAGGTGGAGGCAGAGATGGAGTGGGCGTAGGGTGGAGGCAGAGAGGGACTGGCTCTAGGTGGAGGCGGAGAGGGAGTGGGCGGAAGGCGGAGGCGGAGTGTCTCTAGGTGGAAGCCGAAATGGAATGGGCCTAAGGTGGAAGCCGAAATGGAATGGGCCTTAGGTGGAAGCGAACATGGAGTGACCTCACATGTGGAGGCGAAGATGGAGTGATCCTACAGTGGAACGAACGCTCATTGCCATCACATGTTTGCTGAAATGCAGCTGATTCTCACACACACACACACACACATTGCTGTAGCATTGGTTTGGACTCGCGTGCGCACACTGCCCCCGTGTGTGCGCACGTGCAGACTTACACTCACGCGTTGGTTTCTGTAATCTCATCTCGAGGGACTTCACCCATATTTGAAAACGTCAACAATTAACCACAAAAGAAAGAAAAAGAAGGTTGTTGATCATCGGTTTCAATCCTCCTGCTGTGATCTAAAGGGACGTTTTGGATTGTTTCTCTTTTTCCAGGTGTGTGGAGAGAAAAGTCGGTTTGAGAAGCTCATGGAGTATTTTGGCCATGAAGACAACAACATTGACTTCATGGTAAAGCTGAAGAGTATCTCTCTGTGTATCTCTCTCATTACCAACTAATGGACTTAATGGAGCCGTAGTCATAAAGAAATGCTGCGGAGTCTGATTTACAGACTTTACGGATTTACAAACGGGTTTTTTTAATCTATGAAATTATTGTAACACTCATTCTGGCCACAAGAGGCAGTAGTGCACATTATCTCACCATGTAAATAGGACTAACAGCATTCATGTCTTCTTCCCGCTGAGTTTTAATTATCTTCATCTTACCTACTCAAGGTATATTTATTATGTTTTGTAATATGTATTTATAAAATGAACAGAGACAATTGGACCTTTCAGTATTGAGACTTGGATGCAATAACTCTTGTCCGTCTTCCAGGTGGCGTGCATGCAGTTCATCAACATCGTGGTCCACTCTGTGGAAAACATGAACTTCAGGGTCCACCTCCAGTACGAGTTCACGCAGCACGGGCTGGACGATTTGCTTGAGGCGAGTTTGACCTTTAACCTTTTAAGTCACTTTGGAAACCTTCAAAAGACAACATTTTTTTTCATCACGCAGTTTGGCCTCTTCTTTTTCTTCTTTGGACGTGCAGAAGTTAAAGTTCACGGAGAGTGACCGGCTGCTGGTCCAGATCCAGGCCTACTTGGACAACGTGTTTGATGTGGGCGCTCTGCTGGAGGACGCCGAGACCAAGAACGCTCTGCTGGAGCACATGGAGGAGCTGCAGGAGCACAACACACTGGTAGACGCACTTACACACACACACGTCTGCACAGTGTGCATGAAGGGAATCACAGCACATCGACTTGTATCGACTTGTATGTCTCAGCTGAGCTCCAGGCTGCAGGAGAGCGAGAGGGAGGCCGTGCAGAAAGCCTCCGAGATGGAGAAGAAGCTCATTGAGACCACCAAGGCGGTGGAGCTCCTGAAGGTAGAGCCCCCGAGATGCTCTTTCTACTTCCCAGGTTCATTTTTCAGATCTTCAGTCATCTCAAGCGCTCGTATCTTGGGTGGGCCTTGAGCCCCCCCGCCCCCCCCCCCCGGTGGACAGTAGGGAGGATGCAGCTGCTTAGTACGCCAGTCTGCCCGTACCGCTCATCGGACACAGTGAGAACATGTAGCATGTACCGTGTCTTAGTGAGAACCTCGTTATTAACGCACGCAGCTGTTCCTTGTGGATCGCAGGAGAGCCTCCGGGAATCCAGCTGCCAGGTGACTCTCCTGCAGCAGCGAGAGAGAGAGACAGCGCTGGAACGCGAGCGGGAGAGAGAGAGGGAGTTGGAGAGGGATCGATCCACCGCGGCCCTGAGGGAGCTGGAGGTCAAAGTTCAGGCTCTGGTGGAGCGGGGGCTGGTCCGACTGGGTCGCTCCTCCTCGGGACACCTGGACGTCCAGGTGGTCGCCGCGGAGACGCAGAAAGGTCAGAGTGTGGTCAGCTGTGAGGGGCTGGTTCTGTTAGAACTCAGATGCATTCAATCTGTGTTCCTGTAAAGGAGCTTTGATATCCATGATGACACAATCACTATTTTCACTTATCTTGAAGCTCTGTTTTAAACTTAAAAGCTGCATTTTTGAGTCAAGTGTGTCATTTTTCAAACATTTTAAAAGAGATGGAAGCATCTTTGGTGACCGGGTTTAGTTATAGATTCTAAATATTCTGTTAGTTCTGAGCCTGTAGATCAGAACCTTTTTGATTTTTTTAAATAGTTCAAGGTGTCTAACTTTTCTGAAGTGGCCCCACAGACCACGATGTCTCGCATTGATCTCTGTAACTGAGCAGAGATCAGAGGGGAATCTGAAGCTCCTCTTTCCTCTGCAGCCGAGGAAGAAGCCGACTCGAGTAAGAACCGGGAGGCGTGTCCTCTGTCCACGGAGCCACATTCTCTCCTCCCTGCGGTGGTGCAAGCTCCCCCTCCACCACCACCACCTCCTCCTCCACCTCCTCCAAGCGCAACTACTCCTCCACTACCAGCGGCTCCACCCCCCCCGTTGACTGTGACTGATGGCGAGTCGACACACGCTGGTTTGTGTAGAAGTCTCACGCCAGATTCTCAAACTTTATATGTGAAGACGCTTTAATACGTTATTTAATTGATGTGCCCAAAGTTACAAGAATAACAGCAGCAAATCCAGATGTATTTATACACACAAAACAACAGCCAAAGTTCTGTTCAATCAGACATAAGATACAACGCAGTGACATGAAGCCATAACAATCAAAGCAACAATCAAGGAAAAGTCAGCAAAATGAACCTGTGCTTCAAGTTTTTATTTTATTTTTTATTCTCCAGGTCTCAAGAAGAGGAAGACGATACAAACCAAGTACCAGATGCCACTGTTGAACTGGCAGCCGCTGAAGTCCAACCAGGTGGCCGGGACCGTATTCAGCGAGCTGGACGACGACCAAGTTCTCCAGGTTTGACCTCTGACCTTCAAACAGATTAAACTCAATCCAATTTATTGATAAATTTTTATTCAAACACAAAGCATCAACGTACAATGTATAACTACGTGCATCAGTTCTAACTCCACCCCACCCGCCCTCGCTCTATTTTTCAGGAGCTGGACATGGCAACTTTTGAGGAGCACTTCAAGACCAAGGCCCAGCCGGCCCCCGTGGTGCTGGGCACTCTGAAGATGAAGCCGGCCCCCAGGACCCCCACCCGGGTGTCTCTGATGGAGCCCAACAGGGCCAAGAACCTGGCCATCACACTGCGCAAGGAAGGAGTGGCCGCCTCCGACATCTGCTGCGCCATCGAGACGTACGTACCCGAAAACCAGGCCTGGCGCCGGTGTCATGTGACCCGGGGTGAAGTCGCTGACCCGGCCCCCTCCTCGCAGGTACAACCAGACAGCTCTGAGCCTGGACTTCCTGGAGCTGCTGGAGCGCTTCATCCCCTCGGAGTACGAGACCAAGCTCATCCACGGCTACGAGTGCGAGGGCAGGCCCCTGGACGAGCTCGCCGAGGAGGACCGCTTCATGGTGCGCTTCAGCAAGATCCCGCGGCTCCCCCAGCGCATCAGCACGCTCACCTTCATGGGCAACTTTCCCGAGAGCGTGCAGCTGATACAGCCGGTGGGTACGCCGCAGACACGGGTTCCTCCGCCAGGAAATAGTCCCATGGGGGGACTTATTATTTATTATTGCGGACATAATACATCAGACTAATATCATATGAATTAAATAATAAATGTAATATAAACGGAGCCAGCAGCAAGTTAAAGTGGTGTTTTATTTACATTTAATCACCAGTAATAATCAATGAATTTGTCTCTTTCTGGCAGCAACTAAACGCCATCATCGCCGCCTCCATGTCCATCAAATCCTCCGGCAAGCTGAAGAAAATCCTCGAAGTGAGAACAGAAGACTTTATTGTTCAATTGTGTTTACTTCTCTTCATCTTCTCTTCATGCGACTGTCACTCTGTTAGATGTTACGTGTTTATTTCATGTCTGTATAACGTCGGTTAACAATCCTCGTGTTCAGGAAACGATGAAGTATTTGTTTGCTGCAAAGCAAAAAACACACAACACACAATAGTCAACTTAAAACTTAAAAGCTTTTCTAAATACTGCACACGTCATTATTCACGTTTCTGTCCTTTTGTAAAGTTGTTGACATTTGCATATGTTTATTTTTGTATTTCAGCTTTCGGGGCCACTGTAGAAAAGTCTGTTTCACTTTGATTTGAGGAAGACAGAGAACGGCTTTTTATTTGAAATTACATTTTTTGAAGTTTGTTTCTTTTTTTTGGGTGTCTGGTGATTTTACCTCCATGATGCGCACGATTCTACTGGCTGTTACTTGAGGGTTCACTTCTGTGTCTCCGCGTAGATCATCTTGGCATTCGGGAACTTCATGAACAGCTGCAAGCGAGGAGCAGCGTGCGGCTTCCGCCTGCAGAGCTTAGACCTGGTGAGTAGAAGAGCTGCGGGGACATCCTCAGGACGGGTATCGCCTCGTCTCTTGTATTTGTGTCCCTCACTCAGCTGTTAGACACCCTGACACCCTGAGGACAAACGTCACCTCGTCGTCTCTTGTGTTTGTGTCCCTCACTCAGCTTTTGGACATAAAGTCTACGGACCGGAAGCAGACGCTGCTCCACTTCATCGTGGGCATCGTGCAGGAAGAAATACCCTGAGGTCCGCGTGCTTCTTCAGCGAGCTGCACTTCCTGGAGAGGCGGCGCAGGGTGAGCATAGGAGGGAGGGGGGGGGAGGTACGAATGGACGTATGTGCATCTAATGAGGAGCTGTGAACGTGGACCTCAACCTCCCTCCGTCTCTGGTAGTCTCCCTGGACAGCGTCCTGCAGGACGTGCGCGCTCTGGAGCGTGGCATGGAGGTCACCAGGAGGGAGGCCTCGGTGGAAGGAGACAGCCCCGTGCTGCAGGACTTCCTCGGCAGGAACGCCGCGCTGCTTCACTCGCTCGCCGCCGACGGAACGACCGCCCAGGTCGGCGTTTGTTAACGCACGGCGATGACCACGCTGTACATAAGCACGTCTGACGTGGAGCTGAAGATTTTGCTTTGTTTCCCAGGATGTGTACGACTCCGCCGTGGAGTACTTCGGAGAGAACTCCAAGACGACGCCGCCCTCAGTCTTCTTCCCGGTTTTCGTCAGGTTCATCCGGGCGTACCAGGTCAATGTTCCTCCTCGGTTCCTGGCTCGGATGAAGTCACGGCGCTCACCGCTCGGCCTCCCGATTGCTGGTTTAAAGTGCTTTTTGTCCGACAGCAAGCGGAGCTGGAGAACGAGCAGAGGATGAAGGTCCCGAGCCGTGAATCTCCATCAACTCCACCCAAACCCGACATCACGGGCAAAAGGGTAACGTCTTTATAACGGCTGACACACACGTGTGTTCCTTCCTGTCCTCAGAGACACTCCCACTTTAGTCCACAAGGGTGCGCCGAATCAACGCAACGGGAGTTTCTGTAGTAGCTCTAACTCTGTTCACAATTTGTATTTCCTTCCCTCTGCAATGGTGCGACCCACCTTAAGGTACATTTTTGGAACATAGTTTTGGCTCCGTAGCTTATTTCTATTGCCTGGAAGAAGTCTGTCTGACCTCTGACCTCCTAACCAAAGCCTGATGGTTTCAGGTCTGTGCGACGTCCAGACCGCCTCAGATGGATCTGATAGCGGAGCTGAAGAGGAGGCAGGTGTCTCCTCTGGTGAGGGAGGGCAAGGACGGAGCCATCGAGGACATCATCACAGGTAGCCGCCACCCCGCCGGAGACACCGTCCACTACGTCTTAGCTGCGCCGAGTCACACGGTCTTATTGCCGTCACTTTTCCTCTCGTTATCCGGCTTAAAGGAATCGTTCACTCGGAAATGCAAATATTGAGCTGTTTGTGGGAGAGGGAGCCGCAGTCCGTCGGGCTGAGCGGTTTCCTTCACTGCTTCCAGTGTTTATGCTAAGCTAGGCTAACCGTCCTGGAAAGAAAGCAGAGAATTGTTCCTTCACTCCTTCCTGTCCTCTGAGGCTAACTCTTATTTTTCCATCCTCTCGTCTTCACATTTGTCCCTCCTCTCCACGTCCCTTTTGTCCCTCCTCTCTCTTGTGTCTCTGGGTCTCCAGCTCTTAAGTCTGTGCCCTTCACGGCTCGCTCTGCCAAACGTTCCTCCCGGCTCTTCTGCGACTCGGTCTTCAGTGACGAGGTGACTCTTCCCCCCCCCTACTGCTTCTCTCTCCTGCAGCTAATTTAACATTCACATCTTTACCTTTGATTATGTTTCTCAACATTTTACAACTTTATTCTCACAATATCAGATTTGGGTTTAGTTTTTAATTTAAGAAATTACAGCTTTATCGTGAGGATTATTGTTATTTTTCTAACATTTTGACATTGTTATGACTTCTTGTCAGCCCTGAATCTCCTTTGATAATTTGTACATTCGAGTTGATGTTTGACCCTCTCTCACTGAAGTATTTTCACATTGAGTTATTAGTACGTTTTACTTCAGGTATCATAACATTATGTCTTTTCCCCTCGGTGTGTTTAAAGATTTAAGGAATCAGCCGTACAGACGGACGGACGGAGGCAGACGAAGCGGCAAGTGGAAACCAGGACAACAGCTGCACGTGTCCTCCGACATCTCCCTCTGAGGACACCACGTGGCTCTTTAGAGGTCAAAGGTCAGACCACGCGTGACAACGAGTTTGAGTGACAGCGAGGCGTCGCTCCAGATGAAGTAAAAAAGGTTTCAGCTGATCTGTATGAAGAGGGTCTAATTAATGCTGCGCCGCGTCCAACGCATTAAAATCAAAGTTTGATTGGCAGAAATCTCATGAATTATTTTGATAGTTTGCTCAAAAAATGCTCTAGATGGGGTTTTATTTTAAAAAGAATGTCTTAATTACCACAGTTCATCTTTCTCAAAGATTTAGGCTGACGATTTGTAATATAATTAAATTATTTTAATACTGAAGTGTAATGAGTAACTTTGCGTCTGCATTTTCAACAAATAAAGCATTTTATACCATTTATTCATTGTTTTTCCTGTTTAGTGTAAATGTATATAATGAATTATTAGCATACCAGATTTTCTAGCAGGTGAGTGCAGATCTTTAATTTGAGTGTGGACGTTAATAATAAACAATACTAGACTCGGTGTTGTTGTGATCATGTAGTACAAAAATATTCTTTAAACATACAGCTGGAAACGTCTGATATTGTAAACAGCCACTATGCTGATAATCAATACATAAATATATTTTTTCTTCGTCTTGAATTTAAGATATATATAAGAATATCTTTCGAGTCCGTCAGAAAAAAGCTCTTTAATCTTGATTGCAGATGGACTAAACCCGTATTAATGATGGGAATGAGACAAACTACCATCGCGTATAAGAGGTCACCTTTATTGTCACAAAATCACAACAGGAAGTAACAAAAGCAGCAACCTTCAGTTTTTTTAATCTTTCTTTTGATTGGTTGAATTTTCTCACACAAAGCGGCAACTTTCACTTTCCATACATAGAGTTGCGCCGTGTGTTTTTTTGCTTTGTTTAGTTGGTCTTTAGTAAGTTATACTGACTTGGTAGTAGATTATCATCATTCTTCACAGTTCACAGACAACACTTACTGCACACAGCGAGCATCACTCTCGGACTGGAGGAGCAGCAGGAGGCACCGTATCCTCCTCACACCTGGCGCAATACGTATAGGAATTATTACAATAATACTTCTGGACTTATTCCCACGGTAAGAGGGGCTTTGCCGACCCATTTTGAACATAATACAAAACTCTGTTACTTTACAGTTTGTTTACTCTATCATACACTCACAAGTACACACAGAATTATTGACCAGAAGATTTGACCTCTGTTGACCCCACGTGCAAGTTTCCAGGAATGTATACAGTATGCATGCCGTTTTGGATTCATTATCCCCGCCCACACCCCGTCTAAAAAAACGTCTACGTAAAATTCTGTTAATATATCATTTGGGTTAATGTACATGAACAACAATCACACATTCATCATAAACCACCAATAGATTAATCTGTATTCTGTATCATAGAGACTATCGCTTCTTAGAGGCAACGGCTACAAAACATGTGCTTTTTTATAGAAATGTGGCGATACTTTAATATTCATCTGGAGAACCTCCCGCTGCCCCCCCCCCCCCCCCCCCGGTCTCCATGTCGACGCGTGATCATGGCAGGAAACGACAAATAAAAAATTCTCAGAACTCAGAAAAATAATAATTTACAGAATAAATGTGTCACATGCTTATGAATCTTTAAGTATAAAAATACAAATAAAAACTTGATCATATAAAACATAGATGATGCTTTTCTTTTTTACATGTTAATAAATCAATCTCTTCAAAACAAAATGGTTTTATAATATACATACAATATCTTGTGGAGTGGGTTCCGGTTGTATGGTCGCGTTCCTATTTCTGTCCACTAATACATTCCGTGAATGTATTAACATCTGCCTGTGACAAAAATACTCTCACAGGGAGAGATTAATATTCCCTCCAGCTAAACGTCAACTCAAGAATCTTATATTTCAGCTCCACACCGTCACGTTAACCGTGTATTAAAGGAATCTCACACTAAATACTTTATATTATTTTTATACACTGTCATATGTTTTTACTGCTGTATTGTTTCATACACGTCAATCAAACTGCAAAATGATCAAAGCTTTCATTCTCTTTCGTCCTCCTGAGCTTTCTTTTGCCACGAACGTCGGTATTTTGTTTTAAAGGCACAGCGTGCCGAATCTGGCACCACCCAGTGGTGAGATCGCAGATTGCAACCAATCCAAACTGTCCCATCTGGAGACGTGGTCTGGTTTGTCTGATCTGGGCCACCGTAGATACACGGCGGACTCTCTGCGGACGCATGTAGCTACAAAGTGCTTGTTCTAATGTCACAAAACCACTTTGATGCTCAGTCTCAGGTGATCGTACGCTAATGGAAACTTACTCATCAGATCACTGCTGCACACTGGCCCTTTAAGGGGAATCTCAAACGCATCAAAGTCCAACGCGCCACTGAGGCCCCCCCAGGGGGTGGGGGGCGGGGGAAACCTTTGGTCGTGATCGGAATGCCGCTACAGGTTGGAATATGAGATCAAGGCGCATTGTGAGGGATCCAGGCTGAAGTCTAACGATTTTTTCAGCATTTGTTGGCCCTCAACATTTTATTTCTCCCAACCGAATATTTAGGAAAGGGACTGAGTGTCATCACTTTAGGTGAGTGGACGCACAGCCCGCTCAGTGTGTAACTGGGACTCCGCTATTGTGATGGAGCCGAACAAACTACCTCTGTCTCCATCTTTGTGACGAACTGAGTCTGAACTCGAGATCGACTTCAGAACTCCTCGCGTTATTAGTCCTAATCCTTCCCTGCATCTTTCCTTCTAGAGGGCAAATCTTCACTTACTTCCGTTCTAGAAAGCCAAATTTTAAAGTTTGTTAAGAGTTTTGTTGGCAGGATATTTTCAGATCAAACTACAAATCCAGAAATTTTATTCTAAATAAAAAAAGATTAAATTCTGTTCCAGTGTGCAACTTGAAAGGAATGAGGGTTTCTTCAGGTTGAAGGAAGGAGGAAGACTAGGACGAGCAAACCGCATCAGCCGGCCTCAAAGAGGATTAGTGAGAGAAACTGCAACCGACCAATCAATGAATAAGGATTAAGTAACTGATGAGCAGGAGATAGAGCTTTTGTTCTTTTTGTGCCACTTTCCACCAGAAAAGAAAAGAACACGAAAAAAAGTTAGTTAAATGAGAGGAGAATCATCTCACTAGTGGCGTCAACGTAGACGCATTCGCAGTTCTTCAGGTTCTGTGGGTGACAGATTATTAACCAGCAATAATTGGAATGAGGCGTGTCAGAGTGGAAGTTTAAATTCTTCCAGGTCTCCTTGTGGAGGGAAGACGTTTGCTAAAAGCTAACAGCTAACAATGTCTCCTCTGTGAGGTCCCAACCTGGACCCGTCAGATGCGTCTGCGCTCCTGGAATCTGGAATAAAACTTCCTAAATGGCTGCATGTTTAATGTGGTGAATTCATGAATTAATCAGATTCCTTGCAGGGCATTCTGGGAGAACCGGCAGTTTTGGTGTGAACGGGGGGCTGCGTCTCACTGGCTGTTATCTTTGTGACTTTTCTCGAGTGGTTCGTGAAAGCTCTTTTATTCAGGATCTATTTTTTAAAGTGGCCCGTAAAGGAACGGGGGGGTGGGGGGGGGGGCTGATCCACTCAGCAAGTCGGAGGGGTGGGGGGGCACTTGGGGGCGTCTGCAGGGGCAGATAAGACGGGTGGAGCTTCACGTTTAAAAGGTACTTACTTCTCACACACGCACACACTTGAGTCTCCTTTCGTTTTGAGCACTGAGCCGGTGATGTCATTCATGCTCCGCTGTAATTGGCCGGTTTACTTCTGCTTTTTCCTGAGAAATGTGTGTTACTTTTGAGGGAAATCACATTGAACGGAGTACTTTTACTCAACTGTAGTTTTCTCTATTTGCCTGAAGTGGAAACATTTTAGAAGAATTGTGAAATTTTACCAGCATTCAATATAGTACTTTCATGTATTCATGTAGTTTTTAAATTATGAATTAACTTCAATAATTGTAATTAAAAATGTCTCTACTGAATCACATGACTGGGAGACTGTGCCCTGATTGGACGGACTGAACCAATTCTTCCTTTCACTAACGACTGTTTAGCTCACGGTCAGCTGTCAACTGACAATTGAAATAAATAAAATTTTGTTTAGCTTTTAAGTAAAGGACACTTTTACATAACATCTATGAAGATTAGTGTACAAAATCAGTTGACGGGACAAGGTGAAATCATATTAGGACATTTTGGGTATTAATTATATAATAAGTCCTCCTCGACTTTAGCTTTGATAAACGTCTTCCTGCACATTTTCCAGACAAATACCTCTTCAGGGAACCTCGCGCTTCTCTTTCGGCATCTTGCGTTATAAGTTGCGGCGTTACAGCTTCTTTGTAAAAAGGCAGTTCTTAACCTTCAAGCTTAACTGACCGGCCAAACCAACCCAAAACCCCGGGGTGGGGGGGGAAACAAACTGAGACATCAGAGACTCTATTCCGTTAGCATCTCTAAGCCGGTCAGATCTGGCCTCTGAAATGTCCAGAATGCACATCAACAACTGGAGGAAATTAAACATAATGATCAAGGGTCTGTGTCAATAGTACCCCCCCCTCACCCCCCCCCCCTCACCCCCCCACCCCTCCCGAGGAGAAGTTGAAGCGGCCGCTCTTCAGAAGTGGAATACCTGCTGCTGGCCCTGGATTTTAGGGAAATCCTCTTTCTGCTTGCGCGTTTTGGGCCTCTCCAGGCTGCCCTGCTGGAGGTGTTTGAGCCGGGCTGCGACGGTGGGGCCCTTGGTGGGGCCCGGGGAGTTACTGCTGTTCTGTGGGAGCCGACAGGGGAGGGGGAAGTAGTTCAGTTAGACTTGCACACTACACAGTTTAAACCTGGCTTCTAAAACCTACTTCACATCGTGTTACACCGCACTGTGTGTTAAAGCTCGGTGCAGGAGGCGCAGAGAGAAAGGTGAACAAGGTCAGACGGAGAAGTTCAGTTCTACGACTCAAACCCACGTTTCATTTGGGTTGATGTGCTTCTTCACTCTGCGTGTCGATAGTTTCGCAGGCGGGAAAAAAGTGGAGAATAAAAAGGTCAAAGGGGAGAGAGTCGAAGAGGGGCGGTTTATTTTAACTTTACCTTTCTGCCCAACGACCCGTAGGTGCGGGGCGGAGTGGGGGGGGCCTGTGGTCGGCTGCTGCACCGTTTACTACAATCTCTCTCAGGAGCTCTCTGAAATATCTTTAGTGGGGCAGAGACGTGTTATCACGGGTCAGCGCAGTAAAACCTCAGCCCCACCAATAAATCATGCATCTCAAATACCTCCAGCTCCGCCATGATCTTCTCCCCTTCCTCCTCCTCATCCTCGACGTCCTCCTCGTTGCGAATGGCCGACGCCGAGATAACCGGGGGGGTGGAGGCGGGTCGAGGGGTGTCGCAGGGCGTCCTCCTCAGCTTCACCAGCGTTTTAGGCACGTCGCCGTCTTCCTCCATCTTGCACGAACACAAAGACGTTAGACTGGGATCCGTCCCGCTGCACAGAAACCTGCACTTTCCCTCGCGGGTTTCATGGGGTCAGTCAGGCTTCAACCAGGGAGCCAGGCAGCGTTAAACCGGCAACTCCTGTGTGCTAAAACAACTGTCCCAAGGCGTCCCCGCGCCAGTGATGTCATCCCTCCACCTAGCTCTGGTTCTCCCCCGGGGAGGGGTGGAGGGAGCCTCCTTATCATAAGCCCAAACCACCTCAACCTCAGCAGCGGCTCCGCTCCTCGCGGATGGCTGAGCTTCTCACCGTGTCTCTGAGGGAGACGCCGCTCCCCCTCCCGAGGAAACCGCTTGTACCTGTGACCTAGTTCTTTCGGTCATGACTCCCGGCTTCATTTCCTCGTCATAACGAGGTGAAAATATTGTAAATATAGCGTTCCCTTGAACCCTTTAGCCACGTCCTCCTCGGCAAATAACAGACCTGCGATCTAAGACTTCATACATCTCCACTGAGACCACATCTCAGGCTGTTTCATCTTAATGATGGTAATTGTTAATAGAGTATTGTTAAGAGAGTAAAATGGTAGTATAGTGTTATATATGTTAGTAATAATGTAAAAATGTCTCTTTGGGCTTTAACGCAGTCCTTCCCTGACCCGTCTAACCTTGGTGTTCTTGGTGGTGACGATGACCTCGCCCGTGCGGGCAGTGGTGAGGCCGTGTGCCGACGGGAAGCTTCGGCGCGGCGGCGGCGGAGGCGGAGACTTGGAGAGCTTCTCCGTGCGGAACCGGGTCACGTTGAGGTCCACTGTGAACACGGCAGCGCGTCACACGTTGAGACGCTATTTGTTTATCCCCACACATCAAGTAAAGCGTAAAGAACGAGAGGGCACCTACCCGACCCCCGGTGAGGCCCCGCCCCCTCCATGCTGTTCAGCTTCTGGGCGGCCAGCTGCACTTTGCCGGGCTGCTGCTCCCCGGCAACAGAGGCGGGAGAAGCCGGCGCCGTGGTGGTGGTGGAGGAGGTGGTGGTGGAGGAGGTTATCGGGATGGTGATCTGCGGCTTCGGGGGCACGGCCGGCTTGTTGATGTGGCGGGCAGCGAAGTCGAGGTCCGGGATGGCCTTCATCAGCTCGGCCTGCGTCTCCTCCAGCAGGCGGTTGATGTCCTGGGCGCTGAACTGGGTCAGACTGGCCCGCTTCTCCTCCCAGTCCCGCTCCGCCGCCTGACACACACGGTTGAATGAATGGTACTATTAACATTATAAGATAAGCCCTAATTAGTCCCACATTTTCGGTTGTAGAGCAGCTTGAAAAGAAAAAACAAATACATAAGTATCGTAAAGGTATATTATAATAAAATGAACATCCAGATATGATCTAGTGTGACTGAACGGTTGTCACATAAATAAATGAATAAATCCGTATTGGTGAACTGTTGGTTCCGACAGCACAGAACCTGCAGTGTCTCTTAATCACACATTATTAACCGTTATCTTTGCCATCATTAGATCATGTGCACGGTTTCTAATATTTGACCCGAGTACCAGTCGGACTTCTGCCGACACCGACTTATCGCCGGGACGCCGACTCGGCAGCTCTTCCAGGACCCGGTTCCTGAAGGTCATGGAGGGGGGCTGGAGGTCCTGCTCGGGGCCCGAGGCGTCGCCGTCGGCAACGGGCGTCCAGTTGGCCAGGCCGGCGCCGGCGTCGAGGTCGGCGAGCCCGAGGGGAGAACTGCTCAGGAGGTCCAGGTCGGAGCCGCGCCTCGCCTCCTCAGATCTCTTCTGCGATTGGCTGGAGAGGTCCTCGGGGCCCCTCCACCCGCCCTCGGTCACTTGTCTGTACATATAGGAGGGATACAAGAGACTACAATACACACAGGACACCATGAAGGTTCTGGACTTTGTTAGAGAGCCAGCAGATGAAACAGACAAGGCCAAGAAACGGTCTCCAGTCAGACTGCTGACGTTGTCAATATCGAATTTGAATCTTTTGTAATTATTATTATTATTTTATTTTTTTACACAGTAAAATTTCACAATTCTTTCATAATTTTATGAGTAAATTACTGTATAATTATTTTACCTGTGCGTGAAGCGCCGTGAGATCACGTTAGTATTTTAAAGTGGGAAACGCGAGTTGAATTCATCATTATTATTCATATTTAACGGCTGTTTGAATAAAAACAGGACTGCATTAGCATAAAACCTTTGAGTTTTTAATTAGCAGAATTGTAGAAAAACCTCCTCGATCGTGTTTATCTAAAGCAATTCTGTTTGTCTGGCCTCAAGTCTGTAGGAGTCTTTGTAAACACTTCAGTCTCCCTTTTGTTTACTTCTATAAATACACGACTATATGGAGGTAAGTGTGTGTGTATGTTAGTCACCGTCTTTTGGTGTAATTGACATATTTGTGATACCTGTGTTTTTTTTATTGTGAAGCAAACAAATGAAGATAAGTACCGTATTTTCCGCACTATAAGGCGCACTTAAAAGCCTTTCATTTTCTCAAAAAACGACAGTGCGCCTTATATATGGATCAATTGGTTAATCGGGTGATCCATACTGGTTGTACACGACGCTCAAGGCGCTCTGCCAAACATGCCAAAGCTCGTCTACGACGGCGAGATGCTGAGCGGCGCTGAAGCGCGTGAGATATGGAGCTGCTTTCAGGGCGCGTCGGAGAAACAAAGCTGTCGTTCTGGCCGAGCACATAATGAGATTAAAGAGCGAGAGACGGCGCCCTTTTCTCTACAGTAGCTGAACCATCTTAACGGGGAAAATAAGTTATTCTAAAAGCCGGCGCATGTTTCTGCGTCTGCGTCGTTGCGTCGACGCACTCGTTTCAATTCATGGTTCTGCGTGTGTTGCAGAGTAGTTCACCGCCAGAACAACAGGCGGAGTAACGTTTTTTTTATCAAAGACGACCAACAGAGTCGCGTCTATTTATTTATTTGTTTGTTTATTTATCATAGACTATTGCCCCGTGCATCCACACTGCTGCTTTTCATCGCGGACACATTTGTCCCGTATTTTCCTCCACAACTTTGTTCCTCTCGACCAGCAAACCGGCGTTTGAGGAGATCTCCCTCCGTGAATCGGGAAGCTGTCCGCCAATGACGGCTTGTAGAAGCGGTCATATTTACGCATTTCTTCCGACAAAGGTTCTTCAATCTGATCCGCTCTCTCGTAAACATTCTTCGTTTTAATAATGGCGGTATTGGGCTATGAACCTCGCAGCATCGATCGGACCCTGAAAGCACCAAACCAACGGGGGAAATAAGTTATTCTAAAAGGGGCCCTTGGCAGGCGGCGCGGCTGGAGAGCAGCCGAAGATTTAAGCCGCGTGTAAGCTATTGTTGCACAGGTGTTCCGGTGTGGGGGCTTTTGTGAAGGGGGAGATGGAAGAAGAGGAAGTTGAGGTGGTGAAGGGGTGATAAAAATAAAGTTGCGGCCGGTTCGGCGCAGAACTGGAGCTCCGGGTTGTTTCTTTTGTTATCGACGCGAAGTATAGGCGCACCCGAACCACTCGGCTACACGTGGATGGCGAGGGGGGCGGCGGGAGCGGACGCACCATCGATCGGACCCTGAAAGCACCGTCTCCACCTCCCCACATGCCCCCCGACGTCAAGCGTTTGACTGCAGGATCTTACGCGCCTTATAATCCGGTGCGCCGTATAGTGCGGAAAATACGATAATCAAAAACATGTTTAGGTTTTAGGGCCCAAAACCATTTTTCTTCAAAGCCTCAGTGCGAAATATTCAAATATTCAGTGTCAAGTGTTTTGTCCTCAACTCAAAGATACTGTGTTAAATGTCAAAAGGGTAAATAAAATAAAAAATATTTTTAAAAGTTCACAGAATTCTAAAAGAATAAAAAAAGATCTAATTGACTAATCATTTATTTAAATATTGGTAATAAACAGTTTCCTGCGAGAATAACTTGTAATAATGCATATTGCCGCGTGTACCTGCGCAGCGTGCTGAGCGCATCCGTCATGTTGTTGCAGCGCTTCAGCAGCGCGTCCAGCCGGTGAGGCTCTTCTTTCAGGAACTTAACAGCCTCCACCTCCACCCTCAGCACCACCCGCATCTTACTCTGCAGGCAGGGGAACTGGTCTGCGTGGGAGGGGGAGGGGGAGGGAGGGGGGTGCAGGTGGACAGATGGACGAGGAAGACACAGCGGCATTGTCAGAGTGCAAGAATGCTGGAAAGGTTAAGAGGAGGGCAGGTGGCCTGCTGCGTCTGTCACAGCTACATAAGGAAAGGATGGGCAACAAAAAACACCGCCCTAATCCGTACGTGGGCGCTTGTTGGATGTTTGAGTATCATGTTGGATGTGTGGATGCAGGCGCTAGGTGGACGAGCTAACACGCTATTAAGTGGAGATTGAGAGAGGATACGGATACTGAATATCAAGTTGAGTCATAAATATTCATTGTGACTTTGACACACTAAACACGTAGTATTTTAGCAACCATTAGAAGTAAACTATGACGCAGAACTACGGCCGCAATGCTGCTGTACGTTTATGCGTATTTAACAATATTTACACCATACTACCGTCGCTCTACTTTAGTAAAAATGAAGATTAAAATGAGCAACAGATAAATTCTGTACCCCATTTGGAAATAGTCCTGGTCACATATAGGACTAAATTGAGGAAGGTTAAGAAGCAGATCTAACTTTAAGTATTTAGATTTTGAAGGAGGAATATGGACGTTTAGGATGTAGCACAAAAGTACAAAGGCTTTGTTTTATGAAAAGAGTAAAACCAGCAATGTTTCCACCTGGTCTGAGCCTTTGGATTTTTACTGGAGGAGTAAATCAATAAAAAAACATCTTGTCACTGTATTTGTTTGTAATCAGAGTAAAAAGGGGAGGAGACTAATTCAGCAGCGGATGAATCCCCTTTTGTTTCTCTTCATGGCAGCAGGACGGTGTGTGTTTGTGTGAAGGAGTAAACTAGTGTGTTCATGGTGATGGAGCAGCCACGGTGAGGCTCACTGGTGTGTTCACAATAGATCTGCGTGGCTCAGAGGAAGAAGCTGCGCTTGTTAACAGATACAGTCAGTGTTGGTTTGAGACTTTTAGCGGGATGTTTACAGTGAGGAGAAAGTAACATGTTTATAGTGAAGCTGCAGCGGGGGGGCGAGTGACACACACACACACACACACACACACACAGGCTTACTTTTGAGCTCCGTGAGCGTCTCTCCCAGCATCCTAAGCTCTTTGCTCTTCTGCTCCACATCCTGCTCCGTCACCAGGCCGTGGTTCACCGAGGAGTTCTTCTGCAGCTCCTCCACAGACTTCTCCAGGTCACTGAGGAGGAGCGGGTCACAGGTTCAAATCCCACGCCCACGGTTCCACAAGCGGACACGTTCTCCGGCCACACTCACTGCAGCTGCTGGATGAGCAGCTCCTCCTGGTTCAGGTACTTGAGTCTCTCCTCCTCCACCAGGAGGCGCTGCCTCTGGAGCGGGTCCTCCTGGGTGCGTGTGGCGTCCAGCATCATGAGGCTCAGCTGGGACTCGGTCTGCCTCAGCAGGGACAAGACCGAGTCCTGGTTCTCCAGCTAGGACCACAAGCGCGGCTCGGGTTAGCCGGCGGTCGGAGGCGCGTTAAGAGAGTTGCTTTGTGATGATTTACACTTTTAGAAAGTTCTAATGTCCAGATCTTGTTTTAAAGAGGGTTTGATTCAAACATGATAATACATAACTTTGTATCACTTCTCATACAGAACAAGCAGGCAGGTATAAAACAAACGTTTAAAACGTAACATTTTAGCACCATACCAGCTTATTATTATTATTATTCTATCACAAAAACACCTTGTGTCCCATTTGTATGGGGAAAAAAACTATTCTATGGGATACATGGCTGGCAAAAGGAATACATGCTGTCAAAGATATATATGAAGATGGGGTATTCAGATCATTTGAGAACCTTAAAGGAACATTTCAGCTACAGGAGAAAGGGGATTTCTGGGAGCATTTACAGCTGAGTAGCAGCACGGTGAAGGTGTTTGGACTCAAAAGAGCAGAGAGGGAAAAAAACAGGATTGAAGAATTTCTCAGTGCTTCAAGTTCTTCACATGCTGCCTCAATATTCTACAGGGAAATATCAAATATTCACACTGGAATGTGCGAAGGCCTGATACTAAGGATACTGGCAAAGGGATCTTGGCAATGAGATTAGGGAAAATGTACGGCAGGAGATCATATGAAAGGTAGGCGGTGCTACAAGGGATGCAAGAAGCAACTTCAACCATTATAAAATTCTACAAAGGGATTGATGCAGGATAATAAATGTTGGAAGTGTAATAAAGAAATTGGCACTTTTCTACATGCTATGTAGGAACGTTCTAGGGTGGCGCCTTTTTGGATAGCGGTACACCAAGAGGTGACTCGCTGATGCCACCAGGACAAACAAAAACAGGCTTTCATGTAAGTTTCATTGTGGCAGCAGGGCTAATCCTGCGAACCTGGAAGAGCCCGCACACGCCTATGTGTAAAGAACGGATCAAGCTCGCGACAGACTGCAGCATTCAGAAACATGATAGCCGGAATACCAGACAAGACCAAGGATGGGAAAATCTGATGGCCCATATTACAGCCTCTCCGACAACAGATGGAGTAGTGGGTGAAATCAGGCATAAGGGGATGATGGAATTACTCATTTACATTTTTATTCGTTTTTTCCTTTATCATTTAATATTTTCTGCATTTTTAAAAAAAAATTCTTAATTTTTTTCTCTCTCATTTTTTGTTTTACTATTATGTCTGTATTTTTGTTTATATGTTCAAATGGGTGTGCGTGTGTGTCTGTGTGTATTTATATCTATGTATGCGTATGTATGTTTATATATTTTCATATCTATGTGTATGTATGGGTGTATGTATATTGATGGTAATGGATGGTTGATTTTTAATGCATATCTGAAAATCAATAAACATTTTGATCACAAAAAAACCAACTTCCGGCTGTAACACACGTCTGCTGGGTCACCACCACGACATCTACTTCTCACACACACCTCGTGGGTGTAGGTAACGCACCTGCATGTTGCGTAGCTGCGACAGCTGCTGGCGCAGCGCGTTGGTGTTCTGCTGCAGGCCCTGCAGGTGGAGCTGCATCTGCAGACGGGACACGGTGACGGGCTGGTGGGCCCCCGAGGGCGGAGGAGGCATCAGGGCCAAGGGAGCAGACGGTGTCAGAACTGTCCCGACATAAAGGAAGGAGCATGAATCCCAGTGAAGTGGGAGGGGGGACTGCGGGGGGTGGGGGGCACTTTAAGGGACTAATAGAAGTTGTCCCAAAAACACTGCTAGCAAATGAAAGCTTTTTTTTTTTAAACGAGAGATGATCAAAGGGTGGTGCACAGAGCCTGAGAGGAATCTCCACCCTTCAGGCTCTCCTGACCTCAGAAACATTCACCCGACTGGAAACCAGAAGTTTGTTTGGTTGTTCTGGGATTCCTGCAGCAGCAATTGGGGACAAATTCTACGAGAGCCGGAGATTATGGACTCAAAGGCGACGACCCCCCTCAGCGCCCCTTTGGAAATGAGATACGATGAATGATCCGGCAGTGAATTTTTATTTGGGGCAGGGGGGGGAGGGTGGAGGCTGAGTCACGCATGCAGAACGAGACGGAGGGAAGAATGACTGCCAGACAATTAGTGGAGGACGCACTCATCGGAGTTGCATTGGAAGAACACTGACAGGAACGTCTCGCTAAAATACACAGTGGTGACTCCGGGAGACGGAGGACATTCTCGTCTTAACGGGAGGAAGATGGAACTGGAGTTATAGAAATAAATGTTTCACCAACAAAAATTCCAAAAGTATTCTGAGCTTATCTGTAAGTCACCGTATATCATCAGATAACGCTGGTTTAGTTCCTTATACCTCAAACTCAGGCTGAACCCTTTTGCATTAATTGCACTTTCAAAACATTCACGTTTTATCGGCTCTGAAACGCGTCTTAAAGCCTGGATGTCAGAAATAAGTCGGGGGAGGAAAAAGCTTAATTTTGTGTCAGAAATAAATGCAACTCAAATGGTTTCTGACTGAAGGAGACAGAAGGGGGGGGGGGTGAAGGACACCAGCTGAGAGGGATGTAAATCCTACAGGAGGACACACACACACAAACACACCTTTCAGGAGCTAAGAACGCTCCTCAATAAAATAGTAGGAGGGGTGTGGGAGGAGGGAGAAGGGGGGGGGGGTTCCACACACTTCAGGAGCACATAGCTACCTTTCTTTTTTTTAGTTTGTCCAGCTAAAACCAGAAGCATGAGCACCAGTTACACAGCAGCAGAGAGACAGCCGGCAAACACACACACACACACACACACACACACACACACACACACACACACACACACACACACACACACACACAGCATAAAGCTTTGCAAAGGCAGCCATTACAATCACATGTGAGGCACTTTTAGGAATTATGCAGAGAAAGATGGAAGTGGTAGCTGTGTGAGAGGAAGAAGCAACCCAATTTATAAGGCAGTGACAGGCGGTGGAGGTGGGGGAGGGAGGTGGGGGGTAGCGGGGGGGGTAAGCAGCACTTACTGTCAGTCCCCGAGCAGTCGCTGGCAGACTCCATCTTCTCCCTGGAAGAGGCAAGGGGTGAAGCACTTAAAGCCAGAGCACCATCCACCCGGCTACTGAGGAACGGTCAGTGTGTGCGGGCGTATGGGGGTGCAGGTGATAGTGAGTGCAGGCGAGTTTGCGCGCGTGTGTGTGTGTGTGTGTGCAGGCGAGTGTGTGTGCGTTTGTGTCGTGTATGCGCAGGTGAGACTTAGCTTATTCCTCATATATCCGTCATTCACTTATCACTTCTTATTTCCTCAGCTTAGAGCTGTCAATCAGGAGATCAGCTGGTCTCTTCCATTCAACAACGGTGACATCATCATCATTTAAACACCGTCGCCTCTCCACCTTCAGTACGTTCATGCTGCTGTTATGCAATTACTCCACCTCCCCATCTCCAGAGCGCAAGAGCCCAAGCACCAAAACTTTATCATCACATATTGTATATTGTTAGTAAACAATTATTTTCCTTTCCTTCATCTGACTTCTTCTTTGCTGATTGAAATATAATCTCTGCTTTCATTTGTTCAATCTTTAACGCCTAATGTTTCTGTGTAGATGTTATTTGCCAGGCAGGAACACACACGCCTCCAGCTTCCACTGGTATCGCCATGTTGCTATGAATTGTGGGTAATTCCCCAAAGCTAACACGCTCAGAAAGAGTAAGGTCTGTATTAGGAAACAAGTAGGTATACTGTGGAAATATAAAACGTCATATAAAAAGTACAACTAAACTTCTAGGTAGTGTTTGTTTTACAGCGTTTGTGTGTCTTTCTACAGTGCGTTTCCACAAACTGTACTATGTGTGTGTGTATCGCTTACGGGCTTTCCGCGTCGGGCGCCCTGCTCAGTACTCTCTGCAGCAGCCCCGTCAGACTGGCGATCTGCTTCTCCATGGCCTCCATGCGCTCCCTGGGTTCACACACCAGACACATGATGCACAATGAATGATACAAAACTCTCCTGCTGCTCCTCCTGCGTTCGCTTTTCACGCCCCGCGTTCAAGATCAATGCATTTTCTTTCAATGTTCAATCGTACAAAAAGGAAAAAATCAACTGTCAATCAATTCTATACTTTGTTTTGAGCTGCAGAAGCGCTCAGTTCCCACCAACTTTGGAGAATTCTGTCCGGATGTCTATTTGGATGGAATTGTAAATCCACCTTGAGGTTTTGTATTGGTGACCTTTAACCCAGGAGTTTACACCTCCGACCGACTCTGAAGCCTCTAGGGGTTTCGAGCAATGAGTTTGGGAGCCTAGAAATGAAGAAGCCCGAATACAAGAAGAAGATATGTAAAAAATGTCTCAAAATTTGATTAAGCTATTGAAAACCACGTCAAAAAAGATTAGTTAAAAATTAAATTTAAAAAGTTAAAAATATTTCTGAAAAAAGTTACAGTAGCTGACAGTTACTGATCAGTCAGTGTAGTAAAGTATCACCTACGTCAATAAGCGTCCAGCACCACCTTACTAGTGACGTCTCAGAAATAAATTGTACTAACAGTGATTAGCATTAGCCACATAAGCTAACTGTTCCATTCAACTACTTTTCATTCATGAGACAATGAAACTATTCCTTTTGAAAGCTTTAAATGTACAAATACTGAGGTATTGTCTAAACAAAAACAAAGTACAGTATAGTGTGATACTGCAACACGGACTGTACATCAGAAGTATTTAGAGTAGAGAAATGCGTCCTACCGGGTCTCGCTTTCGTTTCCCGCGAGAGGCGTTCCGAAGCCCCCGGCGCCGCCCCCCCCTTCTCCCCCGGGACCGGCCATCAGGCAGAGCTGCTCCGAGGTGAGGCCCAGCCCCGGGCCCTGGCCCCCCCGGGCTTTTGGACTGTCCCCGAACACGGAGGAGATCACGGAGTCCCTCCTCAAACTCTGCCTCCCGGGCGAGCCCCGACCGGGCAAGGTGCCCCCGTAGGACTCCCTCATGTCGGGCATCTTCTGCGGGGAGGAGGGGGGAGGAACCCGCAGCCCCATGGCCAACATGGAGGCAGCGTAGGCGTCGTTGTAAAGCGGTCCTCCCGGTCGGTACAGAGCGCCGGTCTCCATCAGCTCTCCTTGCAGAGCGGCCGCTGTGTAGGAGGTGAGCGAACGCATTGATCCAGCACCTCCTCCCCCTCCCCCTCCCCCTCGGCGATATAAGGAGCCGTAGGGGTCAGCTCGGGCTGGCAGGGGGGAGTGAGGACCTCCCGCCAGACTCAACCGGCTGGGGTCCGGTCCCAGAGAGTAGGGGTCTGCGTAGATTCCACGGTCGTCTCCCCGCAGCAACACCATGCTTCTGGACCCCCCCACCTCATCGTCGGGCTTCACGTCCCTGCGCTCCAGGATGGCGCTGGAGGAGGCGCAGAAGGCCTGCTGGGGGCGATGGGGCTGGTGGAGCTGCTGCTGCTGCTGCTGCTGGAGCTGCTGGTGGTGCTGCTGCTGGAGCTGCTGGAGCTGTTGGAGCTGCTGCTGCTGCTGCTGCTGCTGGTGGTGGGGGGAGGAGTGGTGGGACTGGGAGTGGGGGTGCGGCAGGGAGTGGGTGTGGTGTGGTGGCCCGGCGTAAGACGAGGGTCTGCCTCCGCTGTAGAGGAGGCGGGCGCGTGACGGCGAGCCCTGAGGGGAGGCGGAGGAAGACGAGTGCTGGGAAGACATGTGCGGGTTGCTGAGGCGGCGGTTGGGTGAGGAGTCCTGAGGCGCATACACCATCTCCCTCTGCGAGAACAACAACAACAACAACACATGAGGCTCACGCCACGCTCAGGCTGTCCCTTCTCCATAGATCTACAATACAAGCAAGATGCGGGATTATTATCATCTGGAATTAGTGTGAATGGATTATTAGGATTTAATTTATTCATTCAATTTGACATACGCATCATGTAATATAGAATTGGCTTTCTTAGTCACATCTACATATTTTGAAACAAGAAATTCAATTAATAAATAAAAGATATTTGTAGTTCTGCTTTACCATTTCAAATTCAGAGAAAACATATGCTGCTATTTTTCAGGTGAAAACTTGTATTCGGGGTTTCTACGACAACTAATTGATATTGTTTATTGTTAATGGTAAATGGACTTTATTTGTAGAGCGTTTCTAGCCTTCTGACCACTCAAAGCGCTTTAACACTTCCATCCTTCAGTCTCGTTAAGAGCTCTCCGCCCTAAAAAGCTCAGCCTACAGAAAAAAAAAAGAATGGGGCAAATTTTCAAATATATTCTCAAAAGATACAGAGAGAATGTGATGGCCGGCCTCTTTAGTGTGACCACCATAGGACCTTATTTCTAAAATAACTGTTTGAGCCTGCGCTGATTGGCTTGTTAAATCACACGTTTTCTGATCCAAGCAGTCTATAAAAACTCTCTAGGTCGTCTTATTCAACAGTTTGTGGGTTGGAAGAAACTCCCCAAAAATATGTCCAGCAGCACTTAAAAAAAATCAATTATTTTAAGATAATCAGTAAAAAATTTAAAAAAATCAGTAATGTGCAGTTTCACTGCAACATGTTACAGCATGTTAAGTGCGCCTATCGAGCGACTGAGCATTGATGGGTTATCTTTTGGCAACCGTCCCAAAATGTCAGAGAGAAAGGAGAGTGATGGGAGGTGAGCAGCCGGGAGCAATTTCAGCCGGGAAAGTACAAAAGAAGACGAGGAAGCGAATCGATGCAAAGTGAAAAACCAATATTTCCACGTAGCAAACCCTTCGGCCTCTCACAGCAGCCCAACTAACGACTCCGGTGCCATCGCCTTCCATCTTGTATCTTAGCAACGGACATCGTCCTTTTGACACTAAGACGTTTCAATCCCCACTCATAGATTCCCCCCTGAGAAGCAAGATCCATCGAGGGTTTCGTCCCCGAAGGCTTTTTTTTAAATCTCACCGCCGACCTCCAGAACCAGGAAGGCCCCAGTAATCCTGCTGGCTGGGGTTCAATAAGCCATCTCTCTCTCTCTCTCTCTCACAGACACACACACACACACACACACACACAGAAAGGTCCTCGTCCCTCACCTTGGTAAAGCCAGGAGCTTTGCTCTAACTCACTCACACATAAAAGTAAAGGTGAGCGCTGAGGTTGGATCCTTCGGAGCTCACAGGAGAGGCAAACATTTGACCTCTGAAACATTAGCCCAAATGTATTTAGTCAAACAGATGTATTTTCATGCCGAATTACCTATTAGAAACATACGTGCACATTTCTGCTAAACACCAGATTTAAAGTGGTGATTTGGTGTGCGTCTTTGTGGGGAAACGCGCGCATGTACGGATCAATCACCACGTCATGAACAGATTCCACAAAGTCTGGCCTGAAATCAGAATAAGAAGCCATTTATTTCCACATGTTACACATAGAGGAATATGTTCTGATGATTGGTGCGATATAAAATAAGATAAAATATACAAGCAACATTAAATCAATCTAAACAGATAACAGGTAAGTGTGTTAAAACACGTGTGTATGTATTTATGTTTCACCATGGAAACATGCAGAAATCACCGGTCTGCTCTCATGGAATCTTCTGCTTGGTTCGTTTGGTTTCACGCAGAAACAAAGGAAAACTTAAATCACCCAATTATACATTCCTAAGCATTGCTACTATCGCCTGCACATGCTACTGCTAGCACCGCAAGCTAACAGGCTTTGTATGTGCGCAGAAAGCGCATGATTCTTCACACACAACAATCAAAACCTCACATAGCGGAAGAGACTAACACGTAAACACAAGAGAAAGCGATATTGGTGGTATGTGCGGGGAGCCTCTTTATTCGTGGGATAATTTGGCAGCTGCCCGCCAGAAGGAGACAAGTTTGTCTGGCTTCCTAATCTCTGAGTCATCAACCAGCTGCGCAGGAAATTAACAGTCAACGAAGGAAAAGGTGGCTGCGGCTAAAGCTGCTTGCCTTTATACGTCGGTCCTTACACAAGCAAGGACATGTGATGTGTTTCTCTCACTCAAATACATGGATACGTTTCACGGGGGCCACAACTTGCTCTGATAATGCAAACGCAGATTAAAGCAGAAGGCTGAGAGGCAAATCTGATGATGTCGACACAAACAGCCTCGCTCTCTGCTTTAGGGTGGTGCTATCCGCTGATTGACAGGTCTGCACCGGAGGCGTATACAGTACCTCTACATGACAAATACCCAAGACGGCGACCCCCAAACCAAATAACTTCAGGCTTCAAAACAGCCGTCCAGAGGCGAAAGTCATGAGGTCAAAAAAGATTCTTGCACCCACACAAAGGATGCGAGTCCTTACCCGCAGGTCTCCGTTGGCCAGGTGTGGGTGTCCCGGGTAGGTGCCGTAGATGGGCTCCTTGCAGTAGATCTTGATCACGCAGCGGTCCTGAACATCCCGCGGGTCCTCTAGCTCGTAGAAGACGTTTCGGGTCTCATCTTTGATCAGGAGAGCCGTGTTCGGAGACCTGGTCGTCAATAATCATCGCGACACAATATCAAAACGCTGATAAATAGTCGACGCAAAGGCGATTTCAGCATCTATTGACGACTGATAAAGTGAATTGGAGGCGAGGAACTTGAGTGAACGAGGCGCCGTGATGAGAGAATCAACCAGACTCATATCAAATCACCGCAGTCATTTCAGTTCAGAGTCTGAATTTATACATCAGCCAGCAGCCTCAGAGCAGATGATCTATAAGTAAACACCTTGATGGAAACACCTATTGATTCTTTTACCAATTGTTGCCCTGTATTATCACATACTGTAACATGAGTACTGACTTAAAGCTAGAAGTCATTTTTAATATGATATTATATTAATATGATATTCACCTTTCATCTCCCTACATAAGAATGATTTTATGTTTTATGATTCTCTTTTCAATGTTTCTTAAGGCAACTTTTGCTTTTATGCTTATTTAGATTATTTTATTGTTGTAAATTTATGTCTTGAAGTTTTTTAATTATCAAAAGCACTTGCTGATTTATGAATATATATATATATATATATATATATATATATATATAAAATTTGCTTTATACGGGAGGACTTCAATGTCTCAGCTGGTTTTAAGATTATACGACAAAATAGTCACGTCTAAGGAGAGAATCCATGCTAACGGTAAGCTAACTATCTAACTAGGTAGAGACAGATTCAACAACAAATAGATAGGAGGGGAATTCTCTCGTACCTCAAACTATACAGAGTATGTAGTATTTGTTTGATTCCTCCCTTTCCTGTTTTCATTCTGCTTCAGTTTACAAAACGTTGTTATTTCCTTAAGTGTGTTTGAGGATGAGGATGATCACCTGGCGATTGATTTGATAAAAGTGGGATGATTAAAAAGCAGTCATGTGGACGCTCAATGACATACTTAACTCATACTTTGATCAATGCCATGCTAGTACCTGAGCATGGCCATGGTGAGCCTCTGGGGGAACATGTGCACGATGAGGGCCCTCAGCGTATCCAGGCTGGTCAGCTCGTGGGTCAGGTGAACCCTGCGAGTCTCCTCCCCAAGCTGCAGGAACAATATCCCTGCATTCATGGATGGGGAGGAGCAATGAGGGAGATCCACCATGGTTGAAGGGGTAGGGGGTGAGGGGGGGGGGACATGTATTAAGCCCACTCAAGAGTGTAAGGAGCTAAGAGGTGAAAGGTCCTTTGACTCCCTGAATACATGCGGCGCTCGTGATGAATTCATGGAACCTTATTACCACCGCGTTAGTTAGGCGTTAATTCTTCTATTATAAAAAGATAAATATAAATATAATCAATTGATCAATCAAACCTAAAATTTCTCACTCAATAAAGCAAAGAAATAGTTGCATATTTGTATCTAAGCTTCATTCTTCAGCAAATGGAATGTTAATGTTTCTCGTTACTTCTACTAACCAACATCATTCCTGAAGTAGCTTCACGGATCATCACCAGCGTCACACACACAGCGACAGATAAAGTCCCACGAAACAACACGTAATTATCACAGTGTTGTGTAGAAAAGGAACATTCTCCTTCATAAGAAGGACGTGTTACCAACACTTGGACACCCTGCTGGTAGAACTGTTTTAGCAATGAATGTGATTCATCCCACCTTTTCCCAACTCCTGTGAGCACATCAGGCTCCCTCCTGAGCAGCCAGATTCATTATTTGCAAATATTACGCAGCGTTTGAAGACTCGAGTCAGTCAAGCCAGATCAGATCTTTGAAAGCGCTTTCCTCCTGCTACAGTTGCAGCAGAGTGGAAAGCTCACCAGCTTCACAACAGGTGCGTGTCGTCGTACTGACCTGGCGCCCTCAGCTTGGCCTGGCTGGAGGAGCGCGCCAGCGGCAGGCTCTGGCGCAGCCGGTTCATCCGGTTGAAGCCGATCGGCATGTCGGGCTCCGACATGGTGCCGAGGTTCTCTGCTGAGGCAAAGGAGACCCGGCTGGCCTGGTCGGCGAGAGCCGGCTGCGTGGGGCTGAGTCGGGTCACGCGTGGCGTGCGAGTCTGCAAAAGACAGGAGACAAGAGGTCAGGAGGGGGGGGATTAACCTTCTCATTCTGCTGTGATGGAGGCTGCAGTCATCGATGGGCGAGGATGAGAAACACTACGACGCAGACAGAGACAGACAAAATGGCCTCTGGGGATGGAGGAGCTGCGTTTACACTTTATGTGTGCCAACAACAGAGAGGAAGATACAATCAGACCACCTTGGAAGGCCAAACATTTCCCCAGTCTGACCTCGGACCGACGCACCCGAATTACCAACCACGGAGAGAAACCTTCAGTCACCCTCACAGAGAGGTGTGAACTGTTTCTAAAAGATGAAATAAATGTCAAGGAGGAAGAGAGAAACAACACTTTATCACGCCGGTGTTTTATTTTACACGTAAACAGTCAATAGAATCCAAACAGGACGTCTCAGCGCCCCCTCGCTGCCCCCACCCTCCCCCCCAGATAAACACCCACAGGACTCAGTTGTGGTATTTAAGTGGCTTCTGTTGCAGAGATGAGTTATGACGGGAAAAAGATGGCGGATGAGAATCCGATGCTCGACATACCTCCCGTCTGTAACGTCCTCTTACGGTTTCCTACCCACCTTACTGTGTCCCCCCCAGATTTATGGTCGATTTCCCCTCCTTTTTTATTCCTTTTCGTTATCACAATCCGTTTGTGGCTCCACAGCTACGTTACCGTTTACCAGAGATCAGCTCGCCATCAGAAGGAAACCTCCAGTTCTGAAGAGTTCAATGTCTTAAAGGTGCATTCGCTCTACTGCCCGTCGGGGGGGCAAATCCTCTAGTTGTGAAGAAGCCTCCGACCAAAGATCCAGATGGCAAACGCCAAAACTCAACATGATGAAGGCCAAACCGTCAGAAACCGAGATGGTGCAGGACAAAATGTTGAAGGCTTCCAAACAAGCACACACAACCTGTGTCGTACAGTCTGTATACTGAAGCAGAGCTCTCACAGTTTTCACGTCTAATCGAGGAGGGACCGACAGAGACAGAGATCTGCTGCACGATGGCATTCATTTACACACGGCTCATAGTCTTATGGTTTGAAATGAGTTGAGGCCTAGTTGATAAAATAATTTGTGAGGTCACAGTGACCTCTGACCACCCAAGCCCTTTCTTCTGACCCTCACCTGGTGCAGAGTGGGAGGAGCCTCCTGGCTGAGTCGTTAGTGCTTCATTAGCTGCAATTCCCTCACTCAAGATTGCTGCTGAACCTGCTGTTAAAAAAGCCAGACTGGCTGGTGACTGGATTTCACCAGCAGCTCACACACACACACACACACACACACACACACACACACACACACACACACACACACACACACACACACACACACACACACACACACACACACACACACACACACACACACACACACACACACACACACACACGCCGGGCTTGATTGACGAGGCAACTGTTACACGCACACCCCCAACCTCAAGATTTCACGGGCATCGCTGCTGCGGACCGTGACATTTTTTTCCAGTGAGACTGATAACTGAGGGGGAGAGGACACTTCTCGCAGGAGAGGACAATCCTCAGAGGAGGGAGACGAGAGACACTCCTCACAGGAGAGAGACGAGAGACCCTGCTCACAAGAGAGAGACAAGAGACTTTCCTCACAAGAGGGAGACAAGAAACACTTCTCATGGGGGAGAGACAAGAGACACTCCTCGAGGAGGGAGACAAGAGACACTCCTCACAGGAGAGAGAGAAGAGACACTCCCCACAGGAGGGAGGGAGAGACACTCCTCACCGGAGAGAGAAAGGAGACACTCCTCACAGGAGAGAGACAAGAGACACTCCTCACAGGAGGGAGACAAGAGACACTCCTCACAGGAGGGAGACAAGAGACACTCCTCACAGGAGGGAGACAAGAGACACTCCTCACAGGAGAGAGACAAGAGACACTCCTCACAGGAGAGAGACAAGAGACACTCCTCACAGGAGGGAGACAAGAGACACTCCTCACAGGAGAGAGACAAGAGACACTCCTCACAGGAGGGAGACAAGAGACACTCCTCACAGGAGGGAGACAAGAGACACTCCTCACAGGAGGGAGACAAGAGACACTCCTCACAGGAGAGAGACAAGAGACACTCCTCACAGGAGGGAGACAAGAGACACTCCTCACAGGAGAGAGACAAGAGACACTCCTCACAAGAGAGAGACAAGAGACACTCCTCACAGGAGGGAGACAAGAGACACTCCTCACAGGAGGGAGGCACTCTGTGATTCTCTTTTCAGTCACTTAGTGTCTCATTGAAGACATCTTGTGTTTCTGTGGACATTTTGAAGTTGGAGGCCACAGGGCCCCTGATACTTCGGGTCCCTGATGCCTTAGAACAGCCTGTTACTCTGTTACTGGATTATAGAACAAACGCCGCCGTGCAGAAGTAGAGGAGGTATTTACAATAGTACTGTGTACAAATACAAGTACACCATCTGAACACAAAAAGTGCTCATTGATGTCAGATGAACTGTGTTCTGTGAGGTGAAAGACCGCTTTTAGGAGCCTGGTGTCTCTGCAGGGAGAATCAACTACAGCTTCAATTCCCCACAGCAAAGTAAAGAGGGGAAAATATTCTAAATATAGAATACATCCACATTCAAACTTCCCTTTTGCTGCTTCTCCTATCGGTTTCTACGGGCATACTTCTGAACATCCAAACTCCCTGTTTAATGCAAACACATTAAGTTATCTGTCGGGCCGCACATCCGTCCAAGTCTGCGGCTTAACGCTCCATTCACTCGCGCTTCGTCTCTACGTCACTTCAGATATTATAACGGGGCCGAAGATAATCGTCTTTCACGTATGAACCGAGTGGGAACCCCTCATAACGTTCTTGCGTTCCTCCAGCTTGAATAACGTGCAGTCTGTCTGAGTCTTGGCAGATGGCAGTGAAGTGTCAATAAGCGTGCCGGCGGGAGGAGGGGAGGGAGCGATGCAGCGGTCGGACTCCTAAGCCTTTTAGAAGCAGACCGCGGCATTCTCCGAGGCAGATGGGGGAATAGCGGTTTTTCCACCAAGCGTCGTATCAACAGCAAGGCAGCGCCGGGCCGCCCAAAGCCTCCGACTGAAAGGGGTTAGCGCTGAGCTAGCTCGCTGGGACACTCTGTGCTCAAAAGGCTCCGGGCCTCATCCCGAGATCTCGGCATCCCTGAAGGACGAGGTTCTGGAGGACGTCGTCTTTCGTCTTGTTAAATGCTTTTTTACAGGGCAGTTTGAAAAATCACTGAAAATATATGAAATCAATGCATGGAGCAAAAAAACGACAAAAAAACGACAAAGCTTATCTGATTGGATGTATGATCCTCTCTGAATCTGAGCTCAGCCGCTGAGAGAAATTGAAGTTTAGTCATTTCTGCTGGGGCTTTTTCTCGATTGAGATCAGTCTCTTTTTCGGGTTTCCTTCCTCGGGGGCACTACTGCAGATGCACGCCTCTAAAAAAACATGATGGGAAACTCTGCAAGGCAAATGAGACCGAAGGGTAGAACCAAATCAGTAACGCAGCCAGAGGACGACAACAGGTCTCCTAGCAACGCCGCCTCACTACTGCACCGCTTTCATGGGAAACGCCCGACAAGGACGAGCCATCGTGGTTCCAACAACTCCCAAAATTTCAGAACGGAAACAACAGCTGCATCCGCTCTACTCCAGCACATATAGGCAGGCGGATGGGTAATATATATGCTAATGAGGTATTAAAGTGTGGTGTTATACAACGTTGGGGAGACAGAGCAATGATACTTCTTCTAAATGAACTATGTCCCCTCTTTGCTTCTGCTCTAACAAGCAGAAGAAAACATTAGCTTCACGTTAATTCCCAGAGACCACCGCCCCCCCGTGGGAGAGCAGACGGAGGGGATGGAGGAGACAATGTGCAGTTAGTACCACTCTGCACAGGCATGTCCTGGTGAGCAGGAACACGCGTGTGGTTCATCCAGTACAACACGCTTTGCTAGTGTACCATGCGTTTCTCTCAGTGGGAGTATCTGTGTGTTTACTTTGTGAGCTGGCAAACCACTGAACATCAAAGGGGACCAGAGGGGGTCTATTAAACACACACACACACACACACACACACACACACACACACACTGCAGGGGTTTGTCTTGCATCGAAGGAGAAGGAGGACACAAGACCCCCCCCCCCCCTCCCTAGAATCCCCCTAGAGGAAAAAGGGGAGCAATAACCAATCGTGTACGAGCTGCTCGCCAACAACAAATGTGGGGAGATTGGAAAAAATAAAATAAATAAATAGATAAAAGGCATGTGTTTTTTTCATGAGCAGACAAAGGGAAATGTACCGAGTGAGAAGAACACACGGCGCACACACAACATGGGAGGATTATAAGAACGATGACATAACAAGGGGCGGGTGGGGGGGGGGGCATGATAACCAATGCAGTTAAATGCATACGAATCGTGTTATAGTGCCGGTGTCGATACGTTCATGTGAATCCTGTATCATGTGTCAGGGTCAATAAAGAAGCTGGTGTTATTCTTCAATTAGAAAACAAACTATTTAACATAATATTAGCATAATTCAATAATCTTTTCTCCCTTTAAAACTAAATATGACATGCTCAAATAAGCTGGTGCTGACCTGTGGCATCACGACATCCATCCATCAATCAACCAATCAATCAATCTGCACCCACAGAACAACCTCAACCTTCAGAGAGTCACATGTCCGGCTGCATTCTGAGCCCGCCCACTTTTTAGCATCTCAATGAAAGGAAAGCAATTAGATTAAAATCCTTCTTGTAACTGTACACCTGCTAAAATATGTTTGAGTGCAAACGCCTCACGGCGAAATTAAATTTGGTTCATCCGTCAACACACAACTAAACCCATAAAATGTTACAAAATATGTTCATCTTTATGTTTGTATTTTCTATTAAGACGCTTTGTAATTTATAAGTTTTTATTAAACAGGAGTTATACACATTTTGCTTTAAAAAAATATTCTTAGAAAAGCTTTTATAAAGGATTTTGTGCTTTAATGTGTATAACGTTACTTCATTTTAAATACATCAGTGTACGTTTTATTTAAACAGGTTACACCGTTTACACTGTTGGGTTTGCACCAGTGACACTCCACTAAATATAAATATACTAAATATATTTCCCTCTATTTATTGAGTAGAATAAATAAGAATATATATAATCATATAATAATATATACAATAATACTTATATATTATGATATATATAATTATTATTATAATCAGTAGGCATATTTATATAAAAGCTTTTATGGTGACAAGTTAGAACTTAATTATCATCTAGATGAACTTGGAAGTTGGTTGATTATTTTGAGATAATGAAGTCAAATTCAATATTTACAATTAAAATATGAAAAACTACCAAATAAAGAGTCAAGAGTTGAGTAGGAAAGTGCTTTTTGAGTTCATAAAATCTATAATTCATCTTTACATTAATATTTCCAGGCGATGGGAGTCCAGTTTTCCCAGTTTGGCAACTGGAAACCAGTGTGAAGTGTTTCAGCTGCAGCTGCGGATTATTGGGAGGGAGAGAATCTGGAAGCGACTCCATCTTCAGCTCACGCGCTTTTTACACCCCGATGGCCAGCAGTGTGCGAAATTAGCTTTTATTTTAGTGCTGGGCGCTCAAGACGCTGTCAGGCAGTTAAACCTGCTATCACCTGATTAGCAGTGAGGCAAATTAAGTGAAATTTCACACCTACTGTGCTGGAATTGTAATGAAAAAGAAGCAGCATGCAACATTCAGGGAGCACAAGTCTTTTGAGTTGTAATAGCAACCAATCCAACATTATTGATGCTTTTAAATCAAAATCACCAATTTTCAATCAATTTTAAACTCATGGTGGCGCCAGACGAAATATCCGATTATTATCTTTGCTTTTTTGACAGTTTTCTTTGCAACCAGAACTCACACAAGAGGGTGGAGCACATCTGATCAGACGTTTCAGGAGGCAACATGTTACAATAAGGGCTGTCAAAATGAACGTGTTAATGTATGTGATTGTGAAGTTGACAATGGAAACGAAACCGCGCTGCAGTCAGTTAGATCAGCACGACATACAGCGGGGAACTCTGCAGAGGAATTCCCCCACGTGTCATACAGAAGAGGGGTGAGTGACAAACGAACCACGTTACACACTGCTAGGCTAAGCTAGCTGCTAGGCTACTTCCACATCTACCCTGCGCGGCACGCAGTCTGCAGGGGAACACCACTGTGTCCCTAAAAACACCGTGATTTGGAAAAGGTTCTGACTAAACGTGGGGAGATTGTTGGCGCTTCAAACACGACCATCAGATGATGGAGAGTGGAGAACAAAGTGCACGAGGAGAGCAGGAAGAGTCGCTAGTTCAACATGTTCCACCCAGTGGAATTCTGACTTACAGGTGATCACATGTGTGTAGTTTTGTGTTTAAAATAACATTAATTAATCAACAGTGTCTAAAATTAACACTTTGTAAAACTCATTACTTGTAAACCTTTTAATCGCAATGAATTTCATTAGTTAGTTAAACTTAGTTATTTTTTCAGCCAATTGACAGCCCTAGTTACATACATTTACATTTTAATTTTAATTTTTAGCAACATTACAATACATTTTATTAAGGCAAACATTTTATCCATAAACCCATGTTTACATTTACATTTTAATGAGGGAATAAATTAAGAGAGAAATATTCAACATTCATTTTTTCATAGACTTCTATAGGATGAAAGGAGTCGCCCTCTGGTGGACATTGGAGAGAATGCAGCTTTAAAATGGAGCCGTCAACGAGCAGCACACCAAACCTGAATCAATGTCACCGTCACAAGAGAAGGTTTGGGAGCATAAATATGAGCTCACGCTGGAGGTCTCAATTTAAGCACCTATGAGACAACAATCAATTATCCATTCAAAAGTAAATTATTATGTTTACCTGATGAGACAAAAATCTCCCAGCATGCAGTGCAGAAGAGAGTTAAACACAAGTGTGAGCCGACTTTGAATGCGTCTGAGAAATAGGCGAGCAGGCATGCAAGTCACAATGAGAAGCGATCCCTTAAAGACACAAATCCACACACAGAGGGACAGATTTACGCTGAAACACAAACACACAATGTTGGCACTGACCTTGAAGCTCCAGTAGTTTGGTTGTTGCTAAGAGGGGGGGGGCAGGAGACGGGAGGAAGAAGGAGGGGAAAAAAAGGAGCCAGTGTGAGACGTTCAGTTGACAAAACGGAACATCAAGCAGAGAAAAAGCTTCATCACTGGGCTCTGACGTGAGGACACAGTGTGACGGATAAAGGTTGACTGGTGGGGGGAACGCCTCCCAAACGTCTTAAGCACCTTGCTGAAAAAAAGACCACAATTGGTGAAGCAAATGAAGCAATAGATAGTTTCTTTCTGGGCTTGGTGGGAAAATGACGGGCTAATTATAGTGATGATGGCCAGATTAACTTGCGTTGTCCTTCACTGCCATCGTAATAGGACTTTAATTGCTTGTAATTGCTTCTTGGCAATTAATCAAATGTTTACGGTGACTTCACACACACACACACACACACACACACACACACACACACACACACACCAACAATGTAGCTCTCACTCCTCCCGTGGTGCAGAGCTGGCTGGCATGGACCCAGCAGGAGGATTAAAGCGATGCACACACTGGATTAGGGGAGCTGCCACCTTTTACTTTATCCGGGAAAAGGCCGACGTTCGGGTCAACTTCCTCCTGATTGTTTTGTTTGCCCGACATTCTGTTGATGCATGGTTATTATTATTATTATGCAAATACTGTACTGTTTTCATACCGGATGAAGAAATTATGAGCTTCTCTAAATATGTTTAGTCATTCACTCTCCCTGCTTCACATGGGGGGGGTCAGACAGAAGCTCTGGCCTGCTAGTTAGCTGGTTAGCTGCTCTCCCAGAGTCGACAAAGAGGCAGAGGGATAGTTGGACCCAGCATGGCAGAAAAATAAATGGAAATAAGCAGACAAGCTCGCTTACCAGCCGGCTGCTGCTTCCGTGAAATTAAACTACTTACTGCCTTCTCCACAAACTGTTGTTGTCACAGCGTATGGAAGCACATTGCGAACGCCGAGCAGGAGACAAGTTAGTTTGGGTCCCTTTCTGTAACCAGTGTTGCATGAAAGCCTGGCAGAAAGTGCAGCTAGCGGAGTAGCCGTCCACTAGCTACTGTGCTAATCCAACCGGGAGTTCATGCCTTTTAGCGAGTTTGCAACATTTTGAGGTAAAAACAAACAAGCATTGACGCAGCATAATGTTTCCATAGGGAAAAACAGAAGCATGTTTTCTCAACAACATAATCACAAAAGACACTTCTGACGCTGACTCATTAAAAGTAGATCAAATAATTACACTTTCTTTGCAGAGCCAGACAAATGTCTCAGTTATTTGGTCCAGAACCACGTTTCCAAACAACAGTGTGTTGTGGAAAATATGTAATATACAAGGGAGTCCGGGGTTATCCCTGTGCTGTATTAGTGCATTATGTACGCATACAGTGTAAATACACGCTGTTCCTTGAAGAACGTTTAAAGCACAGCTCAAGTCAAAGTCAACAGATGATGTGCAGCTATTGCACTACCGCTGCATTTATTCAAATACAAGTAACTCAAATGCTGCTTCAAATTAAAAGCGCAGATGACTGACTTTGAATCTAAATTGCATCACATATGCTGTGAAAAAAGGAGTCCCTGAGTAATTCATCTCCCGTGTAGATGGAACTTAACTTTGTGTTTGAGCAGCTGTTCGGGGAGCTGCATGGATCCCCAAACACTTTTTCTCAGCTAGAACTTTTATAATTCAAACTCCCTTTCAAAAAACGGAGCTGAAGGAAGGGAAGCAAAGAGGGTTCGTGAGAGAAGCGCCTGTGACCCAAATGTCGCGTCACTGAGCTTATTCAACCAAATATTAGTCAGGCCACTCCCGGAAGATCTTTGAAAACCAGTTTGAGAGTTTAATTAAACACTTTTGTTAATTGTCTGATTTCCATTTAGAGAATCAGTTTGACTTATGTGACCACAAGTGATGGACCAAATCGTAGATCGGGCTAAATACTCACCTTGCACAAATACACTTCCAGATAATTTGTTGTGAAAGGTACCAGCAGGATGAATAGATCTGGACTGGATTTGTAACTCAGATGTGGTTCAGAGCCGAATGTGGCGAGCGAGGTCCACAAAAGCAGAGAAGCCTATAGAGTAACTGGAGGTAAACTTCAACGAGTGGAAAAAGACTATGGAACTATGGAAAAAGAGTGCATTAGTCGGGAAATACATGGAGAACCAAGAAAGAACATTGAGATTCCTGCGACCAAGCTTCTCATCTCCAGATCGGCCCTTTGATTTTTAATCGATGAAGTACTAACACTTCTCACCGCTTTATTTTCTGCTTTTGTTGTCAAAGAACATCATCGCCATCGATGCCCCCTTGACACAGGAGCCCCATCCCCGCCTGACCTACGGCTCTGAGGGAGCCTCCTCCTTTATAATTACAGGTCGACTAAAACTGAGACACAATCACCTAGCGGGATCACAGAGACGGAAACAAAAATTCCGACCGTACCGGTTGGGTTATGATCCCTCGTGTAACCCGCCGGCTTCATTTATTCACCTGAAAATCGGAGAAAAATAACGGGCGAAATCTACGGCCGAGTCACCCCACAAATGATTTAATGCACCATTTTCTAAAAGCATAAACCCTGCCTCCTACAAAGGAACCCCTCTGCCCACGGGGCTCAACAATATTTCTCAATCACTTGGGCTGAAATCCCAAAGCGCACATAACGAAGCCGAGAGAGAGACAGAGAGAGACGAGCATGACCTGCATGACAAGTAGCCATTTTTGTACCCACCCTCCTTTTTTTACATCTTCTCTCCAGCCCCAAAATACGCCAACACATGTGCATGGACCCTTATACATCTGTTCATACATACACACACACTTTCTTCTTCTGACACAGACACACACTAACACACAAGCAAACGTCGCTGCAGCGGCCACTCGGACACACCTGGCACACCTGCCTGCTTCAGGCACACACACACACACATTGAGTCAAGAGGGGGGAGTTGCAGCGGTCTGTCACAAACATGTCACCACACACACACTCACACATTACAAAGACACACACACACATGCACGTCCACATCCCTCCGTCATCATTCATGCAGCAGCGTCACGGATGCAGAGACGGGGTGAGGGAGAGTTACCGTTGTCTCCTAATGAGCAGGTCGGCCACCAGGCGCATCCTCCTGCTCCACACGCCTCCCTCTTCTTCTTCCTCCGCCTCCCCTCTTCCTCTCCATCCTCCTCTTCTCCTTTTTACTGCGGCTCGGCGTCTTTCCCGCGCCCCAAGGATCCGCCACAGTCCTCCCTCGCTGGTAACCGTAGTAGCGCCTCAGAGGCTGTTAGCATCTCTCTCGCTCTCTCTCTCTCTCTGCTGCCGTTACCTCTCACTCAGAACAGCGTGTGCATCCTTCCAAAGCCCAGGCATTGCCAACCATATGATATCACCCGGTTGCCTTATATGGAAGAAAAATGGTGGGTTGCCATGACGACGGCAGACTACACCTGTTTCTCTGTCCCCCTCTCTCTCTGTCGGTGTGTCAGTCTACCTTTTTTTGTCAGGAGATGGATGATGTGGTTCGAGGGAATGGTCGCAGCACACGAGAGGGAGGAGGAGATGAGGGAGGAATAGACGAGGGAGGAGGAGACGTGATGAACAGGAGCTGACGGAGGCTTTGGAGAGGGAGAGGGCAGACTTAAAGCAACACTCATCTTCCTAGGAATGTAGAGAGTCGGATGTGAAGAGCAGTGTGTTTAAATACGGAGCGGGATTAGCTTAACAAATGGAAGATGCAAGAAGTTTTCCTGTTTCCAGGGATTTTTCCCTAAAACAAAACAAGTTGTTCTTTTCCTAAACCTCCTTTATGTATTCCTGCCATCAGAGGTTAATGAACTACAAAAATCAGGTGAATAAACTTCACAATGTGCTCTCTCACAAAGCAGAGAGGCTAGAGATTGGTTTATTCTGTCTTTATGCTAAGCTAGGTTAACTCTCTGAACCCCAAAATACCCGGTGGTCGGTTTGAAAAGGTTGGCAAATTTCGCTTCAAATCAGAAGAACACACCAATGAAATCCAAATATTTCCTCAAAATTGATTTCCTTCATTCACCGGTCTCGTTTTAACTTCTAATAATAATAAAACACAATAAACCTGAAGCTGTGACTCAGCTCTCAGCTGCTGATGAGAGGTTCTAAACGTGTTAGTTATCTGCATTTTAGCTGTTTTATTGCCATAAATCTTTCACCTTCTCGCCAAGCCGCTTCCACTGAGTAGCAGAGAAATGTGATAGCCACCCCCCCCTTCGCCCCCAACTCCAGCTCCGTGCTCAACGCACACAATGTGAACACCCCATGACCCGTGAGAGCTGCGGGGGGACACTCTCCCTCTCCCCCCCGGAAGGCTGCACTCTCCTCCACTGCATTAAAGACGTGCAGCGGTTAGATTATCGGAGTGGTTCAGCAGGTCAGGAGACAATAGCAAGAAATATATACACATATATATAAATATGTATATTTTACTCTGGCTGTAACTTTATCCTTTATTTTCCTTTCAAAATCACTAAAATATTTATTCCAGAGGACGTGAAAAAAATGAATTGAACTTCATTGTTGATGCGTTTATTTTTATTTGTTATGAATTAATTATTCCTGCTCCTCTGACCTGCGTGTGCCCTTCAATTAAAGCAGAGGTTGACAATACAGATAAAACCTTCTATTGTGCTGGATAAATATATATGTATTTCTCCAAAGATAATAATTATTCTGGTAAATAATATGGACATGTAGACATGTTCGGTGCTCTACTTTTTGATATAACTTATTGTCTGTGTCTCCATTGTGACCTCACCCTTCAGGTACCAAGATGTGTCCCCGTCGTGACCTCACCCTTCAGGTACCAAGATGTGTCCCTGTCGTGACCTCACCCTTCAGGTACCAAGATGTGTCCCCGTCGTGACCTCACCCTTCAGGTACCAAGATGTGTCCCCGTCGTGACCTCACCCTTCTGTTACCAAGGTGTGTCCCCGTCGTGACCTCACCCTTCAGGTACCACGGTGTGTCCCCGTCATGACATCACCCTTCAGGTACCACGGTGTGTCCCCGTCGTGACCTCACCCTTCAGGTACCACGGTGTGTCCCCGTCATGACCTCACCCTTCAGGTACCACGGTGTGTCCCCGTCATGACATCACCCTTCAGGTACCACGGTGTGTCCCCGTCGTGACCTCACCCTTCAGGTACCACGGTGTGTCCCCGTCATGACATCACCCTTCAGGTACCACGGTGTGTCCCCGTCGTGACCTCACCCTTCAGTTACCACGGTGTGTCCCCGTCGTGACCTCACCCTTCTGTTACCAAGGTGTGTCCCCGTCGTGACCTCACCTTCACTTACCGAGGTGTGTCCCAATCACATACCCTGCAGTTACCCAGGTGTGTCCCTATCGTCTCTGTACCTGACGTCTGGCGGGGGCGTCCTGCGACCCGCCCCCGGGACTGTTGGAGATCTTGTTCTTTTGGAGATCCATGAGGGCGTCCCTCTGCCGCTCGATGTCCGCCTTGTGGATGCTGTTCAGGGCCTCCAGGCTCTTGGCGGCCACAGAGTTGTGCCGGCGATCCAGCGAGGACGAGGTGAAACCCCCATTGGCGTTGTCGGGGAAACGCCGGGCCCCGCCACGGCCACGGCCACGGCCACCGGCCAGCGTGTGGTAATCCCGCGAGAACTCGGCATCGCCGGCAGAGATCATGGGACTCTTTCTCTTCTCTCGACCTGTGGAGGGGATTTTGGGAGAAGAGAGAAGTGAGAGAACTAAATGTGTCACTTCGTCGTAAGATTAAGATGGAATCTGTAAAAGAATAAAAATACATCATTTTTAAACCAACTTCTTTCCTTAAAGGGAGCCAGTGGCCAATGAAAATGAACGAGCAGAGACACAACAGAGTAGATAAAATAACCAAAAATATCAGTTCTCGGAAAATGTTGTTGCATCGCTCTAATAATCAGAAAATACTGCAGACAGACATTAGAAAAATCAGTTACCATTAATGAATGCTATATTAATGAGTCTCTGAATGAATTTGTGAACTAACCCTCTGTGGAACCCTTCAGAATCTAGAAATGTTTGGTGATGTAAGATTTATGGATCGGGGTATGAGAACAAACTCGTTGTCACGGTTCACGGCTGGTTGAGGACTCAAACGCAGAGACACTGAAGACCGGATTACACTTCAAACAAAAGGTGGTTCTTTAGTGATAAAAAATAAACTCCAACCGGGAGCAAGCAAAATCCACAAAAGGGGCAGTCACAGTCATTAAGGAATTCGCACGCACACACACACACGCATGCACACACACACACAACTGCCCTCTGGTGACTGGAGACACACAAAGCACCAAAGGACCGGGAGCGGGTGATCGGCTCAACAGGTGAGAACGAAAGTGAAAAGTAGTGGAACGAGATGTCCCCAAAAAGCTGACGGACTTCTTGATGTGACTGAGGGGCAGAAACAGCTCTACTGCAATAAATGCAACAACAAAAAAAAGAGTGTAAAGAATCTAGAATTCAGCAGCATAATATTTATTATTTAAGGAGTAGAAACAAACTACCTCTGGTTTCAAATAGTTTTCTATAAATGGCATGTGTCCAGATGGAATACAAAACATATGAGTAATATGTGTAAACTGGAAAAATACATCAGGAAAAAAACATTTGTATAGAAAAAAACGGCACTGTCAGTTATTTTACTTTTAATATTTTGATGCTGATGCTGGAATTTACCGTGACAATGCAGAAAATCAATTTGAATCATAAATGTAGGCAGAGCGATTCACAAATATATTTCAATGCACAGATGAATAAATTACCAACATATTTCTGCATTTGCATTTGTGTGTGGATATATATACCAGCTCTATTAAGAATATATATATATATATATCACTGGGCCAAAGAAAATACCTTGAGTTGAGTTGACATATGTGCTATAAAGAAAGTCCACCCCGGTCACATGACTTCACGTCTCCTCCACTAAGCTGAACAAGGAACTTTTGGACTCCAAGATTCACCACAGGGGCGTTCACAGACTTATTTTCTATTGCAGATGTTACAAAATGTCAATCTCACGTCAAACACATTAGTTCAGACACACAATCAGTAAACTCCTCTCTTCCCAGACGAGGGAGCAGGAGGGGCAGAAATCTGGCCTCCTCTCTGGTTCCTAGTCTGGTTCCTGCAGCTCTCCTTTACGGAGACCAAAGCGAGTGACTCTCGATGTGAAAACATATTTCATCTGTCTGGGACAAATTCCAATGCCACGTCAGAACATTTCTCATTACAAGGCGGCGGTGTGTGTGAGTGTGTGTGTGTGCTGTTAGTACAACCTTGGCCGCTGTTGGCCGGCCTCTGACAGAACCTATTTGTTAGTTTTACGGTTTCATCAGGCTGAGGTCTCATAATTTCTGCTCGTCTGTGCGCTTCACACAAATTTAATTCAAATTATTTTTCCTCCCGAGAGTTTTGGCTGTGATTTGTTATTGTGTGGCCGACTGTGTACACAGCAAACGTATACTACAGTATATATCTATAGATAGATATGTCTATAGATATATCTATGTAGTGGGGGGACTGCATTAATCAAGAGTCCCTCGGTAGTCCAATATAATTATAATCAGAGTGTAGACACAGTGACACAAATCAGCATTCTGCTGTCGACGTTAGAACTCGTCACACACAAAACAGGGAGAACTTCCTCCTTGTCCACCTTTGACCCGTCTGCTTTCCCTCCATTCATTTGAATATTCATTTTTCTCAATCACATCCCAAGTCCGGTCCAGTGACGTCCTTCACTCGGTCTTCTCCTCTCGCTCCATCACAGATCCTCCTCTCAGCAGGGAGTCTTAGTTACGGAGAGAGGCACCGTGGCTGGAATGAGGGGAAGAATAAAAACGACTCCTCCGTCCACAAATTAGAATATCCAAAACCAAACAACGCCTGAATTTCAACAGCAAGCGGACTAAATTTGGAACGACATCTGCCTTCCATGAATATTAAAAGAGTCTCTGGACTGTTGCCGGCGGGTAGGAGCCGGACCCCCGGGTCCCGGGTCCCTGGACCAGAGGGAACCAGCTGCTATGCTTCAGAAGAGGTGTGACCCCCGAGGAGCCAACCGGGCCTTAGCTTCATTTATTAATTCTAAGTCTATGAAACGTTTGTCACCACGTTACCAAGGTTACCACATCACCAAGACCGGACGAGCTTCCAACCTTCGGTTCAGACAGTGTTTCTCATAATCGTATCTTCATTTACAGCCGTAACGTTGATACAAAAGAAGTCACGTCTGTCTCAAAATACCATAGTGACTTTCTAGAGTAAGCAGTTTGCTTTAAGGTCAAATAGATATTTGATTCAAATCGACCAGTTAACAAATGGTTTCAGCTCAAATGTGGAATTCTGCCACAAAGTTCAAAGATTCTACACGACTCTGAACTCTCAACTACGTAGCCTGGTTTGGATTTCAACACGGCGCTAATTATGGCCACAGACTAAGGAGGAAACTCATCCAGAGGTTAGATAGTCTATCGAATTTTTTAATCTTGATTATTTGCATGATTTTTATTTTTTTGAAAATAAATAAATAATTTAAAAGTAGTGTATTGCAAACTTTTATTTATGCAAACAAAAGTTGCTTTATAAGAGCAGTATCCCCTTTACACAGTAGCATGTAGGGGTGGGGGGAAAATTAATTTTTCGATTTCTCTCGATTCTCTCCAGAACGATTCGGAATCGATTCAGATAAG